CCCCGAAGATGACCACTCTTCGGGCGCTCCTTCACGTAGCAGCACAACACGACTACAAGCTGCACTCGCATGACTTCTCCGCTGCGTTCCTCTAGGGCAGTCTGCATGAGCAGATCTACCTGCGCCATCCGTTAAGCTTCTCTGGCACTTTCCCTCCTGGAACCAAGCGATTCCTCCGGCACCCGGTTTACGAACTGCAACACTCGCCTCGAGAGTGGCACAATACGATGCGTACTACACTAGCAGACCTGCAGTTTTTATCGTCCTCTGTTGACTCGTCACTCTTCGTTCGCTCAGGCCAGACTCCGTTCTACATCCTAGTCTACGTAGACGACCTGGTCTTTGCTACTGCAGAAAGAGATGCACTGGCCTCGGTGAAGGCCCCACTGCTGAGAAGACACACCTGCGCTGACCTAGGAGAGCTGCGCCGCTACCTTGGGCTGCAGATCTCCAGGGACAGAGCAATGCGCACCATCACTCTCACATAGGCACACTTGGTGAGCCAAGTCCTTCAGAGGTTCGGCCTTCAATTCTCCTCTGCACAGCCCACCCCTTTGCCAGTGGATCACAGGCTCTCAGCTCCAGTCCCTGACGAGCCGGGCGAGCCTAGTGGTCAGTACGCTGAGCTCGTGGTCTGCCTCATGTACCTGATGACTTGCACTCGTCCAAATCTCGCATACCCTCTTAGTATCTTCGTTGGCTTTGTGGCGACAAGCAGACACCGACCCGAGCACTGGTCGGCTGCTAAGAGGGTGTTGCGTTATCTAGAAAGTACATCGTGCACGGGGCTAGTGCTGGGAGGACGCAGACCAATGGTTCTCACAGGGCACACTGATGCTTCGTGGGCGGACGACGCTGAGACGCTCAAGTCCTCCCATGGCTACTGTTTTAGCCTTGGTGCATGCGCCATCTCGTGGAGGTCCACCCGCTTGTCGTCTATTTCCCAGTCCAGCTGTGAGGCTGAGATCTACGCTGGTGCCATGGCGGCACAGGAGCTCCGCTGGCTGACGTTCTTGCTCACCGACTTAGGTGAGCGGACTAGCTCTGCCCGGGTCCTGTACTCTGATAAAAGGGACATGATCCACTTGTGATAGGAGCCTCGACTAGAAGGCAGAGCGAAGCACATCCAACTGTGGTACTTCCTCCTAGAAGCGCGGCCAGGCACGTGTAGTACACTTAGCCTCGAGTACCAACTCAGCTGATATCTTTAACAAGGCGCTTGCGCCTATAGATTGTCAACAGCACTTCTTACAGCTTGCTCTAGTTCCAGTAGCTCCTCATTTGCTAAGAACCTGACTTGTGTACTACTATTTATATTATCTTGACTGGCCTTGTGGCTCTTGTCTCAATGGCAATACTAGTAGTGCCGCCCTGAGTTAATCTTGTTTAGTTGGTACTCTTGCTGACTGGTCTTCGGGCCCGTGCCTCATAGGTTGGACTAATAGTGCCGTCCTGATCTGCGTGTCTCTTGCTAGGCACTGCCCTTAATCTAGCCTAAGGGGTGTGTTAACATATACATATGCTTATATGTAGAAGCTATAGGCTAGATGGGTTTGTGTTCTTTGATGGTACAACTCCAACCCTATATGTTCCTTGTAATGCCTTGTTCTAGCCACTTCGCTACTCTGAGAGGTCAAACTACTAGTGCTGCCCTGAGTTGTCTTGTTAACTTCACTAGAGGCTAGACTAGTAGTGCTGCCCAGGTTTGTTAAATCTGCCTCTACCTAAGCTAGGGGGTGTATCAACAAACATATAGTTTTGTCTACACATATCTATGCAGTTTAGATGTGTTTGTTATAGCCTAGCTAGGTCAGTTCTTAGAGGTGACAATATTCGTGTACTTGTATCTCCCCTCCCCTCTTCCTAGTCACACTTTTTTCGCTACTCTAACAAAGAACTCAGGAGGCATCAACCCTAAACACAGGAACCTGTCCGCGAGGTTAGGGTTACCCATCTTGAACAGCATGCGGGTGCGCTAAGGGTTATGTTTTTGGGTACTCTGTTTTCTTAGGAAAGTTCACCCTAGTAATCGTTGATACAAACGACAAAAATGAAGACACCTGAATAGGATTTCCCGACTGATCTGAATGTATTTGATATTGACATATGTACAACGTCTTGTTCAGCAGTGCATCGGGAGCAGGGCTGAAAATAACAGGGCTATCACCATGTCTTGATTGAAAATCCAAGGTGTTTTCAATCGTAGCCCGTATTTCACACATGCTTTTCCCCAGCCAACTCGGAATTACACAGGGGGACCCGTATATATACGAGGGAATTCCAGGGCAAACCGGACCTTTTCCCCTCTCCAAACCTCTTCTCCCCCCCCCCGCCCCCCCCCCCCCCTCCCCCCTCCCAACCCCCCCACCAAACACTTCCAATCCCATTTTTTTTATGGCCTCAACTTTTGCCCTCGCCAAAACTCGCCCCCCTCCCCAATTCCCTCCCCCAAATCCCTCCCCACACCTCTCAAAGCCCGGTACATTCGGGAGCCGCCTTGCTGGAAGCTGGGGTTATGTTATTCTGTATCACTTAGGGCGGGTCCAAATAGTTCAATTGGGGGTTTTGGACACGTTTTTTCGAACTCGGGTACGACAACTGAAAACGATCCCAAAATCGTCTCCTCCCCAAACCACATCTCATATTGCGAATGAAACAGAAGCTGGCGCTAACTGGGTGCGTCCCAAAAAACGGTTTGCGTCAGACGCTCCAAATCGCAGTTACCAAATGTCGCAGCTCGCGAAACAGATGTTTCGTGCTGGGTTAATTGGCAGGTGTGATTTGGCGTTGCGCCACGCAAGATGCTTGCGAGGTCGCCTTGTTCTCGCCAAGCCTGGCTTGGCGAAACCCCAAAGCGCCACACATGTCCACCAATACCAAAACGTAAACCTAATGTCATCAAAATGTAAACCTAACGTCACCGAATCGTTAACAAATCACATGCGTCGAGCGTCCCGAATACGTCAATTTCGCGTACGTGTTCCCGCGAAATCCAAACGCGGCTAAAATCGGGTTACTTTTCACGAAATGAATAGAGTATGAATTTTTTGGACCCGCCCTTACAGATTGAGTCACTGTCTTGGGTGAGTGACCCCCTCCTCCCTCGGGAAATGATCAAAAAGGGTCCTCGCTTTGCCAGAGGCATGAGCAAAAAAGTTCTGGCAATTTTCTGCTCAAGGGACCTCGCCTCGGAACCTGAAATACACTTATTTCCTTGTTTAGTTCTTTAAAAAATTATGGGACGTTTGCGGTACCATTCAACATTTCTCAACGGGCAAAAAAAACTAAAACCCATTAGGGACCGAATTCCGTTCCGGATGGCATCAACCCTAAACACGCGGTCCTTTTGCGAGTTTAGGGTTGATGCCATCCCGATTCGCATGCGGTGCCCCTATGGGTTTTAGTTTTTGTTTTGTTTGTGCCCTAATACAGTACATTGAATTCGTAGAAAGGTCCCACCACAGGGTTACGACACGAAGCGCCCCCATGAACCTGCAAATCTGTGACTCTGTGATGTGTACGTATTGTATGACGAATGAGGTGTAGTACAGGCTCGGAGACGAGGTCTCGGGGCAATTAGCTGCCGGACCTTTTTGCTCACGCCTCTAGCAAAGGGAGGACCTTTTTTATCATTTCCCTCCTCCCTCTTCCCCTTGGTCGTGGCGCTGCAGGAGCGAGGCCAAACCCGATTGCCCTACCGAAGTCGTGGCGTGGGCACATTTTTCCCCACCCCGCAATATTTGGTGGCGCTCAGCCTTTTTGGGCTCGGACCCTGATTCATCGGAGCTATTTTTGGCTCTGCTCAGGTTTTACAGGAGTTTTTTCAGATGGGCCCAAATCGTCCGAGCTAGCAAAAAACCTAGCTCAAGCCCTGATCGGGAGGCGTACATTGGTGGACGACGCACTCGCACCAGGGCCTATTTTTCAAGGGTGATTACTCTGAATGAAAAAACATTAAGAGTTGGCGCTGGGCTCGTTCCGGAATTTGAACGGGTCGAGTTATCGGGGTTTCCGGAATTTATATAAGTGGCGTTACGGGGGGCTCCGAGCAGATCAGAATTCGCTGGGAGGGCAATCCGGCTGCAACTGCCAATAAATACAACCCCCCCCCCCCCCCTCTCTCCCCTCCCCCCCTCCTCGCACCTAGGGTGGCAGAGACATTTTACCAGCTAAGTCCCCAACTTTCAGAAACAATCGCAGGGAGCCCCCGAACCCAGGAAATTCGGCTTAAGTCTCTCACACACAGTTATAACTCCTCCCATACCCGCACAACTCCAGAAAGTCCCAAACTTCCAGCAGCATTCCTTCCTTAACCCCGCAACCAAGCAAAACTGGCGAAGTCCTCCACACACAGACATACCGTACTCCTCTCACCCGCACCACCCGAAACCCAGAATTTTCGGCTAAGTTTGTCACAGCCAGGAACATTCCTTCCTGGACCATAGAGGAATTCGGCTATGTCCCTCCCAAATAGATATAGGCCTCCTACCCACACCCACGAAACTTATAACTTTCGGCTAGTCCTCATTGCAAGAACATTCCTGCCTTTACCCTATAACATAGAGAATTTGGCTAAGTCTCCCTTACACCTAGAGAGTTTAACAGAGAGAAACTCCTCCCACCCGGGCCACCCTAAACCTAGAATAAAGTACTTTATTTTTTTGGCACACCGCAAATGTACCCTGTTTCGTCCTTGAACATCGTGACATGTCCGAGTCAATGTTTGCTGTAACTAGGCTAAAAGTAACTTTGTACCCGAATCCGGATGAAACATAAATCAACTACCCTGAAATCCGGAAGAATCAGGGTGCAGGGGGGTGGGGAATCCGGGAGAAACAGAGCTCCAAAAAAGCTTAGCGTGAGCTCTGACTCGCACCACTTGTAGGTCGGTAGGTTTGTCTGCGAACAGTGTGTTTCCAGTAACGCAGCCAGCCGTCAGGAGTCAAAAGACCCGAGGCAATTTTTCACACCTCGGGTGTTCCCTAATGACACTAGTGTCAGACATGAGCTCCAGAATGCACTCCGACAGTTCGGCAAATTCTTCAATGGCTAGTTTTCATCAGCCCGCCAGCTATCATTCACCAGCCTATTCAGGTCGAAGGAGCCGTTATCAGGGCCGCGTGTGACGCGCGACGACTTCTTTTTTTTTACCAGGAAGATTATGAAGCTGATGAGTCGCAAACTAAGTCGTGCACGCTGTCGTGAAGCAATCTGAATCGTTAAGGCTGCTGTGAAGCAATCGAAGCCGTTCAGGCTATCGTGAAGCAATCTAAGCCGTTCAGGTTGTCGTGAAGCAATCTTAGCCGATCGTAGCTCAACGGACTACCGACCATGGACGACAACGACAGGCGGTTCGGCGTGAAGGCGGGGAAGCGGCCGGTGTCCGAATCCACGCGGATCACTGTCTCCTCCAGGCTTGAAGAATTCCGAAACGGGACCGAACCAGGTGAGATTCGGTGCCTTGTATCACTGTGTATGGGGTGAAGGCGCGGATGCGGCAAAAGTCGGAATCCACGCGGATCACTGTGTCCGCCAGGCTCAAAGAATTCCGAAACGGAACCGAACCAGGTGAGATTCGGAACCGAACCAGGTGAGATTCGAAACCGAGGCGCCATGTCGGTTGCACAACCAGCCCCGCCTTCTATTGCGTGGAGGCAGGGAAGCGGCCGGAGTCGGAATCCACGCGCATCACTGTCTCCGCCAGGCTCGAAGAATTCCAAATCGGAGCCGAGCCAGGTGAGTCGTGGTTTTGTCATGTCGGAACGAACGAATCTCTGTATATGGGGACCAACCTTGTATTACTTATACAGGGTGAAGGCGGGGATGCGGCCAGTGTCTGGATCCACGAGGATCTTTGTCCCCGCTAGGCTTGAGGGGTTTCGGAACGGAACGAAGCCAGGTGAAGATAAGCTACGCGTGCGCTTTAGATGTGAATTTTGGGCTTTTTGGAAACGGATTCAGATGTGTTCTCGGGATTTCAGGTTTTCGGGGTTTTTTGAGCTGCGAAATTAGAGGGGTTTCCACCGTTGGTGCGTTCTCCTCTTTCAGTCAGACCATGTCGCTCCTCTCTTTTTCCTCTCTTTTTCCTCTCTTTTTCCTCTCTTTTTCCTCTCTTTTTCCTCTCTTTTTCCTCTCTTTTTCCTCTCTTTCTCTTCACTTTCTCCTCTCCCCATGCTTCTTAACCTGCTGAAATAACATGCGAGTCGGATTTGCGGAACCATGACGGAGAAACCCCCCCATAGTGAAACACACCCTCTCCCCCCCCGATTCCCCTTTCCTCTTTCCGCTCACCCCAATTCCTCTCTTTCTCATCTCCCTCCTGCAGAGGACATTTGAGTCGGATTCGGGGGAACCATGACAGAGAAACCCTCCCTCCCCCTCCCGCTTCCCCTTTCCTTCATCCCACCTGAAAGCCCCATCCTTCCCTCCTTTCCTCACTCTGTCTGTCACCCTTGCCAAGATGCCACTCGAGGCAATTCAAGTCAAGCAACCATTACAGAGCTGTGGTGCACCAGATTTGTTGGATGATGTGCTTCATCACCGCTGAAAGCCCCATCCTTCCCTCCTTTCCTCTCTCGCCTTCGCCCTTCCCCCCCACCTCTCCTCCCTGCAGAAACGACGTACGAGGTGGACCTGAGCAATTATGACAGTGCCATGGTGCGCCAGCCGTTTTTTGCGCGGCCCAAAATTACATCCCAGCTTAACCCCCCCACTCACTACCCCTCTCTTGCCTCTGCAGAAATGGCATTTGAGGCGGATTTGAGGAACCATGACAGGGCCGTGGTGCACTTGGGTCGACTCGAAAGCCCTCTTTTGCCTCTGTTTCCCTTGCAGCGATCACATTCGAGGCGGGTTTGAGTAACCATCACACGGCCGTGGTGCCCCAGATGTGCAGAAAGATGGGCTTCGTTTCTCGCTAACCTCCACTCCACCTCTCTCTCCTTCTCCTAATGCTTCTCCCTTCTCTCTCGTTCTGTTCTCTCTCCCCTCCGTCCCCCTTGCAGAGAGGATACGGCCGCGTGGTGCACTAGCTATGCAGGAAGTAGGGCTTCCTCTCTCTCCTTTCAGAATTTCGCAGGGTGTTTTTGAGAATTCTCAAAATCACCCTGCAACAGTAGGGCTTCCTCTCTCTCCTTTCAGAATTTCTCCCCTTTCCTTCTCCTTGCAGAGATGACATTCGATGCGGATCTGAGTAACCACGACAGGGCCCACCAGCTGTGCAGGAAGTAGGGCTTCGTTCCTCCCTACCCCCCACCTCTCTCTCTCTCTCTCCTTTCGACACTTCTCCCCTCTGTCCTTCTCCTGCAGACATGACATTTGGTGCGGATCCAAGCAACTACGGGAGCGCCGTGGTGCACTTTTTGAGGCGCCTCAAAAATGGTGCGGATCCAACCAACTGCGGGTCCGCGGCAGCGCCGTGGTGCACCAGCTGTGCATGAAGGTGGGCCTCATCTCTTTCTCTTCCCTCTCCTCTCCCTCCCTCCCTCTCTCTACTTCTTCCTCTCCGCCCCTCCCCCCACGTCCCTTCCCTGCAGAGATGACATTTGATGCGGATCTGAGCAACCATGACAGAGCCGTGGTGCATCAGCTGTGTAGGAAGATGGGCTTCGTCTCCAAAAGCCATGGGTAAGTGGGTGTGTCTACATGTCTTTGCATGCGTACATGTGTGTATGCACTTTTTTTTGCACTCATACATGTTAGCGTTGCTACTCGTGGTGCACCAGCTGTGACGGAAGGTGGGCTTCGTTTCCAAAACCCACGGGTATATGGGCTTCGTCTTCAAATTGTACACAAGGCATCTATAAGAGGCATCCATGCATTTCGTTTGTTTGTGCGTTGCCATATCGCTGTTTACATGTTTCATTGTTATGTCGTGCATTGTGCGCTACAAATTCTATTCCCCTTTCTTCCCACCAGCAAAGGACCTGACCGTCGCTTGACAGTCTACCGAACCTCCAGCCGAGCCAAGTCCCCCGGGGCGCCAGGTTCGGAGGCAGCGGATTCGCTCCCTCCCCTGACACTCTCTCCTGATTCCGAAGCTGCTGTGCTGGCGTTGCTGCTGACTCACCCGCCTACTGAGCTGGAGATGACGTCAGCCTTGCAGGCAGGGGGGTTTCTTGCGGATGCTGCTGCGGGCAAGGGGAGGGCGCAAGGAAAAGGGGGGGCTGATGGGGGGTTAGGGGGAGCTGGTGGGGGGACAGGGGGAGATGATAAGGGGGAAGATGAGGAGGGAGTGACTGGGGCTATGGCGCGGCTAGGGGTAGAGGAGGGCGGAAAGGAGGCGGATAAGGGGGAAAATGAGGGGAAGGCACAGGGGAAGCAGCAGGGGAAGGAGGTGGAAGGGGGGAAAGAAAAGGGGAAAGGGAAGGGAAGAGACAAGGGGAAGGGAAAGGAGGAGGAGGAGGAGGGAGGGGATCCGTGGGTGAAGGCACAGGTCAAGGCTCTGGCTGATAGAATGGCTAAGATGGTGCAGCTAAAGCCGGTGAGAGTGCTAACACTTGGTGAGAGCGATTGCAACCAGTGAGCGCGATTGCAACCAGTGAGCGCGATTGCAACCAGTGAGCGCGATTGCAACCAGTGAGCGCGATTGCAACCAGTGAGGGCGATTGCAACCAGTGAGCACAATTGCAACGAGTGAGCGCGATTGCAACCAGTGAGAGCGATTGCAACCAGTGAGCACGATTGCAACCAGTGAGCACGATTGCAACGAGTGAGCGCGATTGCAACGAGTGAGCGCGATTGCAACGAGTGAGCGGGATTGCAACCAGTGAGAGCGATTGCAACCAGTGAGCGCAACCAGTGAGCGCGATTGCAAACAGTGAGCACGATTGCAACCAGTGAGCGCGATTGCAACAAGTGAGCGGGATTGCAACCAGTAAGAGCGATTGCAACCAGTGAGCGCGATTGCAACCAATGAGCGCGATTGCAACCAGTGAGGGCGATTGCAACCAGTGAGCACAATTGCAACGAGTGAGCGCGATTGCAACCAGTGAGAGCGATTGCAACCAGTGAGCACGATTGCAACCAGTGAGCACGATTGCAACGAGTGAGCGCGATTGCAACGAGTGAGCGCGATTGCAACGAGTGAGCGGGATTGCAACCAGTGAGAGCGATTGCAACCAGTGAGCGCAACCAGTGAGCGCGATTGCAAACAGTGAGCACGATTGCAACCAGTGAGCGCGATTGCAACAAGTGAGCGGGATTGCAACCAGTAAGAGCGATTGCAACCAGTGAGCGCGATTGCAACCAATGAGCGCGATTGCAACCAGTGAGCGCGTTTGCAACCAATGAGCGCGATTGCAAATAGTGAGTGCGATTGCAACCAGTGAGCGCGATTGCAACGAGTGAGCGCGATTGGGTAAGGAGGAGGAGGGAGGGGATCCATTGTAAGAAAATGGGACTTTGATTGATTAAAATGAGAGAGGGCATACAAGCTTAAGTACCAAAGGAGAGGGTTGGAAGGGATAAGGGGAATCTTTTTTAGAATTCTCAAAAACACCCTGCAAAATCTAGGAGAGGGTTGGAAGGGATAAGGGGAATCGGAGGGAATCCCAAGGGAATCCCAAGGGAATCCCAAGGGAATCCTCCCAAATCGTGGGGATTTGGGATGGATTGGGTTGGGATAGGTTGGAGATTAAAAAGCTACACCCAACCTAACAAACATTCCTAACCCTAAACAAACAAATTACTAACACACAAATGTGCAACATTGCAGCCTATCTCCAACATCCATCACCCATGGGTGAAGGCACAGGTCAAGGCTCTGGCTGATAGAATGGCTAAGATGGTACAGCTGAAGCCTGTGAGAGGGATCTCAACTGGTGAGAGTGAAAGGGTGAGTAAGATGAGGGAGGGGGTCCCTGGGTTCAGGTTCAGGCACAGGACAAGGCTCCGGCCGATAAAATGGCCCAAATGGTTCAGCTGATGCCATGTGAGCAATTGCATCGTAGGTGGTGAGGAAGAGGAGGGAGGGGATCCGCAGGTGCAGGCACAGCACAGGCCAAGGCGCCTCAAAAGCACAGCACAGGCCAAGGCGCCTCAAAAGCACAGCACAGGCTAAGGCGCTGGTGGATAGAATTGCACACAAGGAGGAGAGATCAGAGAGGTGGCAACCGCCGCCCTAATGGCGTACAAGGAGGAGAGCATGCACACGACCAGTGCGCACACCAGGAGATTCGTTATCTGCTCCCCATCCCATCCCCTCACCCTCGTCTTTTACCCGCGGATCACGGAGAGGCAGCAGTCATTTCCTATCGTGGCATACACGGACAAGATCATGCGCACGATCAGCAGTAGCCAGGTGGTGCTAATAGCGGGGGAGATGGGGTGTGGTAAGACCACCCAGGTGCCTCACTTCACCCATTCTCACCCACCCCCATCCTCCCCACCCTACCTCTCTCTGATTCCCTCTTCCTCAGATTACAGAGAGGCGGCAGTCGCTGCCCATAATGGCATATAAAGATGAGATCATGAGGACGATCAGCGCCCACCAGGTGGTGCTGATCGCGGGCGAGACGGGGTGCGGCAAGACCACCCAGGTGCCGCAATTCATTCTGGACCACGAGTGGGCGCACGGCAGAAGGTGCCGCGTGCTCTGCACCCAGCCTAGAAGAATCTCCGCCACCTCTGGTAAGTGTCACTGAAATTGACTGTGAAGAGTGAATAAGAACGAGCCGAGTGCTCGCTTGAAGCAAGAGGAAGGGTGTGGCAAGACCACCCAGGGGCCTCAGTTCTTTGTGGACTGGGAAGGCGGTGCTGCATGCTCTGCACCCAGCGCAGGAGGATCTCCGCCACCTCTGGTAAATCCTCCACAAGTATGCTGTGAACAATGACTTGAGTCGAACCAAGTGTGTGCTGCTAGTGGCGAGAGGGAGATTGGGTGAGGCAATACCACCTAGGAGCCACAGTTGTTTCGGAACCACGAGTGGGCGCAAGCCAGGAGGTGTTGCACGCTCTGCACCGAGCTGAGATGAATCTCGGCCACCTGTGGTGGGTAACTGCAACTGCATGGTAAATTTTGGCCTAATAACGGAGGCATTGTATATTTTGGACCATGAGTGGGCGTGAATCACGAGGTGGCACGTGCTCCGAACCGAACCGAGAAGAATCTCCGCTACTTCTGGTAGGTGAAGTGCAGTAGTGCTGCTTGGGTGTTTGGGCAATATTGGTTTGCGATGGACTGCTGCCTCTAGAGATCCCCGCCGAGCGTCTGCTTCCTGACGCCTGTGATGCCTTGTAGTGAGGCTGTCTGGTGCAGCTGGTTGTGCTGATGGGTCTTTAGGATGGTGTGCGATTGATTTTGTGTTGTACTGCTCTAGTGTTCCTAATTGTGCGTCTGCTTCCTGACGCCTGTGATGCCTTGTAGTGAGGCTGTCAAGAAGCAGAAGCTCAGCCAGGAATACCCGAAGCAACAGCACAACACAACATCAATCGTACACCATCATAAAAATCCAAGCAGATCCGCTAGGAGTCCAAGGGCGGGCCCTCCACATCCCGCTGGCTCTGCACCAACGGGGTGCATGCTCCTCCTTCCTCTTCCTCAGCTCCTCTTCCCTCCCCCCCCCTTCCCCCCTATCCCCCTCCACCGTCTCCCTTCGTTCCTCTATGCAGTGGCTGAGCGGATAGCAGCGGAGAGGGGGGAGACTATCGGCCAAACCGTTGGGTACCAGATTCGCCTGGAGTCCAAGGGCGGCCCCTCTACCGCCCTCTGGCTCTGCACCAACGGGGTGCTGCTCAGGCGCCTTGTGGGGCTGGGGGCTCACCTGCACAGCACAGGGGGTGCGGGAGTGCAGGGCTCAGCAGGGGGTGGGGGAGGAGGAGTGGGAAGTGGCGGAGGAGGGGGAGGAGGAGAAGGAAGTACGGTCAAGCCTGGGGTTAGAGCCGCTATTGCCGCTGCTGTGAGGGGGTTGGCAGCAGACGTGGGTGGGGAGGGGGAGGGGGAGGGAGGAGGGGATGAGGAGAGTGGGGGAGTGAGAAGGGAGCTAGATGCGGACGTGGTTGCTAAGCTGGACGCCACTCACATCATTGTGGTGAGTGAGTGGGTGTGTGGGTGGGAGGGTGGGTGGTGAGTGGGCGGTGACTGGGTGGTGAGTGGGTGGGTGGTGGGCGTGTGGGAAGTTATATTTGAGGTGCTTCCTATATCGATGTGATTGCTAAGCTGGATGCCACTCACATGATTGTGGTGAGTGCCATGGCATGGGAACATGGCATCATGGCATCATGGCATCATGGCATCATGGCATCATGGCATCATGGCATCATGGCACCATGGCATCATGGCATCATGGCATCATGGCATCATTGTGGTGAGTGCTTCTCACAACATGACATGTCAACAACATGGCATCATCACACCATTACTTGATTCCATACCTCCATTCTCTTCCTTCTCACGGACCTTTTGAGACTTCTCCAAGCTAACTTATATTCACATAGCTTCTCTCTGCCCCACAGGGCGGTGCAGAAGCGCGATCAGTTAGCAGAATCCATGCTCGTCATTCTCCAAAACCCCTCCTTCTGCGAACGCACTGCTTCGTCATCCCCCATCCTGCCCTCACATGCCACTCACTTGATGCTGACCCCCTTTTCCCTCTCCTGTCATGTCAACAGGACGAGGTGCATGAGCGCGATCGGTTTGCTGACTTCATGCTCATCATTCTGAGGGACATCCTGCGTTTGCGACCCAACCTTAAGCTGGTGTGTCCTCTCGCCTCACCTCCCTTATCCTCGCCTTTTCCCCGTGACGCATGAATCTGCTGCTGCTGCTGCTGCTGGGTCGCTGTGCTTCTCGTCTGCCGAACCGTTGACAAAAACCAGAGAGATGTACTGTACACAATTGTACTTGCTCGAATGGTTATGGCATGTATTCTGCGTCACTATATGATGCTCCCTCAGGTGCTCATGAGCGCAACCCTGAATGCGGGGCTTTTTGCGAACTATTTCGGGGGCTGCCCCGTCATCAACGTCCCTGGATTCACGTATCCGGTCAGTTGGAATTTTTATTTCAGTTGTAGATGAAATAGTAAGGTGGGGAGGTTTTGGACTTAAAGCCCTTGCTCAATTGCTTGCTTTTTCCTTACCAGTTGTCTTACAATGGCGGTGTCGATGTTGAAGATGGTACAATGGTGTATGATGGTGTATGAGAGCATTGCATGCAAGTTGATTCTTGAGAATTCTCCGTGTTGTAGGTGATTTTTGAGAATTATAAAATATCAACTTACCTCATATGGTGGTGTATGAGAGCACTGCATGCACTGGACTTATATCATGATTTATTGTTCGCTCGTTGCTTGCAGGTGCGATCACTGTACCTCGAGGACGTTCTTCGCATCACGAACTACGGCAACGCCTTTGCTGACGTGGCTGCTGACGTAAGAGCTCACCATAACACTAGGACGCATCATAAGGCCATGGATGTTGAAGAAGTAGCTGAGAAAGCAGATGCGGGTGTGGAAAGAAATGAGGGAGAGGGAGGGGAGATGGAGGAAGGGGAGGAGCTGGAGGAAGGGGAGGAAGTGGGGGAGGAAGAGAACGGGGAGGAAGTGGAGGAAGGGGAGCAAGAGGAAGAGGGGGAGGAGGAGGAGGAGGAGGGGGAGGAGTTGGAGGAGGGGGAGGTGGTGAACCTGTCAGCAGAAGACGCAACAGCGATGGATGAGGCGATCACCCGGGCGTGGATAGAGGATGACTTTGATGACCTGATGGAGCTAGTAGTGGCTGCCCATGAAGAGGCTAGGCTGCAAGGAACCACTGCTGCTGCTGTGGGGAGTGCGGTAGGGAGGAGAGGAGGAGGCAGGAGGAAGGGGAGGGCTAGGAGGCGTGGTGTGACTATAAACATCTGTGACTATGCGCACTCGGAGACAGGGGCCACTCCGTTGATGGTTGCTGCAGGTGAGAGAGTTACGGTGTGCTTAGCTGAGTGTGCGCTAAGCTGAGTGTGCGCTTAGCTGAGGGTGCGCTTAGCTGAGTGTGCGCTTAGCTGAGTGTGCACTCACACTGCACTTGGAGGCAGGGGCCTCTCCGCTGATGGTTGCTGCAGGTGAGTTTGCTAAGCTTGGTGTGCTTTTAGTTGGGTATGCATTGAGTGCAGGGAAGAGGAGAATGACGGACATGGACCATGGAGGACATGGACCATGAAGGACATGGACCATGAAGGACATGGACCATGAAGGACATGGACCATGAAGGTTCTCCTCTCTGCGGGCGCTCATGTGTTTTGAGGCGTCCCAACATGACCCCCCATCCACCCCCTTCCCTCCCTCTGCTCCCCGCTCCCCCCCAACAGGCAAGGGCCGGGTGGAAGAGGTGGAGATTTTCCTCTCCATGGGCGCTGATGTTCTGCTGACATCAGATGATGGAAGCACGGCGATGGACTGGGCGCGCATGTATGGGCATGATGCCGTGTGCAGTGTGCTGGAGCGACATCTGGAGGCATTGGGAGCGCAGGGGGAGGAGGAGGGAGAGGTGCAGGGTGGTGACATGCAGGAAGAGGGGGAGGAGGAGGCGCAGGGAGGGAGGGAGAAAGAATTTGCGACACCTGGTGCTGCTGCCGCTGCTGCTGCTGGTAGGGATGCTTCATCTCCTGCTTCTGCGTCTGTGAAAGCAGCTGCAGCGAGGGTAGCAGCGCAGGAGCAAGCAGCACTCAAGTCGTACCAAGCCTCTGTGGACCACGATGAGGTGGATCTGTCCCTCATCCACCTCCTGCTGACTAGGATCTGCGTCAGCAGCGCGGAGCGACCCGCAGCACTCAAGAGCACCACTGTCTTCTCGTCCTCCTCCTCCTCCTTACAGACCCAGCAGAGGTGGAGGCAGGCTGAAGCAATAGCAGAGCAAGAGCAAGAGGAAGAGGGAGATGAACTCTTATCTCTCATTCCGCCTACTGGCAGCAGGGAGGGCAGAGAAGGCAGTGGGGCAGCACGGGGGGGGAGAGAAAAGGGAGGAAAAGACACTTCAGGAGGAGGAGCAGGGGGGGGATCAGCAGGGGGGGATGGGGGAGCGAGTCTGAACGGGCCAGACTGCGCAATCCTCGTGTTCCTCCCCGGGTGGGAGGAGATCTCACGTCTCAGAGACCGCCTTTTGGGCTCCTCTGTGTTTGGGGACGCGTCCCGCTTCCTCATCCTGCCGCTGCACTCCAAGATCCCCATGATGGATCAGAGGAAGGTGTTTGAGCGGCCACCCAGGGGCGTGAGGAAGATTGTGCTCACCACGAATATTGCCGAGACGGCTCTGACCATTGACGACATTGTGTTTGTCGTGGACTCGGGGCGGCTGAAGGAGAAGAGCTATGATCCCTACACCAATGTGGCAACGCTGCAGGTGGGTGGGGTGTACACTGTGGGACTGTGTTATAGCGTCACCGTACTGTCTCTCACTCAACCAATCCCCTGCACCTACCACCCTTTTCACCCCACACAACCCGGTTCGTCTACCCCTTTCCCAGGTCTGCTGGGTGTCCAAGCCCAGCGCTTGCCAGCGCCAGGGCAGGGCAGGGCGGGGCGGCGTGGGGCGGGAGGAGGCAGGGCAGGGTGGGGCAGGGCAGGGCGGGGCGGGGCGGGGCAGGGCAGGGCGGTGTCGGCTCCTTGTAGGTGACACAGAAACATTCTCTTCCAGAAACATTCTCTCCCCCCTCCTGTCCTCCCCCCTACCTCAGGTGTGCTGGGTGTCAAAGGCCAGTGCTCGCCAGCCGCAGGGCAGAGCAAGCAGTTGCAGACCGGGGGCGTTCCATCCCCTCCTCCCAATCTCGATTCTCAGCCTCTTCCTCCCCTCCCTTTCGTTCCCTTGCAAACCCCCCCATGTTCTCCCCCCCAAATCCGTAGTTGATTTTGAGTCGACTCAAAAATCCTTTCGTTCCCTTGCAAACCCCCCCATGTTCCCCCCCCCCCGAATCCTTCCTACCTCAGGTGTGCTGGGTGTCCAAGGCCAGTGCTCGCCAGAAGCAGGGCAGAGCAGGCAGGTGCAGGCCCACAGTGTTCAATCCCCTCCTCCCAAGGCCGATGCTCAACCTCTTCCACCCCTCCCTTTCATTCCCTTGGGGTTTTGCAACTCCCTATGTTCAGGTGTGCTGGGTGTCCAAGGCCAGTGCGCGCCAGCGCCAGGGCAGAGCAGGCAGGTGCAGGCCCGGGGTGTGCTTCCACCTGTTCTCGCGCACGCGGGCTGACTCCCTGCCTGAATTCCAGGCGCCAGAGATCAAGAGGACGCCCCTTGAAGAGCTCTGCTTGCAGGTACAGTGCGGTGCTAGTGGGTTCAGTGCTGTGTTTGTAGGTTTCAAAGTGGTGTATGGAGTGGAGTGTGCTTCCACCTGTTCTTGCGCACACAGGCGGATTCCCTGCTGAACTGCAGGCGCCAGAGATCAAACGGACGCCCCTAGAGGAGCTCTGCTTGCAGGTACAGTGCGGTGCTCATGGGTTCGATGTGGTACCTGTGCGTCTGGTCGCTGTATTTGCTGGCTTGTGCTGCATTTACTATACCGTCGTTCACTTCCCTTCCCCTCCATTCCATCCCTCCTCTTCCCCATTTCTTCCCTCCCTCCATTCCTCAACCTCCACCCTCATTTCGCAGCTTCCCCTCCACCCCTTCCGCCCACCACCTTCGACCCCCCTGTTCCCCCCCTTCAGATTGACATCCTGTACCCCTCCTAACATCTCATCCGCCCTCACTCCTCCCTCTCGTCTCCCCTCTTCCTCCTCCCTCCTAACCACGCTCCCTCCGGCACTCGTCTTGTCTCCCCTCTTACCGCTCCCATGCCCTCTTCCCCCATTCTCCCCCCCCCCCAGAAGTTCTTGGACCCGTCGGCTCACACCTAGGCGCTCACCCCCCTAGGCGCTCACCCCCCTAGGCGCTCACCCTCCTAGGCGCTCGCCCCCCTAGGCGCTCACCCTCCTAGGCGCTCACCCCCCTAGGCGCTCACCCCCCTAGGCGCTCACCCCCCTAGGCGCTCACCCTCCTAGGCGCTCGCCCCCCTAGGCGCTCACCCTCCTAGGCGCTCACCCCCCTAGGCGCTCACCCTCCTCAGCGCACACCTCAGCGCCCAGTGTCTCCAAACTGCCCCCCATTTTCTCTCCCCTGTGCCCCCTGTTGAAGCGCCTCAAAGCTTGACTCCAAGCTGGCCCTCATTTTCTCTCCCCGCTGTCCCCTCTCCCCCCCTCGACCTTCCTTCAACACCCTTCAGATCAAGATCCTGGACCCTTCCCTGGACATCCCCTCCTTCCCTCGACACCCCCTCCTTCCCTCGACACCCCCTCCTTCCCTCGACACCCCCTCCTTCCTCTCGAAAGCTCTGGAACCGCCAGCACCAGCGGCCATCACCGACGCCATCGCCCTCCTGCAAGACATCAGCGCCCTGGACGAGCTTCAAGCGCTCACCCCCCTCGGCGCACACCTACGCACGCATCCACATGGCTCGTCCAGAGGCGCTCCCTCGGCACGTTGCTTCTTTATTACTGATTTCCTCACTTCTCCCCCCCGTTCCCCCTCCCTCCCTGCCACCGCAGATCAAGATTCTGGACCCGTCCCTAGACATCCCCTCGTTCCTCTCAAAAGCCCTCGAGCCCCCAGTACCAGCCGCCATCACCAACGCCATCGCCCTGCTGCAAGACATCGGCGCCCTGGACGAGCTGCAATCCCTCACCCCCCTTGGCGCACACCTTGGCGCCCTCCCCCTCCACCCGGTCACCTCTAAAATGCTCCTCCACTCAATCCTCCTTGACTGCCTCGGCCCGGCGTTAACCGTCGCTGCTGCCAGCACCTACCGGGACCCGTTTCAGATGCCAGTGGGCTTAGACCAGAAGCATAAGGCGCTCGGAGCGAGGCACGAGCTGGGGAAGCGTCTGGGTGGGTATGGGGATCATCTGGCTCTGGTTGCTGCGTTTGATGGGTGGGCTGAGGCGAAGGCGACGGGAGGAGGGAGGGCGGCCGAGGCGTTTTGTCGGCGGTTTTTCCTGTCGCATGGAGGTATGGTGATGATCTCGGGACTGAGGAAGCAGCTCAGGGGAGAGTTGCTGAGGAAGGGGTTTTTGGGGAGGGGGGGTGGGGGGAGAGGAGGGAGGGGGGGAGGAGGGGGATGGAGGGGAGGAGGCAGAAGAGGAGGCAGAGGAGGAGGAGGAGGAGGAGGAGGAGGAGGAGGAGGAGGAGGAGGAGGAGGAGGAGTAGGAGGAGGAGGAGGGGCGGATTTTAACACGGATTTGGATTGTGAGTGTAATGCAAATGGGAAGAACCAGGGGGTGGTGAGGGCAGTTCTAGCAGCGGGTTTGTACCCGTTTGTAGCCAGTCTCTTACCGAAGCAAGCCATGGGGAGGCAGCAGGCAGTGGTAATGACGGCCCGAGGCGAGAAGGTTCGGATCCACCCCCACTCGGTCAACTTCCGAGCCTTGCACCGAGGCTTGGAGGTAGGTTCGGAAGTGGCTGGCACTGGGAGAAGTGAGGCGTCATCACAGCCGTTGATTGTGTTTGATGAGATCGTGAGGGGAGAGGGCAATCAGACGATCCGTTCGTCTACAGTCGTCCGGCCGCTGTCCCTCATCCTGATTGCCTCTGAGATGGTTGTCGCTCCCTTGAAGCCTCTGAAAGAAGGAGAGGGAGACGGTGGGGAGAGGGGGAAGGTAGAAGCAGGCGAGGATGGTGCGGGAGAGGGGCGGCGGGCGAGGAAGAGACGGCAGAAGGGGCAGCAAATCGAGGGGGGCATGGGGATCGGGAGGGAAGAGGCAGAAGGGGTGGTTGGGGGAGTGGAGCAAGGGAAGGTGGAGGAGGAGGGCGAGAAGAAGGAGCAGGAGGAGGGTGGGGAGGAAGAGGAGGAAGGAGAGTACATCTCTGGGGCAGAGGAGGAGGAAGGGGAGGGGGAGGGGGAGGACGAGGGGCCGGTGGTGAGGCCGGATCCCAACAGCGCGAGGGAGAAGCGGCGGAGACTGCAGGAGGAGCTGATGAGCGATCCCAACCGTGAGATTGTGGTCGTGATCGATCGATGGCTGAGATTCCGCGCCACGGCCATGCTGGCGGCCCAGCTGTTCTGCCTGAGGGAGAGGCTGGCTGCTTCATTTGCCATCAAGGTGGGTCTTTGAAACTCCTTCCGAGGCAGCGTATGGTGACTCGTGTTTGCTTCTCATCGTGTGGCTTGGCTCTGCTTCCATAAGATGGCCATGCTGGCGGCCCAGCTGTTCCGCCTGAAGGAGAGGCTGGCTGCCTCCTTTGTCATCAAGGTGAGTCTCTTTGAGGCTGCTTGTGATGACTTGTGTTTGCTCCTCATCGTGTGTCTTAGCTCTCCTCATCCAATGGCCATGCTTGCGGCTCAGCTGTTCTGTCAAGGGAGAGGCTAGCTGCTTCATCTGCCATCGAGGTGGGTGTTGGCTTATATAGCGTTAGGAGATTACTGTTTCCATGCTGCTGCTTGTTCTTCTCTCACTCTCTGCTGACCCTCACTCTCTTTTGTGGCTTGTTCTGCTACCCCCCTCAACTGTGCCCTAGTGGCATGTTTTAACCTCCCCTTCCCCTCTGCTTTCCCTTCCAGTGGAGCCCTCTCCATCTCACTTCCTCCTGCACCCTGTCACTCTCTTCCTCCCCCTTGCCCGCCCCACACAGGTTCACAATCCCTCCCAGCCACTCCCCCCCCTCCAAGCAATGACGCTCTACACAATCGCCTCCCTCCTCTCCTTCGAAAACTACTTCCTTCCTCCTCAGCCCAGCCAATCAGCACTCCCCGCTGGTGCCTCTGCTGGCCCCTCAGCTACAGCGGGGCCTCGCATGGGTCCCGTGCTGCCCGGGCCTCAGGGTCCTGGCTCGGGTGGCAGGTTTGGTGGCAGGTTCGGAAGGGGCGGAAGTTGGGGAAGAGGGACAGGATGGAGGAGAGGAGGAATTGGGGGGAGGGGGGCAAGTACAGGGGGGGGAGGGAGAGGGGGAAGTGGGGGAGAGGGAGTAACTACAGGGGGTGGAAGAGTGCGAGATAATGGTGGTGGTGTTGGTGGCAGAGGCAGGGGTAGAGGTAGAGGTGGTGTAGGGTTTGGTCGAAGTGGTGGTCGGGGGCCAAGGGGGAGAACTGGTGGGTTGTAGGGTATGACAATGACTTTCGGAGATGTTGCATGTAGAATTTTACTGAGAACGTGTTCCTAGAAGAACCCCTAATCAAGCGAACCCTGGTCAGCCTTGGGTTCCACCATTTCGAACTGCAAAAACCCACATCGCGTACGGAATGCTGTGTACAATACTGTGCATGTTTGATAAGAGGCGCGCCTGTAGAAACGCACTCCAAGGCAGTGAGAATAAAGGTCTCTCGTTGGCAATAAACTGTGTTAGCTCGTGGTCAGTTGCTCCATGTTTGGTTGGCGTCAACTGAAACTTCTTTAGAGATTTGAATTTGGAAGTGCTGCGGGCATGTTAGTGGAAGTTGCATGCGTTCTGTTTATGTAACAAACGTCCCATATGCATTGCTTGTCGTAGCAATTCGCGAAAGACCCAGAAGTTTTATCGGCCTTCGTGGAACTCGATAGGCTATTTCGCCAAAGCTCCGCAGGTTGGATGCTGCTAGACGTGACTGCCCCAGCCGCACACGCACACGCCCGCATGAAAGGTTGCGCAGGCTCGGGAGAGCGCCCCCCCCTCCGCACCTCCGCTAGAATGACGTGTGAGAGACGCCATCCCACGCAGTTGACACACGGAGCAAATCGCAGCCGTTGCCGAGCCATCAAGCCCTATAAAGAACCAATCGTCGCCCTCCATTTCTCGAGGCTGAAGCCTGTCAGTGACGGAAGCAAGCATTCCATCCATCCCTTCCCCGCCTTGGAATTGGATTGAGTGTTGCGTTGAGCTGAGCTGAGTCGAGTCGAGTTGAGCGGAGAGTTGAGCCTTGCTTTTGACTAGAGCACTGAGAGCAAGCAAGGGAGAAGAAGCAAGGCAGGGGAATTGTAGTAGAGAGGTCCAGTTTTGTGCCAGGTGCTGTTGAGTTTCTTTCTGTTGTTTCTTGAACTCGGGTGTTGGTGAAAGGAGGAGTTGCCACCGCGGCTAACGGGAACGCGGTGTGGCTTTCGTTTGGTTTCCGAGATTAAGGACTCTGTTGCAGTGGAGCCTTCTTTGTTGTTGAGCTAACCGGTTCGCCATGGATACGCTTTACGTGCTCAAGGTGAGGAGAAACTCTGGCGTTGCCAGTACTTCCGCCGTGAATTTAGTTTTTCCTCTGTCGTCGGCTAACTCTCTCCTTACGTCGTCGTTGTCGCTATAGAATTCCTCGGTACTGTTCTTTGCATGCTCGGATTCCTGTACGTTTGGCGTTTTCTTTCAACGCGTTTCACTTCTAACTCTCTCTAATCTCGCTCTTCGCTTCACCTCTCGCCGTTCGTCATGTCTCCTTCCAGGTCAAGTGCGGCGCCGTTCTTCGTCGCATCTCCTCCCGCCGCTCGCCTCCGACGTTCGACAACGTGGACCGTCAGATTCGCAAGCTCTTCAAGATCCCCGCCGACAAGCCGATCGCCGTCACCTACACCGACTCGGACGGTGACGTCATCACGATTTCTACCGACGAAGACCTCCACGACGCGTTTGTCTACCAGGAGCTGAATCCGCTTCGCCTGGACGTCGCTTTCGAGTCCTCCACTGATGGAAACGCTGCGGGGAATGCTGGAAATTCTGGAATTGACGATTACGTTGATGTCAGTAGCCTGGACGGCTCTATCTACTCGTCGTCGTCGTTCGGGGGAGATGCTCCTCCTCTTGCTCCTGCTAGCACCGCCTCCACTCCTGCTCGTGTCTCGGATTCGGACGCTGACGCTGCTGCTGATTCCGTTCCTGTTCCTGCTGCCGCTCCTGCTGCCGCTCCTGCTTCCGCTCCTGCTTCCGCTCCTGCTTCCGCTCCTGCTGTCTCATTTTTGACTGAGGAACCTCTTCCTGCACCGGCCTCTGCTCCCACTCCCGCTCCTACGCCTGCTTCCGCATCTACTACCGCTTCTGCACCTGCTCCTGACGAACCCGTTCCGGCTGCCCCTGATGCTTCTCCGGTCTCAACCCCTGAGCCTCCTCCTGCTGCTGCTTCCACCTCTGCACAGGCCAGCAAGCCATCTCCCCCCGAGGATCCCAAGCCTGCTCCCCCCGAGGCTGCCAAGCCGGCTGTTCCCGAGGATCCCGAGGAGGCACTGGAGGCGAAGGTCCGGGAGTTCGCCACAGCAGTGGAGAATCAGATCTTGAAGGTGCTGGCGTCGGGCGGGCAGCTGGAGCGCATGCTGTCGCAGTACGGCCCGATTCTGAAGGAGGCTCCTGTGAAGATCGCCCAGGTGCTGGAGACGGCGCGCAGGAGCGGGCTTGACGTGGTGTTTGAGCCGATTCTGGAGCACCACCACCACCATGGGAGGCATCCCCACCATGGGAGGTTCAACGGCTGCGGTGGTCCGAGCGGGGCTGCCTCCTCGTCTGCCTCTGCCTCCGCTGCTGCTGCTGCTGCTTCCTCTGTGGCTGATGCTGACGTTGCTGCTGCTGTTTCTGCGGATGTTGCCGCTGCGACATCTGCGGTGGCTGCAGCTATCGCTGCTGCAGCGGATGCGCTCGGCCCCAACGCTCCCATGGGGGTGTCAGCCGGAGGCAAGGACGATGGGCTCAAGTCTGTGGTGCCTCCAGCGGACGAGGATTCCAAGCTGAAGGATGCAACCACTTCTTCTTCTGCTGCTGCTGCTGCTCCTGCTGCCGCTTCTGCTGCTGCATCGGCGTGTGTGTCTGATTCCCCGCTCGGTGGTGCCTCTCAGGGAGCGAGTGCGGGTGGCAAGGCGGTGCACTTGGGCATCACCTGTGATGGCTGCAACATGCGCCCGCTTAAGGGCAAGCGCTACCGCTCCCTTGTGTAAGCGCTCCTTGGTTATAGAGCCCTCTTTATGCACCTCACCTGCTGTCACCTTTCCGTCTCTTTTTCTTCCTTTTTTTGGTACATGTTTTTTTTTCCCCTTTCGAGGTTTTTTTCTAACATTGCTGTTGTGTGTGTGGGGCATGTGCAGCAAACATGACTTCGACCTGTGCGAGGGGTGCTTCAGCAAGCAGGGCGTGGTGCCGGAGCACTACGAGTGCATCAATAGCTCTCCCTGGTTGGTACATCCCACAGCCACTTCCTCTCCTGCTGCTGCCGCTGCGTCAGGCGCTGCGTCTGTTGCACCAGCCTCTCCGTCGGCCTCTCAGGTAGCGGGAGCAGGCGGGACGGCGGTGCACTACGGCATCATCTGTGATGGGTGCGATGGCCGCCCCATCAAGGGCAAGCGCTACCGCTCTCTCGTGTAAGCACTCCGCGTTGATGCTTGCACTTTTATCAAGTGTTCACTTGCTGGCAGTTTCTGGCTCTACTGATACTGTCTTGTGCACCATTTTTTTTTTTTTTTTTCCTTGCTAAGTGAGCTTTCTCTAAACATTGCTCCTGTGTGTGTCTGTGGCCCGTGTGCAGGAAGGACGATTTCGACCTGTGCGAGGCGTGTTTCAGCAAGCCGGGCGTGGTCTCCGAGCACTACGAGTGCATCGACAGGCCACTCTTCCGCCCCTCGCGCCTGCAGCAGATGGCAGTCCACGCCGCTGGCATGGCTGGCATGGCTGGCATGGCCTCTCCTCTCGTGCCTGGCATGGCATCTGCTCCGTTCCAGCACCACCCGCCCCAGCATGCTCCTGGCATGGTAAGCCCCCTTGCTCTTCCGCCCCTCGCGCCTGCAGCAGATGCCAGTTAATGCTGCTGGCTTGGCTGGCATGGCTGGCATGCTTGGCTGGCATGCATGGCTGGCATGGCTGGCATGGCCTCTGCTGCATGGCCTCTGCTGCATGGCCTCTGCTGCATGGCCTCTGCTGCATGGCCTCTGCTGCGTTCCAGCATCACGTGCCCAGCATGCCCCTGGCATCGCGAGCTCTCTACCCTTTCCTCTTTCCCCACCCTCTTTCCCCTTCCCCCTACCCTTCTCCCTGGTCCCCCCTACTCGTTGCGTTTCTAAGCCTCTTCGCTACGAAATTACATGCCTATCTAATCCTTAGACCCTTTTCCCGTCCCGTCTCCCTGTGCAGCCTGCAGGTCGGCCCTTCTTCACCCCGCGCCCGCACTGCCCCTTCTCCCACCACTCCATGCCGCATGCCTGGGCCCCCGGCCCTGCCTTCAACAAACCCAACCCTGCCTTTAACAGCAACAGCACAGGTGGATCCGTGGGGCAGCTGCACTACGGCAGGGCGCACGGGCGGCTGCTGGACGCGCGGTTTGTGAGGGATGTGAGCGTGCACGACGGCACAGAGATGGCGCCGCTCACCAGGTTCACCAAGATCTGGCGCCTGCGCAACAGCGGCAGCGTGCCGTGGCCCTGCGACCTGCAGGTCATTCATGCGGGCGGCGATCTCCTTTCTGAAACCAGCACCGTTCCTCTGGAGGTGAGCTTGCATGTGCTTTGGCCATCCATCCATTTGTTTCCATTCGCTCCCTCCCTTACATCTTGTTAACTGGAACAAGGGGATCGGATTCCCCTTCTTCTCATTCTGTTTCCTCTTCTCTGTGCTCACTACTGCTCGTCCTGGTTGCCACATGTGTCGAATTCCGGCCCTTCTCTCTTGTCTTCACCTGTTTCTTGGTATTCCCCCTGTCTGCAGCTGCCTCGTGGAGGGGTGTATCCCGAGCAGGAGGTGGACGTGGCGGTGGACATGGCGGCTCCCTCCCGTCCCGGTCGCTACATGTCGCACTGGCGCCTGCTGGCTCCGGGCGGGCCCAAGTTCGGCCACCGCTTCTGGGCGCTCATCCAGGTCAGCATGACTTCCAAACACGTCAGCAATCTTTTGATTCCAGTCAGCATTCCTTGCCTCCAGATCGGCTCTTCTTCAGGCGTATGCATTTCCTCCCTGGGCGCAGCGCAGACCACCATAGACCGCCATTTCCAGACCTATGCGTGTTCAGTTTCCGCTTGAGAACATTTATTCACCTCCCTATCTTTTTGTGTGTGTGTGTTTCTCCTGCCCGTCAATCCCCTCGTGCCATGTGCAGGTTGTGGAGGAGGCGAAGAAGGGCGAGGCGGTTCCTCTCCTTTCCGCTATTCCTGCTGCTGCTGCTGCATCTGCCCCTCCTGAGGCTGCTGCTGCACCAGAGCCCGCTGCTTCTGCTGCTGCATCTGGGCCTGCTGCGGCTACGGCTGCAGCTGATTCTGTTCCCCTGCCGGAAGCTGTCTGTGTGAAGGCAAGCCCCAGTGCCGACGCACCTGCTGCTTCGCCAGCAGAAGGATCAGCAGCTGCTGTGGCCCAGGAGGAGGCTGTAGTTGCTGTGGAGGAGAGTGGTGCTTCACCTGTGGCACCTGTGGTGGAAGTAGCAGAGGAGAAGGAGGAGGATGCGCTTTCTCAGGAGCAGGAGAAGAGAGAAAGCCAGAGAGAGGTGGAAGAGGTGGAAGAAGAGCCTGCTAAGGATGTTGAGGAGGAGAGAGAGTCTGTTGAGGAAGAGGTGAAGGAAGAGATTGTGAAGGAGGAGGCGGTGGAGGAGGAGAAGGAGGAGGAGCAGTGGGAGGATCCTATCATAACTGCGATTCGCAACGCGGTGGATGGCATTGGGACACCGGCCACTGCTGCTGCTGAGTCTGCTGTGGAAGCTGCCATGGCTGCAGCGGGAGACGTGGTGATTGATGTTGCACCTGTATCTCTTGAGCCTGCTGCTGTTGCTGTTGCTGCTGCAGTGGACTTTGGTTCGTCTTCCGACAATGGCTCTGACAAGATGGTTCAGGAGTGGACTGACGTGCACGCCTCGCTGCCTGCAGAGGGTACCACCAGTGCCAACACCAGTACCTCTTCCTCCACTGACATTACCACCACCAACACCACCACGGACACCACCTCCATTACCACCACGGATACTGCCACCACAGAGACTCTCCCTGCTGTTGTGACCGCACCCACAGGTGCCCCTCTGTCAGCCCTGGCTTCGTCCTCCTCTGATGCGTCATCATCTGTGTCGTCCCCCAGGGCCGAGCACACTGCTGTCGGCAGCTTCTCCCTGGTCAACGTCTCCTACCCCTCCATCGCCTCCCTTGCTCCTCCTCCTGCTCCTGCTCCTGCTGCGCCCAGCCAGTCCATGTATCCCTCGGTTGAGAGCATTGGCGTCATGATGCAGGAGCAGCCCCTCACTGCTACTGCTGATGCTGCTGGTGCTGGTGCTGCCATGATGGAGGATCTGCTGACTGGGGATGACTATGTGAATGTGTCCCAGGAAGTGCCTGCCGAGGCAGCTTTCGCTTATGCACCGGCTGGTGCTGCTGCTGCTGCCACTGCACCTGCAGCCATGCCGTCGCCTGCCAGCTTCATTGAGAACGAGGAGGAGATTGAGATGGAGAGTCCCCCTCTCGTCTTCAACTCATCAGCACCTGCTTCTCCCGAGGCTGCTGCTGCTCCTGCTGCCAGTGTCGAGGTGCCTGCCCCTGCTGTAGAGGCCTCTGTTTCCCCCTCTGCTCCTGCACCTGCGGAGCCCACTCAGGAGGAGTCCATCCTCATGGGAGGAGGGGGGATGTACAGCAGCGAGGTGAAGCAGCTGGTGGAGATGGGGTTCCCCTACCCAGGGCTGAATGGGGAGCTGCTGGAGGCGAATGGGGGCGACATGGACCAGGTGGTAACCATGCTGGTGAAGGCAACGACGGAGTTTGAGGATCTGATGGACGAGCTTGAGGAGATGGTAAGTGTTTTTGCTTTCCTGAAGTTACGGTTTTCTTGTGGACGAGGGTGGAGGGCATGCTTGTGTTTGTCGACCGATTTTGGTTATTGACGGAGATGTATGTGGTGGTGTGTGTGGTGGTGTGTGCAGGATTTCACTGACAAGGAGATGAACATGCGCTTGCTGCTCAAGCATGACGGCAGCTTCAAGCGCACTGTGCGCGAGCTGGTGGCCATTGCCAAGGCCAGCAGGAAGGCTGGCAGGGCGGAGCGTGGCTAAGCTACAGTAGTGTTATGGCTAGAGGGTGGTTGGGGGTGTGGCAAGAGTGTCGCTGGCCTCTGGTACTTGAGGTAGGAGGACATGGGGTGGGGTGGGGTGGGGTGGGGAGGGGGCAGGATCTTCATGGGGAGGAGAATCTAGAGGTAGTGTCGGCAGTGGGACTAGTGTTTTGGACGTTGGCAGGTTGCTGGGGTTGACATAGCTGGTCTTGTCATTTTGTATGTAGCGTTGTATCTTTTGTGCATATGAAGTGGTAATTTTGAACGTGGCTTCTAGAGGTCGGTGTTCACCGTAGGTCGCGGCATAATTTTCATCGAAACCTGGATTGTATCCTGTGGGTTCGTCACGAGCGAGGAGAATCTCGAAGATTTCCAGCGCAGCACGGGTGAGGGGTGACGAGGCTGGCCCATTTTGCGCCAATCCCCGTTCAGCCCCTTGCCCCTTCCCCTCCGTCATTCCCAATTTTGGGAATCCCAAATCCTCGGAAATTGCATGTTGGCTGGAAAGGAGAATCTCAAGTTGGAACAACACATCCCTCCATTTCCAAACCATTTTCGAGGTCTCTGGTCCCGCTTTCTTTGAGAATCTCTCACCGCTTGAGAGTCAGGGAAGACAGCTGATACATTTTACGAAACCAGAACCGCGCTTCTCTATACCCCTCGTGTTGGCGTTCCGCTCCGTTCCGTTCCGCTCCGCTCCGTTCCGTCATTGTGAGCCTCAGCTCTTCCTTTCCGGACCCTCGCTACGATCGAACGATGACGACCCTCCCCGCATCTTCCGCTCTGGTAGCGGCTAGATTCACATCGCGTCCGTCTCCCAAAGCTTCGTTCTCTCCGCTGCGATCGGCGGGCAAAACTCCGAGGTTCACTCTCCGCGTGCGCGCCGACGCAAGCGGGGACGCGGAGCCCGTGGTTGAAAATGCGCCCGCCGCGGCGGGATCCGCGGAAGCTCCGCCGAAGAAGAAGATTATCCGGCGGGTGAAGAAGCCGGAAGGGGAGAGTGCTGCGGATGATCTGCTGGCGCCGGGACGGTCGGTGGCGGAGCGCGGTGTGACTGTAGAGGGCGTGGCTAAAGTGGACCGCGGTTCTCAGCTGGACCGCAAAGGAAACGTGTTTGAGCTGTTTGAGGTGAGCAGCGGGGGTGTGGTGTGTGCTGCAGGATGGGTTTCCGTGGTTAAGTAGGTTTGTTTTGAGACGTCTCAAAACTTACCTACTTGAGGTGTGAGCAGCGAGGGTGTGGTGTGTGCTGCATGATGGGTTTCTCTTCTGAAGGGAACATCGAGCAGTCTCAGCTGGACCGCAAGGGGGGTGCTTTTTTAGTCGACTCAATAGTCACCTCGTGGGTGTGGTGTGTGGTGGATGATGGGTTTCTCTTCTAAGGAAACATCGAGCAGTCTCAGCTGGCCCGCATGGTGAGTGTGTTTGATGTGTTTTGGTGAGTGTAGCGTTGATTCAGGCTCTGCAAATAATCACGGCGGTGTGGTGCATGGGGGGGGATGCATGGTGTCAGGGCGATGAGGGGGGGAGTCTCAGCTGTGTTTGAGCTATGCGAGGTGAGCAGGGGGGGGGGAGAGATGAAGTATGGTGCTATTTGAGTTGACTCTAGAACAAGCTAGACTCCAGGAGCAGGATGCAGTATGATGCATGGTGTCTGTTGCCTTGACTAGAAAAAAGACCGTGCTTTTTGTTTCCGTTTCTTGTAATGGACTCACGTGTGGGGTATGACTTCTGTGGAGTTGCCTCGAGAATCATTATTTTTGAGAGTGACGCAAGGCACAATGTCTGTGTCATGTGGCTGTCCATGTCTCATCTCCTACATCCCCCCCAAACCTTCCCACTCCCCCCTCCTCCCCCCTCCTCCCCCCCGTTTCTGTCTTGGTGGCTGCAGTTACTGACATCACTTGTAAGGCGGTGGTAAGGCCTAGGTGGCGCTTTTTTTGTTTTAGCATACTGATATCCATGGGGAGGTGGTATCTAAGGAACTTGGTGGGAAGTGGCAGTGGCACGTGAGCTATGTATCCAATCATTTTCAAAGATCACACTTCACGCCATGTGTGCTATGTAGCCTTGTATCTTCTGTGCATACAAAAGTGGTTGTATTTACAATCTGCGACTTTTGCTGCGACTAACTCTTGGTTCCACCAACTCCAGAATCCAGATCCTGGCCACCCTAGACACGTGGTTCACTTCAATACGTACGCACTGGTTCGTTGCAGAATGATAATAAAGAAAGGGTATGGGGTGCCGTTTCTAATGTGTGTCGGCATGGGGTAGCTGATCTGCTCTGAGCTTGGTGTTTTTTATGTATGTGGTTGCTTTGTTGCCTTGTAATTTTCGTTCATATAGTGCAAACTGTAACAATCGGCGCCCTTGGTAGTGTTTTGAAGTAGAATGTTGTCATATTGGTCGGTGGCGGGAAGTTCCCAAAGTGGGTGATTGCGTCACGGGGCGAGGGCTGACGTTGCTGGGTCATTCCAGGTCATTTCCCCTCCAATCCGCTGCCCTTTCCCCTCCAGCCCACGATTCTGTGGCACATGCTGGAAAATCTCATAACTGTAACTGAACACAAATCCTGAGGCCGCGCAACTCTCTTGGGAATCTCCCATCAGCATTCCGTTTTCTGATACTTTTTTGAGAAAACTCAGCGCAGCGCAGCGCATCTGCTTCCCTGCCCGTAGCATTCCGTTTCCGTTCCGTCAGCTAGATCCGTGTGCGAGCTCTCCCGTTCCTTCTTTGGAAAACGCCTTCACGGCGCACCTCAGATTTTCCTTTACCGAGCCTCGCTATTACCGGAAAATGGCGGCGCTTTCCGCATCTTCCGCTCTGGCAGTGGCTAGATGCACACCGCGTGCGTCTTCCCTCTCGTCTTTCTCCCCACTCCGATCGTTGGTCAAAACCCCGCGCTTCGCTTTCCGCGTGCGCGCCGACGCAAGCGGGGACGCGGAGCCCGCGGTTGAAAATGCGCCCGCCGCCGCGGGATCCGCGGAAGCTCCGCCGAAGAAGAAGATTATCCGGCGGGTGAAGAAGGCGGAAGGGGAAAGTGCTGCGGATGACCTGCTGGCACCTGGGCGGTCTGTGGTGGAGCGCGGTGTGACTGTAGAGGGCGTGGCTAAAGTGGACCGCGGAGAGAGCACGTCCACGCTTACGTGAGTCGCACAATGTCGCTCAACCCACTCTCCATCGTCGCACAGTCCGCTGCCCATTTTCGCAGAGTCGTTGACTATGGAGCACTCACAGAGTATCGCTCACATTCGTCCAAAGCGGCAAACTATTCGGCAGCTTTATGCCTCTCTTGAATCATCAAGTCGCTCTTACCAGCCGCTGTGGTGCGCTCTAGACTCCAGTTGTCAAGGCTCCAGGGCGACGTTTGAGTCGACTCAAAAGTCGCCGCTGTCTTGTGCTCTCCTTGCGAGGCTCCAGTGCTATGCTTCTCATTGGAAGCGTTATCATCTACCAAGCACAGTTATTATCCAGGATACATAAACAGAATACACGCGATTTTGCACAGTTATATGTGTTGGTCTTGGTTTAGATCGGTTTGTCACAGTTGTCTCGGGCTCTCTCCACTCTCCCTTCCGCTCCCCGCTCCACCAGCCGAGCGCTTCTCACAACGGGCGGTGACGCCACTGTGCTGATTCCGTTCGCCTGCATCGGTAGAGTCGAGCCACACACGTGTGTGTCGGCTGCTCCATGCAACCCCCTTGTGTTTGCCCCTTCCCTCTGCTCCCCCCTCCACCAGCCGAGCGCTTCTCACAGCGGCCGGCGATGCCGCTGTGCTGATTCTGTTCGCCTACATCGGCAGAGCCACGCATGTGTCTGCTGCTATCGACTGGGAGCTCATCAAGACCGCGTCGCCCTTCCTTGCAGGTATGGTAGCTATTCCCCGTTTTTTGCACATGCCTTTGTGACAAGGCTGTGCTGATTCTGCTCACCTACATTGGACGAGCCACGCACATGTCCGCGGCTGTATTGACTGGGAGCTCTTTAAACTTCGTGCATCTCTTGCCTTGCTTCATCTTCTTTCTCTCTCCCCCATCTTCCCCCGATCCCCCCCTTGCTCCCGCATGTGCGCATTCCCCTCCTGCGCCCTCCTCCAGTGCCCGCTCCCCCCCCCCCCCCCTCCCCTCCCCCTTTTCCCCCCTCTCCTTCCCTCCCGCTCACCTCCCATTCTAATTGTCCGCACTCTCCACCACCACACCTTCCCAGCCGTCGATCTTTGTTTTCTTCACCATCCACCGTGTCTCCTAGCCGTCGGATTTCTCATGCTGTCTCTGATCCTCCTTCGGTGCACTCTTTCTCATTTTCCCCTTCCCAGGCCCAGCCTTCCCAGGCCCAGCCTTCCCAGGCCCAGCCTTCCCAGGCCCAGCCTTCCCAGGCCCAGCCTTCCCAGGCCCAGCCTGAACTGAATGGCTCTTCGGTGCACCCCTTTTGAGTCGACTCAAAAGCATGTTCCCCTTCCCAGGCTGGGTCATCCCTGCACTCACCCTGCGAGGCAACAGCGCCAACAAGCCAACAAGCCAGTTTCCATTCAGTTTGATCCACCCCTTCCCAATCCACACCCCTCGTCCCCTCCTCCCCCCCCCCCCCCTCTCCCCCAACCCCCCCCCACCCACCCATCCGCCAGGCTGGCTCATATCTGCTATTCTCTTCAACGACTACAGCGTCGGCAAGCCTCTGCCAACCGCTGCCCACTTTCCTCATTCTGTCTTCCTACTTTGCCTCCCATCCCCCACCCCATCTGCCCACCCGCCAGGCTGGTTCATCTCGGCCATTATCTTCAACGACTACAGCATCGGCAAGCCTCTGCCAGGGTCTCCAGGCGAAGCTGCTGGGTCCGCGGTGAAGACCTGGGCGCTGGGCGTGCCGGTGGGTGGTGTGGTGGTGGGAGGAAGGAGTGGGTTGAGGGGCAACGGGTGAATTCTGGTAGCATGGTGGGTAGGGGTGGCTTCGCCAGGGGAGGCTGCTGGGTCCGCGGTGAAGACCTGGGCACTGGGCGTACCGGTGAGTGTTGCGATGGGGGGAAGTTGAGGATGGGGTGAGAGGGGGTGAGAGCAGACCAGGCGAAGCTGCTGGCCCCGCGGTGAAGACCTGGGCGCTGGGCGTACCGGTGAGTGGTGTGGTGATGGGAGGAAGGAGTGGGTTGAGGGGGAAAGGGTGAAGTTTGGTAGCATGGTGGGTGGGTACGGATGGTGTTGCCAGGGGAAGCTGCTGGGCCCGCAGCTAAGTGCTTGTGCTGGGCGTACCAGTGAGTGCCGTGGGGTGGGAGGAAATAGGGGGTTTGGTGGGCGGATTGATGGGAGCATGGCGGGAGGGGGTCAGGGGAAGCTGCTGGGTCCGCAGAAAAGACCTGGGCGCTGGGCGTACCGGTGAGTGGCATGGGGGTGGGAGGGCAGGGTATGAGGAGGTGCGCTTGCTGTGGGTGGGAAATGGGAGCACTGCGATTGGGAGGGTGATAATTTATGAGTTGACTCATAAGGGGTGGGAGGGCAGGGTGCGAGGAGGTGCGCTTGGTGTGGGTGGGGAATGGGTGGGACCACTGCGATCGGCAGGGTGATAAAGAGCCAGACCCCGCAGATATTGTTTTTTTTCAGATGCCTCACGGATAGCTCGGCAGGGTGACACAGGGCCTTCCCTCACAGACACTACTTTTGGTCTCTCCGCCCCTCCCAATTCTCTCGTTTCTCTTCTTTTCCTCCCGCTCCCCCCGTTCTTCCCCCTCCCCCTTTTCCTCCCCCTCCCCTTTTCCTCCCCCTCCCCCTTTTCCTCCCCCTCCCCCTTTTCCTCCCCCTCCCCCTTTTCCTCCCCCTCCCCCTTTTCCTCCCCCCCCCTTTTCCTCCCCTCCCCCTTATCCTCCCCCTCCCCCTTTTCCTCCCCCTCCCCCTCTTCCTCCCCCTCCCCCCGTTCTTCCCCGTTGTCCCTCCCATTCCACTGCTCTCTCTTCCAACTCCAGCTAGGCGTTGCATTCAGGAGTCTGATAAAGGGCCAGCCCCCTCAGCTGCCCTTTTTAGTCGTTTCCATTGTTATGACGGCCGTCTTCATGCTGGGCTGGCGGGCTGCCCTGGCTGCTGCTCTGCCTGGCGATGGGGGGGAGAAGTCTCAGCTGGACCGCAAGGGAAGCGTGTTTGAGCTGTTCGAGGTGAGTGGTAGCGCGGATTCAGGCGAAACAACGAGTCTCAGGTGGACCGCAAGGGGAGTGTGTTTGAGCAATTTGAGGTAGGCACTGGGGTGTGAGTTGAATTGTGATGTTGGCTAAGTTGACTCCAGAATAAGCGAGTGCCCTGCCCAAGAGCAGGATGCAGCATAAAGCATGGTGATAGCTGCATGAAGCATGGTCTTAGCTGCATGAAGCATGGTGATAGCTGCATAAAGCATGGTGTTAACTGCATAAAGCATGGTGTAATCTGCACGAAGCATGGTGTAAGCTGCATGAAGCATGGTGTTAGCTGCATAAAGCATGGTGTTAGCTGCATGAAGCATGGTGTTAGCTGCATAAAGCATGGTGTTAGCTGGATGAAGCTTGGTGTTAGCTGCATAAAGCATGATGTTAGCTGCATGAAGCATGGTGTTAGCTGCATAAAGCATGGTGTTAGCTGCATAAAGCATGGTGTTAGCTGCATGAAGCATGGTGTTAGCTGCATAAAGCATGGTGTTAGCTGCATAAAGCATGGTGTTAGCTGCATGAAGCATGGTGTTAGCTGTATAAAGCATGGTGAAAGCTGCATAAAGTATGGTGTGCTGCATGGACTCGAATAGAGACCAGAACATCCTTCTAATGGGCTGCACGGTTAACTTACGAGTGTGGCTTGCTGGCTTCCAGGGTACAGCACGGCGTTAATTCTGTGGAGTTGCCTGGAAAAGCATTGAAGGCATGACTTCTGGTGATTTCTGAGTCGGCTCAGAACTGCACGGGATGATTCCTGTGGAGCTGCCTGGAAAAGCATTACTTTTGTCCGTGCCCCAAGGCACAGGGTGCTTTGAGATGTCTACAAACTTTGAGATGTCTAAAAACTAGACTGGCTCAAGGCACAAAATTCTGCCTGTGTTGTGTGGCTGTCCATGTCTCATCTCCTCCCCACCCTCTCCCCCTCTCCCCCTTTCTGTCTTGGTGGCTGCAGCTGCTGACATCACTTGTAAGGCGGTGGTGAGACGCAGGCAGTCATTTGGCAGGTGGTGGCACTTCGTCTTGTAGCACGCTGGTACCATGTTTGCGTATGGCAATGGAAGTGGTAACGTCACCTGAGCTTGTTATTCAATCAATTCCAAAGATTGCAAACCTTAAGTATGCTGTGCACCTAGGGACCACATTCATTTTTGCTGTACAGTATGCTTGCATCTGCAGGGTATACACATTTTTCACTTGATGTTTGTAGGGAAGTTCCACACCAAGGAATGAGAGATAAAGACGTATAATCCTTACGCACGTAAAAGCAACAAGAACAGCAATACCTATGTTAGCAACTCTACATCTTACGAGTCGATCAGGATATAAATATTGTAGTGAAAATACCGGTGCCTGTGGGATCAGTTCAATGGCGTAGGGGGGTTAGTGCTAACACCCATGTCACAACTGCGAGCTGTGCGGAGCAGACCTTGCTAAAGGGCTCCCCTGCCGTTCATTACCCAACTCTGAGTCTTCTAAAGCCCCCCCTCCCCCCTGGAGAAGCACCAGGGAGCGAGAACCATAAGCCGCCCTGATCATCTCGGGGGAAGTTAGCTTGCAGTCAGACGCTCACGTCACGTGTAAGGAACCATGCTGACAGGCACTCGGCAGCCGCTAGGGCATGGAGGTGAGGAGGCATGGAGGCGAGCAGCCATGGAGGCGAGGAGCCATGGGGTGATAGCTTCACTTGGGTTGGGTTGGGGGATCAAGCCTTGTTGGTGTCAAAAACTGAGGGGTGCACGAAAGGTGCAGGGGAGGAGGGTTTGTAACGGTAAAATTGAAACCATGACTTCAAATAAAAGAAAGGAACACCTAGTGACGTCAGCAGTGAGTGCACTGTATGCGAATGTGTTGGCAAGCGAGCAGGCGAGAAAGAGAGGTTGAGCGTAGGGGAAGTGAGAATACACGCACTTGAGAGAAAGGGAATGTGAGGGAGTGGGAGTGCTAGAGGGTGATTTAGAATGTGAGATTGCACTCGTGTTAGAGAAGAGGATACAAGAGTCGAGAGACGGCAGTGGAATGGGGGCGTTCACAAAACATCATGGAAAAGACGAGGGCTGGGAGGGTGTGAGATATAACATACTAAATAGAATGGGAATGCACAGCACAATGGCAAGCAATGAGCATTCGAGAGGGTGACAGTGGGCGTGTGCTGGGTGACTTTAGAGTCGACTCAAAAGTCACCTCGTTACTACGGCACGCATGTGGTGTAATGAGTACTGGAGAGGGTGACAGAAGGGGTGTGCTGGGAACTCACACGACATGATGGTGCCCCACACCGATTGGCTTTGGTCTGCACATTGCACAAGAGCGGATGGGCGGATGAGCGGATGGGTGAGGAGAAGGGAAGGTTTGAGCCGACTCAAACGTCAAACCTTGGTGCCTCACGGCTATTGAATTGGTTTGCGCAAGGTGGGGGGAGGGGTGAGTGGGAGGGTAGTTTATGCTGCAAGACCAAAATTCACAAGCTCACTGCGTTGCCACTCTAGCCAGCATCATGACGTCTCCCACAGTTATGATGCTGTCTCTGTGCTGTGGCTGTGCTGTCTATGTGCTGTCTCTGTGCTGTGGCTGTGATGTGCCATGCATGCAGTCATCATGTAATCGTTGCATTCATCATGTCATCATCGTATCAACGTGTGATGTATTCGTTGCTTGTCCTTTGTGACGATGCCAGCCAGCTCGTTGACAGCCGGCGATCAACCACCCACTAGCCACCCTGAGATAGGTTTTAGAGACTTCTCAAAAACCTATCACAGCTAACCTCAACCCTATCTACCTTGTGTCCCGCAGCAAGAGTTCCCATGTCCGAGCACAAGCGAGTTTCTCCGCACCCCACACCACACAGAACCGCACAGCACCACGCTGCACCAACCAGCACTGCACAGCACTGCAGGTCACACCCCGTTCCATCAATCACCTCCATTTACCGGTCGCAGCTCGGCCAGCAGCCTCTTGCTCTGCTCCTCCAAACCCACCGGCACATCACCACGTTTCTATCTCAAATCACCACACAGCACTGCACCGGACAGCACAGCACCACACTATATCCCATATCGCACCTCCACCCACCAAACGCAGCACGGTCACCAGCCTCTTCATATGCTCCTCCAAGGTCACGTGCGTTTCTAGAATGACAAACCACAGCACGATACAGCACCACACATCACCGCACAGCAAACCCCCATGGCTCAACACCATTCACCGAGAGCAGCACGGCCAGCAGCCTCTTCCTCTGCTGCTCCGAAGCCAGCACACTTTCCGTCAGGTTCTTCACCGTCTGCCTCTTGGCATCAGCCATCGCCACCATCCCGTCCCCCTTACCAGCCCACATCAGACACCGCATCACCCCATGACTCACTTCCGTTCACCGATCGCAGCATGGCCACAAGCCTCTTCCGCTGCTCCTCCGAAGCCAGCAGACTCTCAGTCAGGTTCTTCACAGTCGGCCTCTTGGCGCCCACCATCACTCCCCATCCCCTCGTCCTCATCACACAAACCAGCAACCCAAGTCTTACCTCCGTTCACAGACCGCAGAACTGCAACGAGCCTCTTCCGCTGCTCCTCAGAGGCGAGCAGCGACTCGGTCAGGTTCTTCACGGTCTGCCTCTTGGCATCCACCATCGCCTCCATCCCCTCTTCCGCCACCCGCCGCCCCTCCTCCGCCTCCTCCCGTGCCGCCTCCGCCGCCCGCCTCCTCTTCTCCTCCGCCTCCAGCTCCTCCCTCAACTTCCCCAGCTGCTCCTCCGCTTTGGACGCTCGCAGCTCCAGGGCTTGTCGCAGCAGCCGCATCTTTTGGACTTTCTCTTCCGCTTCAGCCAGGCGGGCGCCCCATTCTGCCTCCTGTGCCTTCTGAGTCGACTCAAATGCTGCCTTCTGTGCCTGCAGGAGTGCCTGCACCTCCGCTTCGGTCTTCATTCCTACCCTAGACTCTTCCTCCTTCTCATCCTCTTCCTTGTTCTTTTTCTTCTTCTTCTTCTCCTTGTCTTTCTTATCCTTCTTATCCTTCTTATCCTTCTTACCCTCTTTATCCTTCTTCTCTCTTTTATCCTTTTTCTTCTTCTCTTTCTTCGCCTCATTGTCTTCCTCCTTGTCACTCCCATTGTCACTCCCATTGTCACTCCCATTGTCACTCCCACTCTCGCTGCTACTCTCGCTGTCGCTACTGCTCTTACCATCCTCACTCTTCTCATCACTATCCCCTCTGTCGCCCACATGGTTCTGCCCTGCAACAGATTCCACCTCCCCCACTTCCACCTCCCCCTCTTTCACCTTAACCTCTTCCACCTCGCCGTTGGTTGACACTGCCCCCTCTTTTCCCTCACCACTCGTTTCTGCCACCCCAACCACCTCCCCTTCCTTCTCATTCTCCCCATCAACGTGAATAGTAACCGCTTCCTCCGTCCTTACTAATTCCTCCTCTTCTTTTCCGTCTCCTTCCTGCGTGCTTTCTTCCTCGTCTGTTCCTTCCTCCGCCTTCGCCTCTCCCTTCGCTGCCACGTCCCCTCCCCCCTCTGTCTCACCCCGCCTCTCTTCCTCCTCTCCCCCCTTCTCAGACCTCTCCTCGTCTTCCGTCTTGTCCTCCTCTCCCCTCACTGCGTCCTCTAGGCATCCATCCCCACCCTCTATTCTCTCCTCTCTTCCACCTGCGTTATCCTCCCCATCCTCTTCTCCCGACGACACTGATGCCACGTCATCATCCTTATCCTCCGTAGCCCCCGCTCCATTCCCCCCCGCCTCCTCTGCTGCCCCCTCCCCGTCAACCTCGCCGCTTTCTCCTACAGCGTCGGCCTCAGCACCTTCTTCTCCCCCTCCTCTCCGCTCACTTGCCTCCTCCCCTTCTCCTGGACCACCCTCCTTCCCTTCTCCTCCCTCCCCTCCCTCTCCACTTGCACCCTCTGCCGCATCCTCTCCCCCTTCTTGCCGCTCCTCCTTGCCATCTTCCTTCTCTTCTGCCGTTGCTTCGTCTCCTCCCTCAAGAGCGCTTTCCTCTCTTTTCTCCTCCACCGCCTCATCCTCTGCCTCTCCCCGCTCTACCTCTGCTGCTCTTTCCTCGTCTCCGCTACCCGTACCTTCTTCCGCTTCCCCGCCTTCACCATCACCATCACCACCATCACCAGCAGCAGCAGCAGGCTCACCATCGGACTCTGATTTCTCATCATCATCATCATCGTCTTCCTTCAATGTATCCCCACTCGCCTCCCCACTTGCTTCAGCACTTGCAGCCTCTGCTGCAGCAGCATCCTCTGCAGGTGCTTCTTCGGCGTTAGAACCTCCCGATTCAGTCACCCCCGTCTCCCCCGCATCCTCGGCCTCCCCCTCGCCGCCTTCTTGATTGTCAACTCCCTTCTCCTGCTCGTCTTCTGCCGGCGCAGCATCGTTTGCTTCCGCTTCTGCGTTGCCATCAGCTGCACTCTCTGATTCCACCTCTCCAGCCGTCTCTTCCGCCGCCTCTTCCGTAATTGCCTCAGCAGCTTCAACCGCTGCAGTCTCTTCACTTGCGTTCCCTTCTTCGTTTGTTTCTCCTTCTTCAGTTGCGTCAGCCGCTTCAGTCCCTTCCGCTGCTTTACCTTCGCCACTTGTCTCTCCAGAGTCGCTTGTTTCGCCTGCCTCACCCGCACCACTCACATCACCTGCTTCAGTTGCTTCACCCGGTTCAGCAGGGGTAACTTCCGCTTCTACCTTCCCTTCTTCTTCACCCGCCTTTCCCTCCTCACTGGCCTTCTCTTCACCTTCTGCGTCTCCATTCGCTGCTTCAGCCCCTTCCCCTCCGTCCCCTCCCTCACCCCCTCCGTCCCCTCCCTCACCCCCTCCGTCCACTTCTTCTTCCCCTTCACGCGCATCATCGCCTAATGTCTCTTTGGCAGGGGCGGCTTCAGCCGCCTCTCCCTGCGGCACCTCCTCAGGCGCAGCATTTTCCGCTTCTTCCGTGTCCGACATTGTACGCTTGAGAGTGGAGCGAACGGCCCGAGAAGTTCGCCGCGAGATGTAGTTTCAGGGCTCTAGGAACTAGGACCTTGGACGTACAGATGAGGTTGCTGGAGAGGGAAATTTCCAGGAGACAAAGAAGCATGCGGGATGAATAGTATTGAATAACCATGAAACGGTGATCTTGTTCGCGTCAAACTAGTGCACCGTTCCCAACCTGAACTAGAAAAAGAACATACGTGATCGTTTGATCACCATCGTCTAGAAAAACATAGTGCAAAACACTTACCACTTCAACGCCAGTCTTTAAAGGTTCAAACACGTTCCCTAGTGTACTCCAATCGCTGACGACTAATGGCAAGAGATTATCTAGAGCTCGATGCGTATTCTTAGGGTAGCAAGCTCAACTCTGAAAGCTAAAACCGAAAGTGACGCGCTAAGGAGCACATGCTGCAGCTGATGTATCAATCTGCTTCGCCCCCAATTCCCTAGGGTCAGCCATTCAGCTCACAACAAGGTCCGCCTACACCCCACCAAACCTGACGTTTCTTTCCCACGCCTCAACCCAGCTTTTCCCGTCAGGGGGTTCCGTTCAGGCCAGGAATCAGCACCTCGGTTCTCTCGTAGCCGAACCTGTTTTAGGCACGGCCACACCAGTGAAACATCAAGGTTCGGCTTCTCACCTACCTCTTCAGCCCACGGCAAGAAGCCCCGCTTGCGCCAGAAATCAAGACTCGGAGAAAGGCGGGATGCTTATTACGGGCGGTTGTGGTTCGGTCTCTGGTGAGGGCCAATGGTGTGACGGAAAAGGTGGTTGCTGGTTCTGGTATGGAGGCTCGGAAAATTACGTCTATGGCTCGGATTTCGGGCCAACACCTCATCAGCGACTGCGATTGGGGACTTCGATAACTTCGCGGCACGGGTTCCACGTCGGGCTCCTCATGTGAGGTTGATGCGAAGGCAAGCGAAGAATGAGCGAAACCCCTTCGTTGTAATGACAACGAAGAGGTCCGCATACACCCCTACAGAACCCAAACAGCTATCCAAACAGCAATACGTTCGGAATCTGAACAAAACAAAATTTCACTACATACAACTACAAACCCTTTATTATTAAGCAAGAAGCTAGCGAACAGTCACTTATGAGACAAAACGAAACAAGGCGTTCAGTAAATGCAAGCTATACTGATTTCTGATCAGCAAGGCCTAACATCCACATCACTTGGGCAGATATCTTCAGCTCTTGAGAGCCTTCTTCGTCTCCTCCAACGCATGGGCCGCCTTCTCTGCCTCTGCCCTTGCCTCCTCTGCAATCAACCTCCCCTTCTCAGCCGCCTCCCTCAACCTCTCCGCCTCCAGCTGCTTCCTCTCAGCCTCCTCTCTCGCGCTCCCAGCACTCATTCTCGCCTTAGCAGCCTCTTCCTTCGCCTTTTCCGCCTCGCCCCTCCTACGCTCCGCCTCCTCCTTCGCCTTCTCAGCCCGCTTCCTCTTCTCTTCAGCCTCCTCTCTCTGCGCCTCTGCCGCCTTTCGCGCATTCTCTGCCTCTTCCTTCTTCCTTTCCAGCTCTACCCTCTCAGCCTCAGCCCGCGCCTTAGCCGCCTCTCGCAGTAATGCCAGATTATTCTGAGCTTTCTCTGCCTCTTCCTTCGCCCGCTCTGCCTGCTCCCTCGCCCGTTCTGCCTCCTCCCTGGCCTTCTCTGCCGCCTCTCTCTTCCTCACAGCCTCCTCTCTCTCCGCCTCTGCGTGTGCCCTTCCCTTCTCAGCCTCAGCCTGCTTCTTGTCAGCCTCTGCCTTGGCATTCTCGGCCTCCTCTCTCTTAGCAGCAGCCTTTGCTTTAACCTGCTCGGCCTGCTCTCGCTTCGCATCTGCCTCCTCCCTCGCTCTCACCGCGGCTTCCTTGGCTGCATTCGCCCGCTTCTTAGCTTCGGCTGCCTCCTCTTTCCTCAACTCGGCTTCTCGTCCCTTTCTTTCTGCTTCGGCACGAGCATTCGCCGCTTCCGCCTGCCTGGCATCCGCCCCAGCCTTCGCCCTCTCCGCCTCCCCCTGCCTCACTTCCGCCTCCCTCTGCTTCTCCTCCGCCTCCCGCTGTTTACCTTCAGCCTCAGCACGCGCTTTCTCCGCCTTTACCCGCCTCTCCTCCGCCACATTTCGCGCCTTTTCTGCCTCAACGCGAGCATTCTCGGCGTCCAGTCTCTTAGCCTCTGCCGTGCCTCGCAGAGACCTCGCGTCTTTGCCCGAACCTGCTTCAGGCACGGCCATACCAGAAATGTTACCAGGCTTGGCTATGATGTATCTTCCCGCCTATGCTAATTCTCTATGCACGCCTCGTTAGGAAGGCTCGCTTGCTCGAGAAAAAAGAGGGCTCGGGAATAAGTTTCTTGGTCAGTGGTGCTTACTGTGGGGGTTTTCCGATGGTGAGGGTGGTCATTGCAGCGCAGTGCTAGTGCCGTTAGGTTCAGCTGGGTTGATCTATAAAACAAACCTATACAGAGTGGTGAAGTACGGTAAATTGTGGGGTTCATTCTTGGCCTGCTAAACACCACTTCAGCGTCCGCGCAACGTGATCGGGTTACAAGGGACACGTCTCGACACTTGACCGCTTCGCGCCACGGTTTTCACGTCGAGGTTCCAACACGATATCGTGCGAAAAGAGGCGAAGCGAACGAAATTGACTGTCGTGGTGACAACAACGAGGCCCACTTTCCCCAACAAGCCTGAACAGATAATTTCTGATGTTGCGAAAGAACACCCCGAACGAGTCCAGGCATAAGGTTACAACATCTATGAAGCACCCCTCCCTACTCGTTCTAAATGATTCAACTTCTCATTTGTGACGAGCAATCCATGTATTCAATTCCCTCATTTGATAGTTCTGTAAGCAATTCACATAAATCTACAGAAGGCATGTCCCCTAGCATTGAACCTAACGACACAAGGCTTGAAGAATAAATAAGAAATTGCCATTCTGTCTCACTTGAAAACCTTTTTCAGAAAGCCGCGGCTCTTCAGCTCGAGCTCCTTCTTGGTCTCTTCCAGCACATGAGCCGTGTGATCCCTCGCCTGCTCTGCCTCGGCCCTCGCTTCCTCCGCAATCAACCTCCCTTTCTCAGCCTCCTCCCTCAACCTGTCCGCCTCCTGCTGCTTCCTCTCCGCCTCAGCTCGCTTCCCCTCCGCATCCCCCTGCTTCCTCTCTGCCTCCTCCCTCGCACTCTCAGCATCCATCCTCGCCTTCACAGCCTCCTCCTTTGTCTTTTCCGCCTCATCCCTCCTGCGTTCCGCCTCCTCCTTTGCCTTCTCAGCCTTCTCCCTCATCTCTTCCGCCTCCTCCCTCTGCGCATCAGCCTCGTCCCTCGCGTACTCAGCCTCGGCCTTCTTCCTCTCCAGCTCTGCCTGCTCTTTCTCAGCCTCAGCTCTCGCATTAGCAGCCTCGCCCAGCAAAGCAAGGGACTCCTGGAGACTCGCCCGTGCACTCTGCCTGGCCTTCTCGGCCTCCTCCCTCCCCTCCTCCGCATCTGCCCTTGCAGCCTCAGCCTCCTCCTGAGCCCTCTCCGCCTCTTCCTTCGCCTGCTCTGCCTGCTCCTTCGCCTCCTCTGCCTCCTGCTGGGCCTTCTCTGCCGCCTCTCTCCCCCTCACAGCCTCATCTCTCTCCGCCTCTGCTTCCTCCCTTGCCCTCTCAGCCTCAGCCTGCTTCCTGTCAGCCTCTGCCTTGGCATTCTCGGCCTCCTCCCTCTTAGCATCAGCCTCTGCCTTAGCCTGCTCTGCCTGCTCTCTGCTCGCCTCAGCCTCCTCCCTCGCTCTCACCGCCTCTACTTTGGCAGCAACTGCCTGCTCCTTAGCCTCAATTGCCTCTTCTTTCCTCAGCTCCGCTTCTCTCTCCTTCCTCTCTGCTTCAGCCTGACCACTCTCCGCTTCTGCCTGCCTTGCCTCAGCCTCCTCCTTCGCCTTCTCCGCATCCCTCTGCTTCTCCTCCGCCTCCCGCTGCTTACCTTCAGCCTCGGCACGTGCCTTCTCGGCCTCCTCCCGCCTCTCCTCTGCCGCATCTCTCGCCTCCTCTGCTTCAGCACGAGCAGCCTCAGCGTCCAGCCTCTTAGCATCAGCCACCTCTTTACCCCGCACTGTTTCATCCCTCTCTCGTTCTGCCTCCTCCTGCTTCTTCTCAGCTGCTTCTTGTGCCTTCACAGCCTCGTCTCGCTTCGCCTCTGCTTCATCCCTCCTCGTCTCAGCCTCCTCCTTCGCCTTCTCAGCCTCTTTCCTTGCCTTAACAGCGTCCTCCCGCTCTCTCTCGGCCTCCTCCCTTGCCCGCTCAGCATCCCTCATCCTACCTTCCGCCTCCTCCTGCTTCTGCTCCGCTGCTGCCTGAGCAGCCTCAGCCCCCGCCTGTTTCTCCTCAGCCTCCTCCCTCTGCTTCTCCGCCTCACCCTGCTTCCTTAACGCCTCTTCCTTAGCTTCCTCCGCCGCATCCCTCTCCCTCTCCGCCTCTCCCCTCGCAGCCTCTGCTTCGTCCCTCGCCTTCTCTGCCCCGGCTTGCCTTCCCTGCGCCTCCTCTTTCTCCCGTTCAGCGTCCTCCCGAGCCCTCTCAGCCTCGTCTCTCTGCCTCTCTGCCTCATCCCTCACCCTCTCCGCCTCCTCCTTTGCTCTTTCAGCATCTGCTTTCCTCGCTTCAGCCTCTGCCTGAGCCTGTTCAGCTGCCTCCCTCCCTGTCTCCGCCTCCTCCTGCTTCCTCTCCGCCTCAGCACGAGCACTCTCCGCCTCCTCCTTCCTCCTCTCCGCCTCCTCCCTCGCCTTAACCGCCTCATCCCTCTCTCCCTCCGCCTCTGCTCTTGCTGCTTCAGCCAGCGCCTTAGCATCTTCTGCTTGTGCCTTAGCCTCCTCTGCCTCCACCTTAGCCTTCTCAGCCTCATCCCTCCTCCCTTCTGCCAGTTCCTTCTCCCTAACAGCCTCCTCCCTCGCCCTCTCCGCCTCCTCCTCCCTCCTCACAGCCTCGTCCTTCTGCCTCTCAGCCTCCTCCCTCTTTCCCTCTGCCACCTCCCGCGCCTCTTCCGCCTCCGCCTGTTTCCTCTCCGCCTCCTCCCTCATGCTCTCCGCCTGCGCCCTGGCAGATTCCGCTTCCGCCTGAGCTTGCTCCGCTGCAGCCCTCCCCGCCTCAGCAGCAGCCATGGCTTCCAGAGCCTCTTCCCTCCTCCTCTCCGCCCCTCCTTGTGCTTTTTCCGCTGCGGCCCTAGCAGCTTCCGCCTCTGCCTTCGCTGCCTCTGCATCTGCCTTCGCCTCCTCCGCCTCTGCTTGCGCCGCCTCCGCCTCTGCCTGCTTCCTCTCCGCCTCTGCCTGCTTCCTCTCCGCCTCCGCACGTCTCTCCTCCGCCTCCTCCCTCTGCTTCTCCGCCTCTGCCCTTGCCTTCTCAGCAGCCTCCCTACCCTTCTCCGCCTCCTCTCTCTCATGCTCCGCACTCACCTTCGCCTCCTCCTCCTCCTGCCTCCTCCTCTCCGCCTCCGCACGTCCCTTCTCCGCCTCTTCCCTCTGCTTCTCTGCCTCTGCTCTTTCCTTCTCAGCAGCCTCCCTACCCTTCTCCGCCTCCTCTCTCCCATGTACCGCCCCCACCCTCGCCTCCTCCTCCTCCTCCCTCTTCCTCTCCGCCTCTTCTGCCCTCTCCTCCGCCTCCTCCCGCGCCTTTTCTGCCTCCATCCGAGCACTCTCAGCCTCGTCCCTCTCCTTCTCTGCATTCCCTTTCAGCTTCTCGGCCTGTTCACACGCCTTCTCAGCCTCCTCTTTCCTCATTTCGGCCTCATCCCTCCTCGCCTCGGCGTCCTTTCTCGCTTCCACTGCCTCCTGCTCCTTCCGCTCTGCCTCAGCCTTCTCACTCTCCGCTTCGGCTTGCCTCCTCTCAGCTTCCGCCCTCCCCTCCTCCGCCTCCTCCCTCCGCTTCTCCGCTTCAGCCTTTGCTGTCTCCGCCTCACCCCTAGCGCGTTCAGCTTCCTCTTTCGCTGCTTCCGCCTCCTCCCGAGCCTTTTCCGCTTCCGCTCTGGCTGCCTCCGCCTCTTCCTTGTCCTTCTCAGCCTCCACCCTTGCTGCTTCAGCATCGTCCTTGTCCTTGTCAGCTTGCGCCTTCGCCACTTCAGCCTCCTCCCGAGCGCTTTCTGCCTCTGCTCGCTCCCTTTCTGCTTCCTCCTTAGCCTTCTCCGCCTCCTCTCTCAACATCACAGCCTGCTTCGTCTCCGACTCAGCTTCCTCCCTCGCCTTTTCCGCCTCCGCTTGCTTCCGCTCAGCCTCTAAACGAGCGTCCCCTGCCAGCTGCTGCTGTGCTTGGGCGTCGTCCCTCGCACGCTCGGCCTCCTCTTTTGCACTTATAGCCTCCTCCTTTGCTTTTTCTGCTTCCTCCTTTGCTTTCTCCGCCTCCTCCTGTGCTTTCTCTGCTTCCTCTTTTGCTTTCTCTGCCTCCTCCCTCGCCCTTTCAGCCTCTTCCTTCGCTCCCTCAGCTTGCCGCTGCCTCTCCTCAGCTTCCACGCGCGCCTCTTCCGCTTCCGCCCTCCCCTTCTCCGCCTCTGCCTGCTCCCCTTCCGCCTGTGCCCGAGCCCGCTCCGCCTCCTCCTTCGCCCCTTCCGCCTCCTCTCTCGCCTTAACCGCCTCCGCGCGCTGCTCCTCCGCCTCATCACGAATCCTCTCCGCCTTCTCTTTCTCCGCCAACGCTTCTTCCCTTGCCGCCTCCGCCTCCTGCTGCTTCCTCTCCGCATCAGCTCGAACCGTCTCTGCGTCAGCAGCGGCGGCCTCCGCCGCTGCTCTGTTTGCCTCCGCCTCCGCTTGCGCCGCCAGAGCCTCGTCCCGCACCCTCTCCGCCTGCTCTCGTGTTGCATCCGCCTCTTCCTTGGCCTTTTCCGCCTCGTCCTTAGCCCTCTCCGCCTCTCCCTTACCTTTCTCCGCCTCTGCCTTCTCCCCAATAGCCTGCTCCATCAATTCCTCCGCCTCCTCGCGCTTCTTGAGCTCGTCCTCAAGCACTTTCTGCAGCTCCGCCTTCTCCCCTTCCACATCCGCTTTCCGCGTCAGAGCCTCGTCCCTCTGCCGTTCCGCCCCCCTCCTCTCCTCCTCCGCGTCCCTCCGTGCGGCCTCCACCAACTCTTCCATTTTCGACACCACCTCTCTTTTCTCCAGCAGAGCCTGCACCTTATGTATTTCCGCCTCTTCCCTCGCCTTCCGTGCCTCATCCCTCTCCTTCTCAACTTCTTCCAGTTTCCCCTCTACTGCCTCCTTCTCCTCCCTCACCCTCCCAATCGCTTCCAGAGCCTCTTTCTCCGAAGCCATCCTCCTCTTGTTATCCTTTGTAAGCTTCTCCACTTTCTCCTTTAAGCTGTCATGCACAAACTTATACTTCCCAAGATCCACCTCCATAGCCATCATTTTCTCCTCCATTTCTTTAATCTCCTTATCTTTTGCCCCCATCGCGGCTCCCCGCCCTCCAGCGTTTTTGCTCTCCGCCAATTCGCTCCTCAGCTTCTCAATTTCCGCCCGCATTTCACCAGCAGTATCCTTCGAAACGCCACCTGTCTTCCATGAGTCAATCTCTTTCGTCATCTGCCCAATTTGTTCCTTCGCCGCCTTCAGTTCCCCTTGCATCGTCTCCATTTTCAGCCGCATGTCCATATTCTTTATTTTCAGCTGCCCGAGCTCCACCTCCAGACCCACATTGGAGTCTTTCGCAACTCCTGAAACCGCAGCACTCGGTCCAGTTCGGCCCGAACCAGCAGCACTGGGTACGGTTCGGCCCGAACCAGCAGGTACCGGAACGGCTCCGCCACCTTGACTGGCCTTGGTCCTGAAAGTCGCGACTCTGGCGGCGACACTGAAGCTTGATGATGTAGGCTTCTTCTCTGGTAACCAGTCATCATTGGAATCTGCGAAACCATACAATATCGGAGACATAAAGGGTTAAAACAAATGCGAAGAAAAACAAGAGACTAAACCCTGCCATTCCCCACGTACGAACCTGACATCGTCGCGAGGTAGCGCGAAAAGCTGGCGACGGCTCAGACGTTCCTGGTGCTGCTTCTGGTCGAAAATATAACTATCGACGCCCTTATTAACGCAAGACGAAAAAAAATAATAAGGTTACAAGAAGAGCAAGAGAAAAGCGATGGTCAGGAGCTAAGGCTTAAATACGGAGGATTCTGATTACGCAATAGGGCGTGAAACATTCTAAGATGAACGAGCTGTACGAACGTCTCAGAGCTTGAAGTCATAAAGATGGATCGTTGCAATAAATACTCTCGCAGTACATCCCCCTCGACTGCATAAACCAGCCACAAAGGCTCCGTAAAGAGGTTATGTTGCCTTGGGGAGAGTAGGATAAATGGAAGATGACAGTTGAGTCAAGGTAGTAGATCAATCCCAAATGTGACTTCCAGCTCCGAGGCAGAAATCAATAGAATCTAGTCAGGTGGACGGAATACCTGCTCGATGGTTCTAACTGGGGCGAAATACAATCCCAATGTTGGTGTGCTGTGAGGAGGGACAGACATCCAGCCTTGGGTTCAGTTCGTTCATTTTGGCAGGATGGAGGGGCAACTGGACTTGACGGAACGGCACAGAACGGGCCAGAACAAGACGGAACGGAACGGAACGGAACAAGAAGCAGCTTCGGCTTGGTTTGGTTGGATGGACCAAACCCCGAGGAGCTGAAGGTGGGGGCTTGTCGTGGTGGCATCCCTGTTTGGTGTGTCGAGCCTAGCACCCCACCAATATGGCACGTTCGGTTGCGGTGTGCCACGTTGAGCGCACTTGACTGTGGATGGAGGTTCGTGGCGTCGCCAATAATGACGCTCATTCCTGTAAATAAGCCAATATATGTGCATGCTTGTTAGCAGCTGTATTTATTTCATTTGAAGGCCTAAGCCGTTCAACGGCAACCGCCACATCACCGCTGAGCTGGATTTTTCATTGGGCTCTTGCCTGCCACTCCGGTACTTCCCAAGCCGTTTCCGTGCCTCCAACCAAACTCAGTACCCCAGCACTCAAAACATGCCTACCAGTGGCTGAGACGCCCCGTACCTCCCACGCTCATCACCATGCCTCACTGGGGGCACGTCCTCGCGAACCTGTCAACATGGCTTGGTGCTTCCCATGGCTGAACATGCTGGCTAGGTCAGCCGCGCCGCTGATTGTGTGACATTTCGACATTTGATGGCATTTGGTCGGACCAAGAGGAAGAAAGTGATGGGCTGCTGCCTCCCTTCCTCTCTGCCGCATTGTGTTCAATTCCCCAGTGCCCAACACTCCACGTCTCTTTCTTACCCCCGTACAACTCGCGACGAGCCACAGAAGAAATGACTTGCTATCAGCCGCAACGACAGTTGAGCAGCACCAAGGTGTCGGACGTATTCATAGAACCACTAAAGTAGCTAACGTCACAGCGCGGCTAGAGTGCAGTCTGGCTTTCGTGACCATCTAGGACCCATCGGCATTAGCCAAACAGAGTCAGTAAGGGTTTTGGCCTTAGCACAGTCGCATCCATCCTTGCTTTTCCAATAGAATACCTAGAAATAGCACAGCTGTCCTAGAATGGCGGTCAACGTTGTCCTTTCGAAATCAGAAAGAGCAGCTCTTTCCAAAAAGTTTAGTTATCTGAAACGACTTCATACCGGAGACGACGAGGACGACAGTAACGAGGACGACTCCGACGAGGGATCCAATCACGGCAGAATAATTCGCCGAGACCCGAACAAGAGCAGCGATAGCAGCAGCGGGGAGGGTTCAGACGACGGAGCAAGCATCCCTGACGAGAACGGGCTCGGGGACGGCTCCTGCGGCGGCAGCGGCGCGAATGTCACTGTCTATGGACCCGAAAGCGGCAACTGCAGCGGCGGCGGTGACGCGGTTGCCGGTTCTACCGGGGCTGGTCCCAGTCCCGCTGGTCTCTGTCTCGCTGGTCCCAGTCCCGCTACATCCTCGACATTGACCGGCGAAAGCGGCGGGTTTACTTTCAGTCGAGACTACTTCAACTCTTTGCCAGGGGCTCGCGACATCGGCAGCAGCAGCAGCAGCCGGCGCTCGAGTTTGAGCTCGGCTTTGGGCGCAAAGCAGGACAAACAGCCGGAGGGTCGCTCTCTCGAAAGCGAGACTCGAGGTCGTTCTTTCCCAGCGACTCGAGACTGGGGCGCGAAGCAGGAGACGCAGATGGAGAGTCGCTCTTTTGAAAGCGAGACTCAAAGTCGTTCTTTCCTGACGGCTCGAGACTGGGGCACGCAGCAGGGGACGCAGGTGGAGAGTCGCTCTCTCGAAGACGAAACTCGAGGTCGTTCGTTGCAGATGACTCAAGTCCGGGGCGCGAAGCAGGGGATGCAGGCTGAGAGTCGTGAGGTCCAGCGCGCCGGCGACGGCTTGCCTGAAGCCGGCAGGTTCACCGGTAACCGGGCCGGACTGTCGGACACCGGCAATGGTTCGTCTGACGTCAGCCACGCGTTGTCGGAGGACAAGGGCTCGTTTTCTGACGTCAGCAGGTTTGCGTGTTTTGAGTTGTCTCAAACTGCAAGCGCTGTAAGCTCCGATGGCTCCGCGGGCTCCGCCAGCTCCGCCGGCTCCGCTGGCTCCGCGATGGACGAGGTGCGCCGGGTAGAGCGGAGGGTGAAAGCCACGGAACGTACAATCGACTCGGAACGGAGTCTCGAGTCAAAACGGACTCTCGAGTTGACTCCAAACGCAGTCACGGAAAGCGCGGAGCGGCGAGGTGGCGCGGGCGCTGGGCTTTTCGAGACGCTTCGAAACGGCGAGGCTTGGCGGGTCGAGCGGAATGAGGCCGAAGCGGGACGGACTCCCCAGTCGAGTCGAACGGTCGACGCCATAGCCGCGGAAGCCGCGGACGGCTCACGGTGCGTGGTCGTCATTGATTCGAGCGAATCTAACTATTCTGACGCGTTGCCGGATAAGTCAGCCATGGATCGGGCTATAAAGGCCATGGAGCGAATCGGCGCAACTGGCGGCGGGGATGGCGGAGGAGGGGGGGAGGAGGACGGCGGGGGACGAGTCGGTGAGGGGGAAAGCGGAGACGGGGAAGGGGAACGGCGGAGGCGGAAGAGCGTGGAGGAACTAGAGAAGGAGGTGGACGAGGTTAAGGAGGCTTCGCACCGCATAGCCGTCATGTTTTACCAGCAGGACCAGGAACTTAAAGACCTAAGGGAAAGTCACCTAGCGCTAAAGGAGGATCATAAGCGCATATCGATTCAGCTACAAGCGGCGCAGGCGGAAACCGACGAGCTGTGGAATCAGCTCGCGGCGGCGTCCCGCCAGAAGGAGGCGGCGGAAGCAACGGCGGCGGAACTGCGCCTGAAGATCCGCATGCTGGCGGGGAACGTGGAGGAGCTGGAGGGGGAGGCGGAGAGCGAGGGGGGGTGGGGCGGCGGGGGAAAAAGCGGAAGCGGAAGCAGAGGCGGAGGCGGAGGTGGGGCAGGGGTTGGCGGAACGGTTGCCCCGGACGGGGCTAGGAGTCTGGAGTCCGATCTCGTCGGTTTGAGGAAGCTTAAGGACCTGGAATGGGAGTTAATCTCCGCCCGAAGCGCGCGCGACCGCGCTATGACGGTTTTGGTGGGGATGAGAGAGGAGTGGAATAATCTCCGCAAGCTACGCCTGCAGTTAGACGCGCTAACGGCTGCCAAGGAAGTAGCTGGCGCTTCTAGCGGCGCCAACGGTGGCGCAAACGGCGGCCGCGGCGTTTATGCGACGGACCGTAGGGCCGGGGGGGGACTTGCCGGGGGGAACGTGGGGGGAAGGGCATATTGCGGAACATCACGGGGGGAAGAGAACGCGGGGGAGGCGGGGGGGAGGAGCTGCTGAAGGGAGTGGAGGCGGAGATTGCGGCGGAGGCGGACAAGTGGCGGAAGGTGGTTGGTCAGCTGCAGGAGCATCATGTGCGCGCAGTGGTGGAGGCGAAAGACGCGGCGGAGAAATGCGCCGGCGCGCGGAGGCAGGCGGAAGCCGCCACGGAAGAAGCGACGCGGCTGAGGCGGGAGATGGAGCGAGTAAGAGAGGAGAAGACTATTGCGGAGGAGGATCTTAGAGACTTCCGGAAGGGGTGGAAGGACTTAGCGGGGCATTTAGAGACGTTCGCGGCGAAGGTCAGCGAGATGGACGCGGAATTGGCGGTAAGGAGGAAGGAGCGGGAGATGATGGCGGTGGAGATTGAACGGTCGGGGAAAGAGCGAGATTTAATGGCGGTAGAGATCGAACGGTTGAGAAAAGAGCGGGATTTAATGGTGGTGGAGATCGAACGGCTGAGGAAAGATCGCGATCTGATGGCGCTGGAGATCGAACGGCTCAGCAAAGAACGCGACTACATGGCGGTGGAGATCGAACGGCTGAGCAAAGAGCGCGCGGAGGCAGAAGAATCGGCGGAACGAGCCCGCGCGGAGATGTGGGGGGAGCGGGAAAAGCGGCTGGGGGAAGTGCAGGACGCGGAGGAGAAAGCGAGGAGGATCCGCGAGCGCGCGGGGCACGCGTTAGAAGCATACGCGGAGGAGAAAAAAGAGGTCGAGAATATGTTACTAAATCGAGTGCAAAGTTTACAGGTGGCGGTGGAGGAATTGCAGGGGCAGCTGGATGACGTGCAAGGCGCGAAATCCCGACTCGCGCACGCCGCGGGCGCGTTCATGCGGGAGTTTCAGTACACGGGCGCAAGGGGAGGGGGAGGGGGGGGCGGAACCGGGGCGGGAGGGGGAGCGGAAGGCGGAAGGTTTCGGGAGGAAGCGAACGGGTATTACGGTGAAGGGGGGGGGGATGCAGGGGAATGGGCGCAGGGCGGGCGTTTCTGGATGATACGGGAGGGAGGTTGGGGAATCTTAGCCCTCCATCCACTGGAGATGGTTTGGGATCCAAAATCGGACGGTCATTAGAGCAGGGCTTGTCTGGGCGGCAGATAATCGAGGAGCTGGATTACCTGTCCGATGGGGGAGGCTTGGGAGGTGGCAGCAGAGCCTCGGCAGGCGCCCGAGCCTCTGGTGCAGGTCGGGATGAGATGGTCCGGAGTGGTATCATTGGGCAGAGGAGCTTCGGGTCGAGAAGTGGTGGGAGAGGGGCGATGGGGATGGCAGCAGCAGCAGCAGTAACTGCTGTTGACTATGGGGCATCCATGGGGGGGGGTCTTGCCCATTCCTCCGGTGGTGTGGCTGGTGCTGGTGCTGGTGCTGGTGCCAGTGAGAGGAGGAGGTGGAGTGCAGCAACGGAGCTTGAGCATGCTTTACAGGCAGACCGAGGTGGCGGTGGGGAGGCTATGGATGACGACATGAGGTCTACACGCAGTGGGGGGGGTGGCTCAAGGAGGTCGTACGTTGGAGGGATGATGGGAGGAGCAGCAGGAGGAGGAGGAACAGGAGGAGGAGGAGCAGGAGGAGGGGGGTATGCTTGTGGTGCGGGGGCAGGGTTGCAGCCTAGGACGCCGAGAGGGAGTGCAAGAGCAGGTGTGTTTTCGGACACAGGTGATTTTGCCAGCACAAACAAAGCATATGCTGCTCCTTGTTCGAGTAAGAGTTCCTATTTTTTTCCAAAACCTTATCCCCCACACCGGCTTCCCCTCCTTCCTACCTCTCTCTTACTCGCTCTCACACTTTCTGTACCATTCCCCCCCCGCCCTCCCGCGCACCCCTATGCGTGCCAATTCTCAACCTCGAATCTCCCTTCTGCACCAATAAATCTCTGATTATTCCGCTTCGCCCCTTTTGCCATGTTCTTTCGCTCCAGCGTCTCGAGGCAGGGGCGGACTCCGAGGCACCATAAATGAAGACGATGGGGCCGATGCTGCTTCAATTGCCGCCTCCATTCGCCGGGAGAGAGAACGCGAGCGGGAGAGGGACCGAGATCGCAGCACTGAGTACCTCCAGCAGTGCGATCGTGAGCGTCGATTCCGGGATGAGAGGGAGGACGATGACAGGATATCCGTCCATGCTCTGGAGAAGTATGCACCAAATCTGGCTCGTAGTTTGAACATTGGTGGTATTGCTTCTTCAGGAGCCTCCGGAGGTGGTGCAAGCAGGCATGGGGTTGATGATGACGATGATGCCAGGAGCGTTGCCAGCAGCCGCAAGTCGTGTCTCTCGGGTAGAGGAAGTCGGTACTCGACTACTTCATCTGGTGTAGCGGCCACAAATCCAAGAGGAAGGGCAGCTGTTGGGGACCATTCAACGCTTTACTAGTGAGGTTCTTCGTAGCCAATAAATAGCACACACTACCAGTATTCGAAGCTTCAATACACACATTGGAAGCTTTCATATATTTTTATTATATTCTTTTGTGTTTGACTCTGAATGTTGAGTGAATTTTGCTTTCTAACTTGTGAAGCGAGCGAACGAATGGCATTGTACGTTGAACACTTGGTTGTTTTCGCTCATAGGGGAGTATCCCATAGTTGTGGACGATCTCATAATGTCTATCGGGTGGCGCTAAGTGAGTACATTTTGGACATTCAAACTGAGACTTCAAGCTCACGCACAGCTCTCACGTTCACCGAACCACATATTCTGCCGGTTCGGCGACACCTCGCCAAGCCTCGCATTCAAATTTCGAGACACGCGATACGCGTTCCCGCCAGGCGTGGCTCTTGTTTCCCTAACAGCCACCGTGCCGAACCGAACCACCAGCAGCGCCGAACCAGACGACGCTATCTTCTTCATGGCCTTGGTTCGGCCTTGATTCACAGCAGCAAGGTCGCAGCCACCCGCCCTTGGGATTTGCGAGTGAGGAAGTGAGCAAGTTTCTATATCCTGGTTTCCATGGCCTCAGGACTCTAGGTTCTGGTTCCTAGAAGTGGTATTGTGCAGAATACGAATGGTATTCGTGCGACAGATTACGTAGCCCTCTTTGTGTAGGGTTTCTAGCTCCGCATTTGAGCACATCGTTTGTACCGCCGTGTTCGTAGCTTCAGCTTAGTGACTAGGAGGCCGCCAGCTGACAGAAAGCAGTATGGCAGCCGATTCGAGCGAGGACGAGGTAAGTCGCAGTACCGTGCAGTAACGATAGCTTAGCTCAATACTGTAGGTAGGTGTACCTTTTTTTAATGTATAAATTTTGGTATTTCAAACCTCTATTGGGTTAGCTTAAACGTTTATTAACTTTGCCTTTCTTTTTCGCTCGATCGCAGTATATTCCCGAGGAGGCGACAGCAAAGTCCGCATCAGCTAAGAAACGCAAGGCACCGGGCACTCCAAGAACCACTAAGAAAGCAGCTCGCACCACCACCGCTTCGCCAGTACCCGTTCCCCCAACGGACGCACCGCACGGACCGCTAGAATCCCCTAATACCACCGTCGGTTCGGATGGGAAGACGATCGAGGAGACGTACCAACGAAAGACGCCGCTAGAGCACGTGCTCCTGCGACCCGACACGTACATAGGCTCGGTGCAGACGCACGTCGGTCCGCAGTGGGTGTGGGAACAGGGTCGGATGGTGCACAGGGAGGTTCGGATGGTTCCGGGGCTGTATAAGATCTTCGACGAGATTCTGGTGAACGCGGCGGATAACAAGCAGCGCGACCCGACGATGGATGCGATAAAAGTGACCATTGATACTGCCAAGAATAAGATCCAGGTAACGGGGATGTGGTGTACTTTTGAGTTGACTCAAAAGGAGATGTGGTGTACTGATTGGGCCATACTGGAGCGTATTTCTGGAGCGTTTGTACTGTCGCGCCCTGACTGGGGCGTTGATGGAACCGAGGGTATTGCCGCTGACTGGCGACAATGCTCGGATTGACACCTGCGTACCTGCCTTCACACACGTCATAGGCTCTTAAATACATTTTTCTTTGGGAGTTTTCGTGGCTGCACCTGGTCCGGCTGCGCGCAGGTGTAGAACAACGGCAAGGGCATCCCGTGGAGGTGCACGCGAGGGAGGAGTGCTACGTGCCGGAGCTCATCTTCGGCCACCTCTCAACTAAACCTGGACTTTATGGTATGGCTTGGCCTGTTCCAATCGCCGTTTGCAGGTGTGGAACAACGGGAAAGGAATTCCGGTGGAGGTGCACGCGAAGGAGGGGTGCTACGTGCCGGAGCTGATCTTCGGCCACCTGCTCACGAGCAGCAACTACGATGACTCGGCGCGCAAGACCACGGGCGGCCGCAACGGGTACGGCGCGAAGCTCGCGAATATCTTCTCCACGGAGTTTGTGGTCGAGACGGCGGACGGCAGCCGGCAGAAGAAGTACAAACAGGTGGGAAGGGCGGGGGAAGGAGGGTTAAGGGGTGGGGGGGAGAGAACATGTACGAGTGGGTGGATGAGTGCGAAATTCACGAATATATTCTCCACGGAGTTTGTGGTCGAGACGGCGGACGGCAGAACAAACAGGTAGGGGAGAAGGTACAAATAGGTGCTTAGAGACGGGGCTAGGGTCGCCGTCATCTTCTCCACGGAGTTTGTAGTGTAGACGGCGGGCGGCAGCCGGAAGAAGCTGCACACGCAGGTAGGAAGGGGAGAGGTAAGAGGTGAACTGGGAGGGAGCGAGTGCGAGTAGGTGGTTCGAGTCGGCGCTGAGGTCGAAACCAGCTTCTCCGCTGAGTTTGTGGTCGAGACGGCGACGGCAGCCGGCAGAAGAAGTACAAGCAGGTAAGGGACTGGGGGAGGGGTGCTACGTGCCGGAGCTGAGAACATGTAAGAGACGGAGGGAGGAAGGGAAGGAGGGAGGGAGGAAGGGAAGGAGGGAGGGAGGAAGGGAAGGAGGGAGGGAGGAAGGGAGGGAGGGAGGGAGGAAGGGAGGGAGGGAGGGAGCTGTGAGGGGCCCAACAGCTAGTTGCTATCCCGCATGCCGTTCCCTCCTTAATACCCTTCATTTTGCAGGGTGTTTTTGAGAATTCTCAAAAACACCCTGCAAAATTGAGGGGCCCAACAGCTAGTTGCTATCCCGCATGCCGTTCCCTTCTTAATAAAACCCTTATTCCACTCCCTCTATCTCCTCTCCCTGTGCCCTGACCAGGTCTTTTCGAAGATCATGAGCGTTTAGAAGCCCCCAGTGATCAAGGGCTGCAAGCCCACCGCCCACTTCACCTCCATCACCTTCCACCCTAACATGTGTTCCTTCATCCCTCCTTCCCCTGTCTCTACCCTCTCCTTGTGCCCTGACCAGGTCTTTTCGAAGAACATGAGCGTCAAGAAGGTCCCAGTGATCAAGGACTGCAAGCCCACCGACAATTTCACCTCCATCACCTTCTTCCCTGACTTAGCCAAATTCGGCCTCTCCTCTCTGGACGCTGACCACGTGGCACTGATGAGCCGACGTGTCGTTGACGTGGCAGGCTGCCTGGGGAAATCCGTCAAGGTTTCACTCAACGGCACGCGCGTCCCTGTGAAGTCGTTTGCGGATTATGCGGGGTTGTACCTCGCGCCTCCCCCTCTCCCCACCCCGCAACCCCCTGCCACGCCGCCGTCGTCTGGGGAAGGGGAGAGCGGCGAGGGCGGAGGGGAGGGGGCAGGGGCGGAAGGAGTGTCTGCAGCAGGAGCAGCTGCAGCGGCAGCAGCGGCAGTAGCAGCGGCTGCGACTACTGCCGCTGCTGCGGCTCACCCTCCACACGAGAAGCTCCCAAGGTGTGTGTCTACAATACTAGCGTTTTTGTGAACTATCTGATGGGGTTACCAAACCCGAGATACTGACCCCGTGGACGAGCTAGCACGGCGTCTGTCATTCTGCAATGACTTGCCACTTGCCCTGCTCCTGTGGTTCACGGCCATACCATTGCCCATATGGTAGTAATTCCGTTTTGAGTCGACTCAAAGCAAAATCACTGCCACACTGTGTGACTTGTCACCTGCACTGCTTCTGTGGTTCACGGCCATTGCCCATAGTAGTTTTGAGACGTCTCAGAACTATAACTTCACAACCGTTGCCCATAGTAGAACTAGAACTAGAACGTCACAACCGTTGCCCATATACTGCCCCTGCAGGATTCACGAGAGGGTCAACGATAACTGGGAGGTGTGTGTGTCCACCAGCGACGGGCAGTTCCAACAGGTATTTTCAACAGGAATGGGGAAGGGAGAAAAGGGGGGGAAAGGGGGGGGGAAAGGGGGGGGGGAAGGGGGGGGTGAACGACTGTTGGGAGGGGTGTGTGTGTCTACTACCAACGATGGGCAGCTCTAACAGGTACTATCAACAGGGGCGGGGAAGGAGGGAGCGGGGGGGGTGGGGGGGGGTGGGGGTGGGGTTCGAGACGAGGTCAGACGGGGCGCATGAGGGTTTTCATTTCTTTTCCAGAGCTCTTTTCTTTCCCGAGCTCGTCCCAAACCGCCTTTGCAACACTTATTACTTCCGAGCCTTGTTCCACCGTGCCTGCAGGTCAGCTTCATGAACGCCATCGCCAGCACGCGCACGGAGGCACGCACGTGAACACTGATATGGGCGCATTGTCTTATAACACTCAGAACACATTGTCTTCGATCTGGATACTCAGAACACATTGCCTTCGACCTGGACCCTTGCTCTTATCCCATGCCCGCAGGTCAGCTTCGTGAACGCCATAGCGACCACTCGCGGAGGCACGCACGTGAACATGGTATCAGAGCAGATCGTGCGGTACCTGCTGGACAAGGCACAGAAGAAGGCGGCTAGTGGCAAGCACGGGTCTGCCAGCGGCGCTGCTGCCATCAAGCCGCACCAGGTGAGGGGGTGACTGGAGAGCGAGTGAGAGACAGTGGTAGACAGCAGATGGGAGGGTAGAGGGAGAGAGCAGATCGTGCGGTACCTGCTGGACAAGGTGCAGAAGAAGGCGGCTAGTGGCAAGCACGGGTCTGCCAGCGGCGCTGCTGCCATCAAGCCACACCAGGTGAGGAGGGGGGGGGGGGGGTTTGGGGAGCGAGTAGCAGTTCAATCGGTGTTTGTCAACTGTTTAGTTGCTGCCTTGAAAGATTGAAAATTCCGTGAGTTGCTGTTCTCCTCACCGCCCTCATTCGCCCCTCCCTGTATATGATCACGTCAGGTGGGCAGTTAGCTCTGGGTGTTCATCAACTACCTGGCCGTTGTTTTGAGTTGTCTGTGTGCACTTCCTTCCCGGACCCCCTCCCAGCCCCCCCCTCTCAGGTGCGCAGTCAGCTCTGGGTGTTCATCAACTGCCGAGTTCTTGTGTTCCGATGTCTGTGTGCACTTCCTTACCGTTTCTCCCCGCACTCTCCTCCCTCGTCCCCCCCCCTCAGGTGCGCAGTCAGCTGTAAGTGTTTATCAACTGCCTGGTTGTTTTTCTGAGATGTAAGTGTGCACTTCCTTTTCGGTCTCTCCCCTCCCAACCCCCCCCCCCCCCCGCAGGTGCGCAGTCAGCTGTGGGTGTTTATCAACTGCCTGGTCGTCAACCCGGCCTTTGACTCCCAGACCAAGGAGACGCTCAACACGCGCCCCTCTGACTTCGGCTCCAAGTGCCACCTCTCAGAAGACTTCCTCAAGAAAGGTAAGGGAATGTCTAAAGGAAGGGCGAGTTCCTGGCTCACAAGCAATTCTCCTCTTTGGAGAGAGAGAGAGAGAGAGAGAGAGAGAGAGAGAGAGAGAGAGAGAGAGAGAGAGAGAGAGAGAGAGAGAGAGAGAGAGAGAGAGAGAGAGAGAGAGAGAGAGAGAGAGAGACTCATCCACCGGGCCCCCATGGCAGACTCTGTCCGCCACCTCACGCCCCCCTTCACCAGCCCCACTCACTTGCATACCTGGCTGGCGAAATGCGAAACGGCAATGCCCCCTCGGGCCCTGGAGCTCCTACACGCTTAGCGGGGGGAACCCTCAGGCTCCCCCCTCCAACACCGCCTATCCCTCGAAGTCCAGGCCGTGCGGTACGCCGACCAGGTGGCGGCCTCAAGGACAATGGACCCCAACCCCAACTCCGGGCACACACAGCGCCTCTTTTCCCTGGCGGGATATGGAGCTGGTGACTGGCTCCATGCCATCCCAATTTTCCCATCCCTCCGCCTCGAAGCCCCACACTTCGCAATCGCCCTGGCATTCCGCCTCGGCCTTCCGTTCCCCGCCCCCCGCACCTGCAACTGTGCCGAGGAATTCGAAATCCTCGACACAAGGCTGCCCAACCACCTCCTCCGGTGTGGCACGGGGCACGGACGGACAGATACCCATAACGCCCTACGGGATGAGAGCATCCGGATGGCCCGGGACGCTGATTTTATAGTCACCAAAGAGACGACCATCTACAGCCCCGTGGACGGGCACAAGGCCGACCTCGCACTCCGCGACCGCAGCTCCGGAGCCGTCTGGATCTGTGATGTCACCGTCACCGACCCCATCAGCAGCCGGGACCCGGATGCACGGAAAGGACGAGGTTACATGGCCCGGGAGCAAGCTGACAAAAAGATATCCCACTACCGAAATCGGGCTCCCTACGTGGGCTTCTTCCCACTGGCGGTCGAGACATACGGCTGCCCCTGCGCCGAAGTCCCCACCTTCCTGAAACTGCTGGCAGACACAGGTGCCAGGAGGCTCTTCAATGCTGACCCCAGCTCCTACCAGGCAGCTAAATTGCTCCACCAGTTCCGCCAGCGCTGGTCTGTGACGCTCCAGCGAGCGCAGGCCTTGGCTTACCTGGGTAAGGTGAACGAAGCCTCCCCGGCCACCCACGCCCCCGTGGGCACACCCGCCGCCGACATGGCCCTCGGGGACTGCTTTGCTATAACAGAACCCCTAGGGGAGCTCGAGTAGCTTCGGGCACCCCCAACATGCACGTACCTCTCCCTTGTTGCCTTCCGCTTGCCTAGCCTGTACCGAGGATTCCAAGGAATAAACGGACCGCTTGAGAGAGATGGCAGCAATTCGGATGATCTCCCTCCATCCCTTCTCCCCCCGAACCCTTTTCTCCCCCCAACTGCCTCTCCCTCCCTCCCCTCCAGTCGCCGCCAAGTGCGGCGTAGTGGAGCATCTGCTGTTCATGGCGGCGCACAGCAGACCAAGGACCTGAAGCAGAGCGACGGCAGCAAGAGGCAGAGAGTCAATCAGGCTCTTCTCGTTTCCTCGTCCAACCCGCACCCTCCCTCACTCTCCCCTCACCCTCCCCTCACCCTCCCCTCACTCTCCCCTCCCTCCCACCAGTCGCTGCCAAGTGCGGCATAGTGGAGCATCTGCTGTCCCTGGCGGCGCACAAGCAGTCTAAGGACCTGAAAAAAAGCGATGGCAGCAAGAGGCAGCGGGTGTCGGGCATTGTGAAGCTGGACGACGCCAACGAGGCTGGCGGCAGGAATGCGGAGCACTGCACGCTCATTCTCACGGAAGGAGACTCGGCCAAGACTCTGGCGGTAAGAACATGAAAATGTGCCGAGGAGAACAAGAGGCGGAAGTGAATGTCGGGCGTTGTGAAGCTAGACGATGCTAACGAGGCTGGCGGCAGGAATGCAGAGCACTGCATTCTGATCTTGATGGAAAGAGACTCGGTTGAAGCCCTGGCGGCAAGAGGAGCATGTGGAGGAGGGGACAGGGAAGGTGGGAAAGGAGGGAGGAAAAAGAGGGGGTGGAGAGGATGATGCGTGTAGGGAAAGAGCTGGAGTACACGAGATGCAGGGAAGCACAGTTCTTCCCATACAGTACAATGGGTATGTCTGGTAAGAACTGTACCCATGTACAATGCCGGCGAGGCTGGTGGGAGTAATGCGTGGTAGGTGTGGTGTGGCATGCTTGTTCTCACTGACGGACACTCTCTCCCTCCTCCCCCCCCTCCCTCCCCTCCTTCCGTTTCTCCAGGTGTCTGGCTTGAGTGTGGTGGGGCGTGACCGCTACGGCGTGTTTCCCTTGAGGGGCAAGCTGCTGAATGTGAGGGATGCATCTCACCGGCAGATGATGGAGAACTCGGAGATTGGGCACCTGAAGCAGATCCTGGGGCTGCAGCACGGGAAGAGCTACGAGAGCGTTAAAGCGCTGCGATACGGGCACCTGATGATCATGACAGACCAGGTGAGTAGTATGTTCCGAGGGTCTTCTCATAAACCTCCTGCAATCCTGCTGGCCGTCCTCCCTCAAGCATCCCTTCTGTACCACCACATTGCCACTCACTCCCATCTTACTTGCTCGACTTTCCTCCCTCACTCCCAATTGTACCATCAACCTGCTCCACTCCTGCTGGGCCTCCCTCCTGCCGCGCCATGCCAACCTTCTTCCACGTCCACTCCCCCTCGCCCATGCCCATCCCACCCACCAGGATCACAACGGCTCTCACATCATGGGGCTTCTCATCAACCTCCTCCACTCCTGCTGGCCGTCCCTCCTCAAGCACCTCTCCTTCCTCATCACATCACTGCTCACCCCAACCTTTTTCCTGTCCCCCCCGACCCATGCCCATTCCACCCACCAGGACCACGACGGTTCTCACATCAAGGGGCTTCTCATCAACCTCCTCCACTCCTGCTGGCCGTCCCTCCTCAAGCACCTCTCCTTCCTCATCACATCACCGCTCACCCCAACCTTTTTCCTCTCCCCCCCGACCCATGCCCATTCCACCCACCAGGATCACAACGGCTCTCACATCATGGGGCTTCTCATCAACCTCCTCCACTCCTGCTGGCCGTCCCTCCTCAAGCACCTCTCCTTCCTGATCACATCACTGCTCACCCCAACCTTTTTCCTGTCCCCCCCGACCCATGCCCATTCCACCCACCAGGACCACGACGGTTCTCACATCAAGGGGCTTCTCATCAACCTCCTCCACTCCTGCTGGCCGTCCCTCCTCAAGCACCTCTCCTTCCTCATCACATCACCGCTCACCCCAACCTTTTTCCTCTCCCCCCCGACCCATGCCCATTCCACCCACCAGGACCACGACGGTTCTCACATCAAGGGGCTTCTCATCAACCTCCTCCACTCCTGCTGGCCGTCCCTCCTCAAGCACCTCTCCTTCCTGATCACATCACTGCTCACCCCAACCTTTTTCCTGTCCCCCCCGACCCATGCCCATTCCACCCACCAGGACCACGACGGTTCTCACATCAAGGGGCTTCTCATCAACCTCCTCCACTCCTGCTGGCCGTCCCTCCTCAAGCACCTCTCCTTCCTGATCACATCACTGCTCACCCCAACCTTTTTCCTGTCCCCCCCGACCCATGCCCATTCCACCCACCAGGACCACGACGGTTCTCACATCAAGGGGCTTCTCATCAACCTCCTCCACTCCTGCTGGCCGTCCCTCCTCAAGCACCTCTCCTTCCTGATCACATCACTGCTCACCCCAACCTTTTTCCTGTCCCCCCCGACCCATGCCCATTCCACCCACCAGGACCACGACGGTTCTCACATCAAGGGGCTTCTCATCAACCTCCTCCACTCCTGCTGGCCGTCCCTCCTCAAGCACCTCTCCTTCCTCATCACATCACCGCTCACCCCAACCTTTTTCCTCTCCCCCCCGACCCATGCCCATTCCACCCACCAGGACCACGACGGTTCTCACATCAAGGGGCTTCTCATCAACCTCCTCCACTCCTGCTGGCCGTCCCTCCTCAAGCACCTCTCCTTCCTCATCACATCACCGCTCACCCCAACCTTTTTCCTCTCCCCCCCGACCCATGCCCATTCCACCCACCAGGACCACGACGGTTCTCACATCAAGGGGCTTCTCATCAACCTCCTCCACTCCTGCTGGCCGTCCCTCCTCAAGCACCTCTCCTTCCTGATCACATCACTGCTCACCCCAACCTTTTTCCTGTCCCCCCCGACCCATGCCCATTCCACCCACCAGGACCACGACGGTTCTCACATCAAGGGGCTTCTCATCAACCTCCTCCACTCCTGCTGGCCGTCCCTCCTCAAGCACCTCTCCTTCCTGATCACATCACTGCTCACCCCAACCTTTTTCCTGTCCCCCCCGACCCATGCCCATTCCACCCACCAGGACCACGACGGTTCTCACATCAAGGGGCTTCTCATCAACCTCCTCCACTCCTGCTGGCCGTCCCTCCTCAAGCACCTCTCCTTCCTCATCACATCACCGCTCACCCCAACCTTTTTCCTCTCCCCCCCGACCCATGCCCATTCCACCCACCAGGACCACGACGGTTCTCACATCAAGGGGCTTCTCATCAACCTCCTCCACTCCTGCTGGCCGTCCCTCCTCAAGCACCTCTCCTTCCTGATCACATCACTGCTCACCCCAACCTTTTTCCTGTCCCCCCCGACCCATGCCCATTCCACCCACCAGGACCACGACGGTTCTCACATCAAGGGGCTTCTCATCAACCTCCTCCACTCCTGCTGGCCGTCCCTCCTCAAGCACCTCTCCTTCCTGATCACATCACTGCTCACCCCAACCTTTTTCCTGTCCCCCCCGACCCATGCCCATTCCACCCACCAGGACCACGACGGTTCTCACATCAAGGGGCTTCTCATCAACCTCCTCCACTCCTGCTGGCCGTCCCTCCTCAAGCATCCCTCCTTCCTCCGCGAATTCATCACCCCAATCGTCAAAGCCACCGGCCCCAGGGGCCGCACCCTCTCCTTCTACACCATTCCTGAGTACGAGGCTTGGAAGCGGACCTTAGGCTCGGGCGCGAGGCAGTGGAAGGTGAAGTACTACAAGGGGCTGGGCACGAGCACGCCCAAAGAGGCCAAGGAGTATTTCGCCCAGCTGGACCGCCACAGGAAGGACTTTGAGTGGCGGGGGGAGGGCGATGGGGAGAGGATCGAGATGGCGTTTAGCAGGAAGGCCGTGGACGCAAGGAAGCAGTGGCTGCGCTCGTATGAGGTGAGAGGAGACGTGCTGTGACTCGTATGGGGTGAGAGAACAGAGGGCTGAAAGTGGGGGTGTGTGAGGGAGTGTGTTGTTGCCATGAGAGGACAGGGTTGTTTGTTTGACCATGGAAGGTGAAGTACTACAAGGGGCTGGGCCCGAGCACGCCCAAAGAGGCCAAGGAGTATTTCGCGCAGCTGGACCGCCACAGGAAGGGCTTTGAGTGGCAGGGGGACGCCGATGGGGAGAGGATTGAAATGGCGTTCAGTCGCAAGGCCGTGGACGCAAGGAAGCAGTGGCTGCGGTCGTATGAGGTGAGAGGAGAGGGTGAGAAGAGATGGTCGGAAGTGGGGGTGTGAAATGGTGTGCGAGAGAATGGAATGTGTTGCCATGAGAGGATTGAAATGACGTTCAGTTGCAAAGCCATGGATACCACGAAGCAGTGGCTGCGGTCGTACGAGGTGAGAGGAGAGGGGTTGGAAGTGGGGGTGTATGAGAGAGTCTGGTGCTCGTTTGTTGCTCCAGCCTGGCACATACTTGGACTGTTCAACAGCACCACGTTTCGTCCTCCCCTCTAACCTTCTCCTGTCTCCTCCCCTCCCGGCAGCCCGGGACCTATTTGGACCAGACGGCGCAGCGGATCAGCTACAGCGACTTCGTGGACAAGGAGCTGATCCTGTACTCCCTGGCGGACAACATGCGCTCCATCCCCTCCGTGGTGGATGGCATGAAGCCGGGGCAGCGCAAGATCATGTTCGCATGCTTCAAGCGCAACCTGCACTCCGACATCAAGGTGGGTGCTGTGCTGTGTACATTGTGTGCTGAAAGGTGCGAAGGGCCACAGAGGAAGGTACTTTCAATCCCTCGGTGGTGGCTGGCCTGAAGCCGGAGCAGCGGAAGGTCATGTTCGCATGCTTCAAGCGCAACCTGCACTCCGACATCAAGGTGGGGGCTTTGTTATACAGAGTGAGTGCAGTTAAGCCTGTACAAGTGCAAACTTCACTCCGACATCGAGGTGGGAGGCTCGTTACAAATCGTGTGAGCTGTGTGCTTGAAGAATTTTGAGGGACTCAGTGTAGGGTGGTTTCTATGCCCTCGGTGGTGGACGCGCCCGAGCTGGGGCAGAGGAAGGTCGTGCTCGCGTGCATTTACATCCTTCTCCCTTCCTGCACTCAGACATCAAGTGGGCGTCTCGTTGCATGGAGTGCGTGCATTTGAGCGTTCTGCAAGGCGAATCAGCCCGTCATCCATCATCTCTGTCCCCACCCTGAACCCTCTCCCTACCTCCACCCAGACCTCTTTTTCGCCTGTTTTTGAGGCGCCTCAAAAATAGCCCATCATTCATCATCTCTATCCCCACCTTGATCCCTCTCCCTACCTCCACCCAGACCTCTTTTTCGCCTGCTTGAACCCATCATCCCTGTTTCCACTTGTGCGCATCCCTGCAGGTGGCTCAGCTGGCGGGGCATGTGTCAGAGAGGATGCGGCCTGCTGCCACGGAGAAGCGAGCCTGTTGCTCACTGCTACGATTATAACCTCCACCGATCCTCCCCTTCCCCCACCCACTTTTGAGGCGCCTCAAAAATAGACCCTTCCCCCACCCACCCCGTCCCCCCCCCCCCTCACCCCACCACCCCCTCACCCACTTACCCCACCACCCTCGTGCTTCGCATCCCCCCTCAGGTGGCCCAGCTGGCGGGGTATGTGTCGGAGCATGCGGCGTACCACCACGGGGAGCAGAGTCTGATGAGCACCATCGTGAACCTCGCACAGGACTTCGTTGGCAGCAACAACGTCAACCTTCTGGTGCCGTCAGGGCAGTTCGGCACGCGTCTGCAGGTGAGAGACGAGAGGCCGATGTGTGCTCTTGGAGAGAGTCTCATGCGCACCATAGTCAACCTCGCGCGGGACTTCGTTGGCAGCAACAACGTGGACCTTCTGGTGCCGTCAGGGCAGTTCGGCACGCGTCTGCAGGTGAGAGACGAGAGGCCGATGCGTGCTCTTGGAGAGAGTCTCATGAGCACCATAGTCAACCTCGCGTGGGACTTCGTTGGCAGCAACAACGTGGACCTTCTGGTGCCGTCAGGGCTGTTCGGCACGCGGCTGCAGGTGAGGGACGAGAGGGGGAGGTGGATACGTCGTTTAGCAGATAGCCTGATAACCGCAAAGTGAACCTCGCGCGGGACTTCGTTGGCAGCAGCAACGTCAAGTTGCTCATGCCGTCAGGGCAGTTTGCTACCCCGCTGCAGGTGGGTGATGAGAGCAGAGTGCAGCAGGCAGAGAGCAGAGAGCAGACAGGTGGGTCTCACGAGCGCCAAAGTGAACATCGCACGGGACTTTGTTGGCAGCAACAGCGTCAACCTGCTCGAGCCTTCAGGGCAGCTCGGCGCCAGATGGGTGATGAGAGATGGCAGGTGAGGAGTGAGAGGTGCATGCATGTGCTAACAGAGAGTCTCATGAGCGCCAAAGTGAACCTCGTGCAGGACTTGGTGAATCGTCTCGTGAATCTTCTGGTGCCCTCAAGGCAGTTTGGGACACGACTGCAGGTGAGAGCTGGGAGAAGTATAGATTGATCAATCTCCCCAGCTCTCCCTCGTTGTATCCAATCCACCAACATTTCCCACTGGTCAATCATCCCCACTCGACAAACCCCACTGTCTCTCCAGGCTGGGAAGGATACAAGTAAATTTAGGTCCATCCCTCACTCCATCACCCCACCTGACTGATGCCTACACCGGCCCATCCATCCCCTCGCCTTCCCTGTGCTCCCTTTATCCAGGGCGGCAAGGACGCTGCGAGCCCCAGGTACATCTACACGCGCCTGCACAGGCTGACACGTGTCATCTTCCCATTGGCGGATGACGCCCTGCTGGAGTATCTGGACGACGACGGGCAGCGCATCGAGCCCAAGTGGTGCGTGGGAAGCTCACTGTGTGGGGGGAAGGGGGGCAGGGGGGAGTTAGGGTTGGGGGGGACAGGGGGGTCAGGGGAACAGGGGGAGGAGGGGGGGGAGGGGGGCAGGGGGGAGTTAGGGGTCAGGGGGACAGGGGGGCCGGGGGGGGAGGGGGGACAGGGGAACAGGGGGGGGAGGGGGTGAAGGGAAGTCTTGTCTTGCCCAGTGGCGGATGACGGCCTGCTGGAGCACCTGGACGACTACAGGCAGAGGAAACGGGAAACTAGGAAGGGCGAGAAGGGAAGTGGGGGAAGGTGTCACCAGGGTTTTTGCAGGAGGGAGAAAGGAAGGGTCGGAGGATGGGGAAGGGAGGGAAAGAGGAGGGTGCTCATGGTATGGCGCACTGAGGGTGCTCATGGTATGGCGCACTGAGGGTGCTCATGGTATGGCGCACTGAGGGTGCTCATGGTATGGCGCACTGAGGGTGCTCATGGTATGGCGCACTGAGGGTGCTCATGGTATGGCGCACTGAGGGTGCTCATGGTATGGCGCACTGAGGGTGCTCATGGTATGTATGGCACACTGAGGGTGCTCATGGTATGGCACACTGAGGGCTGATTTGACGCCCGCAACCTTCAATGTGGCTCCCCGAGTGGACCTCCCATCCCCTCCTTGTCGTAGGCATCGGCAGTGAGGGTATTGGCATAGGGAGCTACCACACACTCCCCCCAAGCATAGGTGCCCCCACTCTCCGCCCATCTCTGTACCCATCCTTGTTCCCCCCCCCCCCCAAATCGTCCCCCCCTCAGGTACGTGCCAATACTGCCCATGGTCCTGATCAATGGCAGTGAGGGCATCACTGAGGGGACTGGCACGGGGTGGAGCTCGTACGTGCCGACATTCACCCCACTCCTTCCCCCTCTCCCTCCCACGCACACACCCCCTTCCCCCAGGTACGTGCCCATCCTCCCCATGGTGCTGGTCAACGGCAGTGAGGGCATCGGCACGGGGTGGAGCTCCTACGTGCCCACATTCAACCCCAGGGACGTGGTTGCCAACCTCAAGAGGCGCATGCGGGGCGAAGCCATGCTGCCCATGCATCCCTGGTTCCGAGGCTTTAAGGTAGTGTGTGGGGGCGGGAAGAAGGGGGGGGTGTGTTTGAGGGTTTAGGGGGCATTGGCCTGGGGTGGAGCTCGTACGCGCCCACATTCAACTCCAGGGACGTGGTTGCCAACCTCAAGAGGCGCGTGAGGGGCGAAGCCGTGCTGCCCATGCATCCCTGGTTCCGAGGCTTCAAGGTGAGGGGTTTGGGGGGTTTGGGGGGTTGGGGGGGCGGGGAAGGGGAGAGGGGTAGGGGTGTAGCGGGGCTGGGGTTTGAAGGGGTTTTAAGGGGTAATTGGCACGGGTGGAGCTCGTACGTGCACAGACTTTCCACTAAGGGATGTGGTTGCCAGCATCATGAGGCGCATGAGGGGCGAACCCATGCTGCCCATGCACCCCTGGTTCTGAGGCTTCAAGGTGAGGTTTAAAAGAGGGTTTCGGGGTTTTGAAGGGGTCCAAGTTGGCTTTAAGCGCCATGTTTCCCGTGCATCCGTGCTGCTGCTGCCACTTTCATCACCAACATCAATCTCTTATCCTCGCTCCTCCTTCCGCCCTGTGAGAGCTTTGGATGAATTCTCAAAATGCACCCCCACGCGCCACCCCCCCCTGCTTCCACCAACCCCTACCCATCCAGGGTTCCATCCAGCTGACGTCAGCACGGCAGGGAGGAGGCAACTCGTACACCGTGACAGGTGTCGCAACGCGACTGGCCGGCGGGCGGAAGGGCGAGCAGCAGGGAGTGAAGGGAGTGACAGGTGTGACTGTAACGGAGCTGCCCATTCGCACGTGGACCCAGACTTATAAGGAGTTTCTGGAAGGGTTGATGGGGGGAGGTGGGGGTGGTGGGGGGGAGGGAGGGGGTAAGTCGGTGCTGATTAGGGATATGAGGGAGCATCATACCGACACCTCGGTGCATTTTGAGCTGGAGTTTACAGCGGAAGGGGCGGCGTATTTCATGGGAGAGGGCGGAGCAGTGGGAGGGAGGGCGGGGAGGGGAGGTGCTGCATCCTCTGCTGCTGCCACTGCTGCTGCTGCAACAGCAGCGGCAGCTGCAGCAGCTGGTGGTTCTGCTGGGGTAGATGCTCCCCAGGCTCATCATGAGGGTGAGGATTCTGAAGAGGCTGCGAGATCGCCAGGGAATGGAGATGTAGGGGAAGGCATGGTGGGAGGGGGGGGGATGAGGGGGAGAGAGTGGAGGGGGCAGAGGAGGAGGAGAGTGAGGAGGCGAGGAGGGAGAGGGAGGAGAGGAGGGAGCGGGCACAGAGAGCAGTGATGGAGAAGCGGCTGAAGCTGACGACGACCATGAACACAGGCAACATGCACCTGTTTGACGCAGATGGGCGCATGAAGAAATACGACAGCCCGGAACAGAGTGAGCCACGGGAATGTGTGGTTGTGTGAGTGTGAAGGGAGTGAGCGCACAGTGTGTGGGTGTGTGGGTATGTGGGTGGGTGGATTCGAAGGGAGTGCGTGCACAGAGTGTGTGGGTGTGTGGGTGGACAGAGTGAGAGTATGAGTAAGGGCGTTAGCTGTGTACGACAACGGGCGCAGCAACGCACGTGAAGTGGTGTTACAGTCTGGAACAGAGCGAGTAGCTGGCCCAACTGTGGCACGAGCTGTCTTTTCCTCACCCCCCTCTGGCTCCCCCCTTACCTCCCTCTCCTCCCTCTCCTTCCCCTCCTTCCCTCTCCTTCCCCTCCCCCTCACAGTCATCTAGGACTTGTTCAGCATCCGCCTGGGCTGCTACGAGAGGCGCAAGGCCCACCAGCTGGCCCACTAGTTGGCCCAGCTGCGGCATGAGCTGGCTTCTCCTCAACCCCTTCCCTTCCCCCCCTTCTCTCCATCTTTTACCTTGAACAGTCATTGAGGATTTCTTCAGCATCCGCCTGGGGCACTACGAGAGGCGCAAGGCGCACCAGCTGGCGCAGCTGCGGCACGAGCTGCTGCGGTTGGACAACCGAGCTCGCTTCGTGATGGCGGTGATCCGAGGCGAGGTGGTCATCACCAACCGGAAGCAGGCTGACATCGTTGCACAGCTCAAGGTGGGGTTGCGGGATCTGGCCGAGGCATGCGAGATGAGGCATGTGAAACAGGGCTCGCTTCGTGCTGGCGGCGATTCAGGGCGACGTGGTCATCACCATCAGGAAGCAGGCTGACATTGCCGCACAGCTAGCTGCAGGTGAAATTGCTGGTAATCGAGGGTGAGAGGTGCCATTTTGGTACAATGGCGTGAAGCAGGGCTTGTCTCGTGCTGGCGGCGATTCAAGGAGCAGGCCATTCTGGTTGGTCATCACCAACAATAAGCAGGCCGAGACTGTCGCACAGCTGCAAGTAATGTTCTGGGTTCTCGGGCTGGGCAAGTGAAACCGCAGCGGATTTTTCTGGCTGTGATCGAGGTGTCCAGGTCCTAGTGGGGTGAATCAGGTGGGCTTCGTGGTGCTGTGATTCAAGGCGAGGTGGTCATCATCACCAACAGGAAGCCGGGTGACATTGTGGCTCAGCTCAAGGTGAACGCACTTGAAACTTTAGGGACTCCTGGCCCTAGTGGCATAGAATCTGTGTGTGCTTGACATGGTCGGAGCAGGCGTGATGGGCAGCACTGCTGTTACAACTTTCAACAAACAAGGCAGGTTGCTGGAAGGGGGAGGAAGGCTGGGAGGAAGAGTCTCGACATTGCTCACCATGTTTCAAGGACAGGCGAAGCGACTCTTGAGTCGACTCAAAAGTCACCATGTTTCAAGGACAGGCGAAGCGACTCTTGAGTCGACTCAAAACTCACCATGTTTAAAGGACAGGAGAAGCCTTGGCATAACAGGTCTCAAAGGGAGGAGCTGAGAGCGCTTGCTTGGGTGACCAAGCCTTTCGCTCCTCCCCTCTGCGGTCTCCTCTTCGCAATCTGATTCCCCTTCCCTGCCTTTCCGTCTTGCCTGAACCTCCGCACCCAAAACCCTGCACTTTGTTTCACGCCCCCATTCCACCTATCCCCTTCCCCAGGCCCGTGGCTTCACCCCCCTCCCCAAGGGCCACGCTGCCGCCCCTGTGGTGGTTGCTGACGTGGACCCTGGCAGCAACGACGTCAGCACAGAGGAGGTTGACGTGGAGATGGAAGATGCTGCGACGCCAGCAGGGAGAAACACAGGGGGGGGAGGAGCGAGGAAGGGGGGCGCTGGGGCTTCTAAAAACGCACCGTCAGCAGCAGCAGCAGCAGCAGGAGCAGCAGGAGCATCAGCAGCAGCGTTCGAGTATCTGTTAGGCATGCCCCTGTGGAGTCTGACGTGGGAGCGAGTGGCGCAGTTGGAGAGGGAGAGGAGGGGCAAGGAGGAGGAGGTGGTGGTGCTGGAGGCTACCTCGCCCATGCAGCTGTGGGAGAGAGACCTCGACCTGTTCCTGGAGACACTCGAGGTGAGGGAGGGAGGGTATGTGATGAAATGTTTGTGGGTGTGTGGGTGTGCTTCTGTGTGGATGCGCATGTGGGACTGTAGGAGGAGGAGGTGGTGTGGCTGGGGTACCTCGCCCATGCAGCTGTGGGAGAGAGACCTCGACCTGTTCCTGGAGACTCTCGAGGTGAGAGGAGGATATGTGGGGGAATGGTTGTGTGTGTGTGTGTGTGTGTGTGTGTGTGTGTGTGTGTGTGTGTGTGTGTGTGTGCGTGTGCGTGTGTGTGTGGGCGGGGGTAATAGGTGGTGGTGTTACTGGCAGCCTCGCCCATGCAGCTGTGGGAGAGGGATCTGGACCTGTTTTTGAGGCGCCTCAAAAATAGGGATCTGGACCTGCTTCTGGAAACGCTGGAGGTGAGGGCGCTGCTGTACATGACACGCCTGGTAATTAATCCCAGAGAGAATGCCTAAAAAGTTATCAATTTGCTTGTGAAACGTTGTGCCATTTCCTATACGCAACAGAGACGACTTCTGAGGCGCCTCTAAAAGCGATCAATGTTTGCGTGTGAAACTTTGTGACGTTTCATATCTGCAACAGGAGGTGGAGGCAGAGGCAGCAGAGGAGGAGAGGGAGAGGGAGCGAGCGGCCAATCAGCACAAGGCACGTGGCAGGAACGCAGGAAGGAAGGGCGGCAAGCAGCAGCAGGCAGGGGGGGCCAGGGGAAAGAAAGCAGGGGTGGCAGCTGGGGGAGGGGCAGCTGGGGGAGGGGGAGCGGGGGGCAGAGGGAAAGCGAAGGGGGAAGTTGGAGGAGGCTTGGGGGCTCAGGTCTCAGGTTTGGGGGATGGGGAAGGGCAGAGGGGAGACAAGGCTCAGGGAATAGGTGCAAGGGTTGGAGAGGGACAGGGGAAGCAAAAGGCGAAGCAGCAGACGCTGCTTGGAACAATGTGGGGGAAGGGGAAGGGGCTGGGAGGTACAGCAGGGGGGTCTGGGAGGGAAGCTGGCACCTCCAGTACTGCTGCTACTGCTGCTGCTGCTGCAGATGGTACTGGTGCTGCTGGTGGTGGTACTGGTGATAGTGCCACTGCCGGTGTTGGTGTTGCTGCTACTGCTGGACATGATGTAGCGAGAGGAGGTGGGCCGCGGGAGGGAGGAGCAGAAAGCAGACCAGGGAGCGATGTGAGCAGTGAGGAGGAGGAAGAGAAGAGGGAGGGGGAGGGGGTGGCTACTGATGAGAGTGAGCAGATGGACGAGGGAGAGGATGGGAGTGGGAGTGGGAGCGAGGAGGAGGACGACGAGGACGAGGAAGAGGATAGTGAAGAAGACAGTGACTTTGAGCCGACAGCAAAGAGTGAGTGCAACCTGAAACCAGATGAGGCCCAGTTCAGCCAGCTTACCAGCAGCTGATTTCTCAGTGAACTCACGCTCCACCCAATTTCCAGCTCTCCACCAACATTCTTCTCACTACGTCAATCCCATGCCCACCCCGCTGAGCCGATCATGCCCACCCGGCCCAGCCCACCACGGCCGTTGCCTTCTCCTCTGCAGTCCCTTTTTGAGGCGCCTCAAAAATCGTCTCATGGCCGCTTCTCTCCTCGGCATTCCCTTCGTCTTGATCAAGACGGAGGCGGGGTTTTAGCCCCTCGTTTCAGTTGTTTGATAAAAAATTCAGGTCTCTAACTCTAACCTCCCTTGTCTTCTCCTCCTCCTTCCCTCCATCTGAACCCCATATCCCCTTTCCTTTCTTCTCTCGTCTCTTCTCGTTTGTGTGTTTCCAGCACGAGGCAAGGCAGCAGCACCCGTGGACACGCCAACCCCAGAACAGTCCACCCGCCGCCACTCCTCCCGCCTCACCCGCGCCCCAGCAGCAGCAGCAGCGACAGCAGCACCGACAGCATCAGCCACACCAGCAGCGGGAGCAGCAGCGTCTTCTCGTGCTGCTTCTCCCCAGCAGTCAAACGGACAGACGGATCCCCAGGCAGAGGGAGATGCAGAAGAAGATGCAGAGGTGGCAGGGGAAGAGGGGGGGACTAATTCACAAGCAGAGGATGAGGAGGATGATGTGAATCCGTCACCGCCCATGCCGCCGCCATCGCCGGCAGCAGCAGCGGGCATGGGGGAGTCACCGTCTGTGATCGAGATGACGTCATCAGATGAAGAGGGGGGGGTTGGCTTAGGGCCTGGAGGGGGGCTGCGTTTGGGCGATCCGGTTTCGGATGGAGGCAACACCAGCAGCAATGGCACCACCAGTCCGAGTAAGCTCTCTCTTTTAAGGCGCCTTCAAATATTTTGAGGCGCCTCAAATATATAGGCTTGGGGAGTGGCCTGGGAGTTCACTTGGGTGATCCAGTGTCGAATGAAGGCAACACCAGCAATGGCACCAACAGTCCAAGTAAGCTCTTTTTTCTTGATCCTCTCGCTTTTCCTAGTTGCCTTGCTTCACCCGGGCTTCCCCTGTGGGATACATGGGTTCATCATGTAGGTTCACGTAAACCCATGTAACGTGTGTTCTGTGTTCACTTCATTCTGGCCAGTGATGCCCTCCCTTTCGCAGCCCATGTTACTCTACAGATCACCCTGAAGTTTGCCCTAATTTCGGCTTGTTTTTGCCTCCTTCCCTGTGCTGCCCTCACCCCACCAGGTGCTACTTCTGACCCGTACTCCCTCCACGTTTCTCCCTCCCCGTCCCCACCACACTCCACCCCTCTCCACTCCTCTTCCACCCCCAACACACGTAATCCCACCACCCCCAACCCCACAAGCATAGCCACACCTGTCCCTGCCACCCCGCTTCCTCCACGCCGCACCACCCGCTCTGCTGCCACTACAACGCCACCCACTGCCGCTTCAGTAGTGCCACCCCCTGAAGCAGCAGCAGCAGCAGCAACCCCCCCCTTAGCCACATCAGCCCGTCTTTCAGCAGCAAGTCCCCCTGCAACTGCAGCACCTGCTAGCAGTCCAGCGCTTGCCACTGCGGCAGCGCCTGCACCCACGGCAGCAGCTGCCAGGGTGCAGGCATCTCTGATGGATGTGCTCAGAGGGGGCGGGGCACCATCAGCGGCAGGTAGAGGAAGAGGTGGGGGAAGAGGACGAGGGGCAGGGGGGAGAGGGAGAGGGAGAGCAGGAAGTGAAGGACGGGGGAGAGGGAGAGGGGGAAGAGGAGGCAGGGGAGGAAGAAGCGGTGGTGCGGTGAATGCTGATGGGGGTGAAGCTGCAGGCAGAGGTGCACCGCGAGTGGAGGTGGTGGATTTGGAAGATTAAATGCATGTGACTAGGTATATCCTTACTGCTGCGGATTTTCTGCCGCATTTTGGTATCATAGGCCGGAACTGTGAACGGCTATAAAGTGTCCCGTTTGTAATTTTTATACAGCTCTAAACCTTGTATTGGGTACACTGCTCCAATAAATTTATGTATTGCAAGCGAAGCTATTTGTACTGCAGCAGCTGATGACATCTACGGTAAAAGGACGCCCACCCACGTCATTTCCCTCCAACCAACCACCTCCCTCCTGGTGAAAAGTCTAACCATCTCCCAGGCACTAGCCATACTCATCGTTCATGAGTCTTTTCTACCATCGGTAGTCATTTTTTCTTGCTTGGGCACATCAGGTTATTGTTATGTTGTACTTCGCCACTTGAAATGAGGTGGTGCCATTGTCACACAAGAAAGCCAGCTCTTCTGCTGCAATACGCTTCCTATCCCAAAACTACACAAGCAAAAATGTGCTCGCCGCAAGGAGAGAAAACTCAAATAAGCACTACCATTGCTAATGTCTGCCTTTCACTACAACCTACTGGTGGTCGCTCAGCTCTAGGCTCTAGCACCTAATGGCTTTCAAACCTCATCACACCTACCATGGGTCACTTCAAACGACCATCAAAACGTGTGCTTTCTGCTCTTCAACACCCATCCAGCTGTCCCTTCGGTGCTCTCCTCATGCCATATGGAGTCCATTCCACTCCATATGTAAGAGATCCCCCTGTACTTCTCCCCTTTCCCAAGCTCGTACGGGCCGATGCAGCTTGGGGAGTGTCAGATCTCAGTACCCATCGAGCTCAGGGTCGTAGTTATCTTTGTAGTAGGTGTTCATGTCGTAGGGAATGCGCTCCATATACTTCTCCTCCTCCTCTAGTAGCTCGTACGGGTCGATGTATGCTGGGGGTTGCCTCCCCTCCCCATAGCTTCGCCCGGGATGAATGAACTCAGACCCCATAATCTGGACACACAAAACGAAGGGGATCATGAAAGCGGGAGGAGAGGGGTCACTGGTAATGGGTGGAATGCATTCCATGTACATGAACTTCTCCTCCTCTTCCAGCAGCTTATAAGGGTCGATGTATGCCGGGGGTTGCCTCCCCTCCCCGTAGCTTCGCCTGGGATGAACGAACTCAGACCCCAGAATCTGGACATGCAATAGAGGGGATGAGATTAGAACGGAAGGGGGTAATATGCTGCCCTTGTGGCCTGTGAACTCAGAACCAGGCAGAGAGCTGTCACAATGTGACCCTGGAAGAGGAGCGTCTGGTTGATTGTGCAGGGTGTTCTTGAGAATTCTAAAAAACACCCAGCAGAATTCTAAAAAACACCCAGCAGAATCATGAAAGAGGAGCGTCTGGTTATTTATCTGGTGAAAAGTGGTGAAGAAGAGGATGATTCTCATGGCACAGAGCGGTGAAGAGTAGAGCTTACCAGGTACAGAGCGGTGAAGGCAATGATAATGGCAACGGCAAAGGGCCAGAGCGGCAGGTAGAAGGAGACCCCTAGCTTTAGCAGCTCTGCTGCTCTTGCTGGTAGACCCTGGTGGGTGAGGGGGGACAGAAAAAGGGGGGAGAATGTGGAGATAGAGCGTTAATGGCAGGAGAAGGAGACCCCTAGCTTTAGCAACTTCGCTGCTCTCATTGGTAGACCCTGGTGAGTGCGTGGGAACCAGGAAGGAGGGGAAAGAATGTGGAGGTAGAGCGCAGGGGACGGTAGAAGGACACCCCTAGCTGTAGCAGCTCCGCTGCTCTTGCTGGTAGCCTCTGGTGGGTTGAGAGGATGGAGGAGAGGGCAGGAGAAAGAAGAGAGGGTTAGTAACTGGTAAAGTGACCTTGAAAAGTTATCACAATCGGTGTGGGGGAGGGGGGAAGGGAAGGAGGGGGAGGGAGGGAGAGGGAGGAGGAGGGAGGAGGAGGGAGAAGGAGGGAGGAGGAGGGAGGAGGAAGGGGGGGGGGGGAAGAATGAAGGGAGAGAAGAGTGGCGGCAAGCGCTCCTTCCCAGCAGCACAGGACCTAGAGGGTGTGCCTGTTGTCTCATCTGCCTTCCGTGTCCGGGTCAGCATGGAAGGACGAGCTACAAGACGGCCATCATGACCCCCAAGGACTACCACACTCAGCACGGTGTCTGTTCAAGCTTGATGCCTTGCGAGCCCTTCAAACTCCTCAGAACCCCGCACAACCCATCTCCAGTCCTAGGTGACTGAAGGGGCGACTCAAAGCACACCCCACGTCCAGCCCTGAGCCGCATTCCCTGACACTTGATGCCAGACCCAGACCCTATCATTCCCTTTTTATTTCTAGAATTGGCCCTAACTTTTCCTAGCCTTCTGCCCTGATGCACCGATTCCCTCCTTACCTCCAATCCCTCGCTGTTCAGCGCGTTGGAAACAGCCCGCTGGTCGCGCATTCCCCCCCCCGCGCCACTCCCCTCCGCCCCCCCCCCGGTCCCCCTGCTCCGCTCTTGGCTTCTGCCCCGGGTGCCTTGCTGGCAGCGTCTGATTGGCTGTCGGAAGACTGAGCCGCGCGGCGGCGCCTCAATTCGCGCATGAAGAGCGACTCGGTGGAGGGATTGCCCGGGCTGGGGTCTGGAGGAAGGGGTTGGAATGGGTTGAGTGCGGTGGAAAGTGGGTTTCGAAGTGCCTTAAAGCACGACACCTCAACTCCCGCATGAACTGAGATTCTGAGGAGGGGTTGCCAGGGGTGGGGTCTGGAGGGAGCGGTTGGGATGGTTGAAAAGCGGTGAAAGGGTGTTTTAATCTGCGACTCGGTGGATAGATTCCCTGGGCTAGGCGGTAGATAGAGTGAGGAGCGAGGGGAATTTAATAAAAAACTTAAAAGGTGATAATTGTGCGCATAGCGGAGGGGGGACAAGGGGAAAGGGGATAGGGGGGAGGAGTAGGCGGGGAGGGGGAGGGAGGGGAGAATGGGGAAAGGGGAAGGGGGGAGCATGGCACACACCGTCTGGTTTGTCCGCCATAGCTCGTATCCGCCACCCCGCTGACCGCCTCGCGCACGCGGACACGGACGCGCCGCCGCGTTGGGCTTGAAGGTCGATGGGAAGTCGTTGCGGGGAAAGAAGGGAGGGCGAGGGGGAGCTCGCGGCGACGGTGCGCGCGGGCATCATGACTGCTTGGAGCCCGAGACGGCTTGAATGCGCGGCGGGCATGGCTGCGGGAATGCTTGTTGTTAACATGACGCTAGTGGCGGCGAGGAACTGGCGATGAGGGATCGGCCAAGACGGCGGACGGTATCGGGTAACGAGGTGACTTATGAGTCGACTCAAAAGTCACATCGGGTAAATGTGCTGAAGTGGGCAGCTTCGCAAGGCGCCTAACGACAGTCAGAGCCGGCGCTGCGGCAAATTTTGGCGGGGATCCCGCTCGTTCCTCAATGTGAGATAAGGCGTAATTGGGAGCAACGCCGCAACTGAGAAGAAAAGGGGTCACGCGATCTTGGGCCGAGGGCTGGATGTGTGCTGTGGTAATCGGAAATCTGCGGAGGTTATATGCTGAATTTGTAGACTGTGCCTCGGGGGTTGCATGCTGAAAGGGGGCTGCGATGAGGGAGTGGTGGTGAGAGCGACGAGACAGGAGGGCTGGTCGGTCGTGGAGGAGGGCAAAATGTGGACCAGATCCAGTTGTTGGATTCATTTCCCCTCCCCCTTTCCGTTAAGAGTCATTCTGTGAGCACTCTCTGGAGGGCGGGGTGTGGACAGTGTGGAGAACAAACCCCAGTTTGGAAGCCATTTTCGTTTTCTCAGATTGGCTCATTCTGCATATGCTCAAATCTGGGGAAGTGTTTTCGATATCCTTAAAACACATGAGCTGCGAATTAATATAACACGGGCAGTGGAAAGTGTACGAAAGAGCGAATTACGTAAAATAATTGGGCGAGAATAGTGCAACGGGGTGTCGGCTTCGGTTCCGATATGCTGGAGGAGAGCTGGGTGAAATGAACGTGGTCGGCATAGAACGCCTCGAAAGATTGACAAATTTCCGGTCGCCACGTAAGCAATTTGTCCACCTCGGAGGATCACCAGAGACATTCACCTTCACCAATCATACAGCGAAACAGGTCATGACGAGGTGGAGCTGACCAGGTCGAAAACGCGATAGAGTGGATCCCCTATGATACACATCGGCGTACGGTTAAAGCCCGCGACCCAAATTGCGAGGCGCGGCCTTCAAACGCACTGCTTTTGAAAGTAGCGCTTTCGTGGGTGTAGAGTGGGGTAACGGGAGTCTCGCCACTCTGGGGGTGCCTTTCAAGTTCACTGCCTGCTGCAATTTGGAACTCCATGTGTAGCACGTTTGTTGACCGTCCATTTTTCACATATCTGCATCTGACAGTCCGCACGCAAACTCTTCTTTCCACAGCACCACCAGTAATTCAAGGATCAATCTCAACCGTCCAAAATCTTGGGGTCAAATCTGACGGTGCACGAACACTTTGCAGTTCACGAGGAAAAACACCCTCGCGATTTTCCCGTGCGTTTCGTAAAACAGCACGCCCAGAGTTCTTACACAGTGCGTTTGAACAATTTGGGCCGCGGGTTTTAACAGTTTTCCCCCAAACGGCAAAACCCGAGAATTCCGAGTGCGCGTACATAGCATATATTCCACATTTCACAAGTACCCCATATAATAACCCACAATATTATAACTGAACGGATATTAGGAGGACATCTTGATTGGATTCCAAGATGAATCCTACTGTTGCTTGGGCACTCAGTGCCAAATACGACATTCTATGCGACGCATTGGATACAGAAACTAGTGTTCGAAAAATAGAGGAGCAGCTGCTAGAGCAGCGGTGGCCAACAGGTTGAGGAGGATGTGAAGTGTGGGCACCAGAGTTTCCCTCAGAGTGCCTCCAACCCTGGGATGAGAAAAACAGTCAGAGGTATGAGAACTTGCACGATGGTGGTGAGCTTGTGAAAAAATAGCAGAACAGGTCAAACTATCCCACCGAACCAAGCCGAGACCTGAATCATAGCACCAATTACAAGGGAGGAAGAAAATAGGTACAGCCAGAGCTTACGTGTCGCCCGTGATGGTGGCTTTGTGCGCTTCGCTCCCCGGCCCTCCCAGGTGTCCCGCTTCCACCACGTCCCTTGCTCCCCTCCACGCACTGCCAGCCCCGTTGAAAAATGCAGCTAGCAGCAGCGTCACCAGCACCGCCACCAGCAGCAGCGCTGCCACCGCCCTCGCTCCCAAGAGGGGCTGTTGGGTGGCCTTGCCCACAGATCGCACTATGACACCTGTGAGTTGGTGGGGGAGAGGGGAGAGAAGAGAAATTAGGAAGGAGAGGCATGTGAGTTGCAAGAAGCAGCCAGCAGCAGAGTCGCCAGCACAGCCACCAGCAGCAGTGCTGCCATTGCCCTTGCTCCCAAGAGGAGCTGCTGGGTGAATGGGGGAGGAGAGAAGTTGGGAAGGAGAGGCCTGTAAAGAAACTACCAGCAGCCGTGCCACCAGCGCTGCCACGAGGAGTAGTGCTGCCACTGCCCTTGCTCCCAATAGGGGCTGCTGGGTGGCCTTTCCCACGGACCACGCTATGGCATGAGTGGGCCGAATGGGGCAGAGATGGGAGTGGTTGGGGAGGAGAGACACGTAAGGTTCAGAAAGCAGTCAGCCGCAGCGCTGCCACTGCGCTTGCCCCTAACAGGGGCTGCCGGGTGGCTCTCCCCGCTGTCCGCACTATGACACCCTTGGGAAGAGTGGGGGAGGAATAGAGAAGATGAGAATGAGGGGAGCGTGGGGTAGGATGGAAGATGAGGGGTGTCAGAGGAGGGACGGCAAGCAAGGGAAAAAGGGACGACGGATTCGATCTGTAGGGAAAAAAAAAAAAAAAAAAAAAAAAAAAAAAAAGTGATACCATTTAACCGTGTTCCCTATATCACATAAAGCAGACTGCCACTGGTGTTCGACAGTCTCACCGATAACAATAGTTGCGGCAACAGCGAGCAGCCCGGCAGCAGCAGGTGCACTCTGAGTGGAGTCAAAATACAGCTAGTGTTAAACAGCTACTGTTCACCAGTCTCACCAATAGCAATAGGTGCAGCGACAGCAAGCAGCCCCGGCAGCAGCAGCTCCCTGAGGCTGACTGCAGCCACTGACGCCACGAAGCGAGACGGGTCGTCCAGAACCATGGGGGCACGCGGATATGCCTGGAGGGAGAATGGGTTTGGACGAATAGGTGGGGACGGGGGGGTGGGGGAGTGGGACTGGAGGGATTGGGGCCAAGGGCAAGAAGCAGCAGCTCTTTGGGGCTGACAGCCACCAGAGAGGAGGGTGGCTGGTGATTGGGACATTTAGAACCATGGGCGTAGGGTAGGGTGGGTGGGTCGTCCATGCGGATGGGTAGGGAAGTATGCCTGCATGACAGCTGGGGAAGGGATGGTCACATTCCCCCACCCCCCCTCTCTCTACTGCCTGCTGGTTCTCCCTCTCCCCCCTCACCTCTCCTCTGCGCGGTGGTGCAGGTGTTCCTGCCCCTCCCTCCCAACAACGGCCGTGCACCGAGTGACACCAGAAGAGAGCAGCATAGGTTTGCCCTTTGCCCAGGGGAGTCTAGACGCCAGCCCTCCCCCCTCACCTCTCCTCTGCGCGGTGGTGCAGGTGTTCCCGCCCCTCCTAAACGGCAAGGCCGTGCACCGAGTGACACCAGAAGCAAGCAGCATAGGTATGCCCGCCTAGGGGGCAGTGTAAACGTCCGCCCTCCCCTCTCACCTTCTCCTCTGCTCGGTGGTACCAGTGCCTCCAATCCCCCAACACCCCCTCGTCTCTCCCTCCCCCGCTCTCTCACCTTCTCCTCTGCACGGTGGTGCAGGTGCCTCCGCCCCTCCCTCACAACAATGGCCGTGCACCGAGTGACGCCAGATGCTGCCATTGCCACCCCACCGACCACTGCTGCCGCCCCCACCATGCACGCCACCATTAACTCCGGCCGCAAGAAATCAACCTGGTTGGTAAAAAAGAGGGGGAGGGGGGGAGGGGGGGGGGGGGGGGGCAGAGGAAGGGAAGTATACTATTTGGCACCACAAGCTGCTGTTGCCACGCCTCCCTCCATGCACGCCACCAGCAGCTCTGGCTGCAAGAAACCAACGTGGGATATTCTTTAGTCGACTCAAAAGGTGACTTTTGAGACGACTCAGATATCAACCTGAGAGTGGCGAGCGGCAGCGCGGAGGGGGGAACGGAGGGAGCAGTGGTGGCTTACGTAGGAGATGAGAGGAAGGAAAGATTTTAAATGAAGGAAAAGGGAGGAGGGGTAGAGGTGCCATCAAACCAATGAAGTAAATTAGACGAGTCAAAACTCGTGTCAAGCAGGTGAGCCTGCCATGGACTCACATCGCGCAGGGCAGCACCGGAATAAGAGGAGACGAGGGCGATAAACGCGTGCACGAGCAGCAAGGAGCAGAGGGCGGAGGCTCCACACCCCATGCCCCGGGTGGCGGATGCCACAGCTACTGCTGCTGCCTCCAACGGACTGACTGGCGTTCGCAGCACCGCTGCCGCTGCCGGTGACGATGATAGTGTTGTTGCCGATGTGGGAGGGTGGGGTGGAAGTGAGGAGGAGTGTTGGTAGGATGATGGATCGCCAGCCATCCCTGCTGCTTCATTGCCTCCTGCTGCCATCCCTGCACCTAAATTCACTACTGCTGATTCACCCCCCACACCGCCCACCGCTGCTGCTGCTGCTTCATCTGCGGCTGCAGCTGCAGCTGCATACATGGGTTGCGACAGCAGGTGCTGCGATGCTGCTGCTGCACCGTGGTCCACAACAATGCCTGCCCCGTCCTGTACCGACATGTCATCTGCCGGGGGGCCGAGGCTAAGCTCCTGCATCTGCCCCTGCTGCTGCTGCTTCTGGTGCTGGACGCAGGAGAGGGAGAGAAGGAAAATTTGGGGGGGAGGGGGAAGGTGGGTCGGGGGGGGGGGGGGGGGGGGGGGGGCGGCGTTAGTGGATGACACTCAAGGTAGGGGATAGTCAAACGAGACAAGAGAGGTGAACGAGTCAGGGCGTATCCCTAGCAGGTGTCATCGAGAGAAAATGTCTTTGAGAAAGTTGGAAACCAAACCTGTGCCATGACTTCACACAGTGTATTTTTTAGAATTCTAAAAAATGCCCTGCAAACCCAGCGTGTGAAACTGCAAACTGAAACAAGTCCTTGGTGCAAAAGATGCACCCGTTGCTCAGCACGCCCATCATCACCACAACCAGTCCTAGCTTCCCCCTACACCTCCCGGCCCAGGCCCCTCCCCCCCCCTCCCCATTCTCATCCAACGGCCATTTCATTGACCATGGATCACTCTCTCACCTAAGCCATCACTTTACACAGCAAGCCAGCATGACCCACGGCTAGTTGGAACAAGTCAGTAGAGAGGGAGAAACATCCGCTACTCAGCATACCCATCACTGCAACCGCCAGCCCCAGCAGCCCCCCTGCCGGCTCCCCCTTCCCTTCCCATCCACCAGCCCTATCAATGGCCATGAGTCATTCACTCACCTGAGCCATGACTTTACACAGCAAGCCAGCATGCCCCACGGCCAGTTGGAACAAGTCAGTAGTGAGGGAGAAGCACCCGCTACTCAGCATCCCCATAACAGCAACAGCCAGCCCCAGCAGCCCCCCCGCCGGCTCCCCCTTCCCATCCACCAGCCCCGAATTCCGCCCCAGCCACACCGCCGCCGCCACCGCCAACCCCACGATGACAGCCGGCGGGGCAGCGGCGGCAATCCCGAGGGCGAGACCGGAGGAAATGTTAGAGGCGTGGCCGGAGGAGGAGGAGACGGCGAGGGCACGCACGGGGGGAAGGTGAGGGGCGGAGAGGAGCGAGGAGGAGAGGAGGAGGAGGATGGATGTGAGCATGCCGAGGAGAGCACAGAAGAAGAAGTGCAGCCACGCCAGGGGTGCCTGCTCCGTGAATAGCAGCCACCTGGTGGCCTGAGAAAGGCAGTAAGAGAAGAGGAAGTGGGGGGCGGTTGGGAGCATCGGAGACTTTTGAGTCGACTCAAAAGTCACCTCGTTTTGAGTCGACTCAAGCGGAAGTAGGGGCCGGTTGGGTGCAGAGGAGAAACAGAGGAGTGGGATGGATCGGAGCATGGGGGGGGCTGCTCCGTGAATAGCAGCCACCTGGTGGCCTGGGAATTTGTTTTGGGTGGGTAAGGGAAGCATTGGAAAGGGATGGATGTGCGCATGCCGAGGATAGGGCCGGAGGAGAAGTGCAGCCAGGCCAGGGGGAGCCTGCTCCGTGAATAGCAGCCACCTGGTCGCCTGGAGGGTTGGTTTGGGTGGGGAAGGGAAAGTGCAGGGAAGCAGAGGAGGGGGGTGGACGGGAGCATGCCGAGGAGCGCGTAGAAGAAGAAGTGCAGCCAGGCCAGGGGGACCTGCTAAGTGAACAGCAGCCACCTGGTTGCCTGGAGGTGTGGGAGGGCAGCAGCAGTGGGATGAGTGGGTTGAGAGGAGTAGTGAGGGGTTAGAAGCATGGTACAACTGGTCTGTACTCATAAGTTGAGGTGGGGGTCGTTCACACGATGCACTTACCACACACATAAGTGCTAGCACAAGAGCGAAAGCATGGTTATTGAGATTACACCCGACCAGCTCCTCTGCTGCTGTGGGCAGCATACTTAACGAAAAATACACACCCCACACGGCCTACTTACTGGGGCGAAGGACGAAACAGCGAGCACAAGAGAGAGAGCATATCCTTTAAAGATACGCCCCACCACCTCCTCTGCTGCTGCTGTGGGCAGCACTTTTACCAGTCACACAACCCACTCACTATGAACCCACTTACCAGGGCAAAGGGCGAAACAGCAAGGACGAGGGAAAGCGCGTATCCATTGAAGATGCACCCCACCACACCACCTCCTCCGCTGCCGTGGGCAGCACACTAACCAGACACACAAGCCACGTACTAGGCACCCAGTTGCTAGGAACCCACTTACTACGAACCCACGTACTCCGAATCCACTTACCAGGGCAAAGGAGGAGACAGCGAGCACCAGGGAGAGAGCATAGCCGTTGAAAATGCACCCCACCACCTCCTCCGCTGCTGTGGGCAGCACGGAGCCCCGCAGCATGGGGGAGCGGGGAGAGGAGCGGAAGAGAGGCGAGTGCGAGGAGAAGGAGGGGGAGGAGTAGGAGGAGGAAGAGGAGGAGTCTATGGGGAGGGAGTGGGGGAGGCGGGACGAGGCAGCGGCTGCAGAGACAGAGAGAATAGCTGCAGCTGATGTGAGGAGGTCTAGGGAGAGGACCACGAGGGGCAGGAGGATGAAACCAGTGGGGTCTGGGAGGGCGTGAAGGAAGGGGGGAGGGGGGAAGAGGGGGTGGGGGAAGAGGGGGATAACGGAGGAATTGAAATGGCAGCAGCTGATGCGATGTAGCTGTGGGTCTAGTGCGATCAGTACAAGGGGCAGAAGGATGAAACCTGTTGGGTCTGGTGGATTGTGAAGGCAGGAGAGGTGGTGGGATTACAGAGGAAGTGAAATAGCTGCAGGTGATGTGAGGAGGTCTAGAGCGAGGTCCACGAGGGGCAGGAGGATGAAACCCTGCGTGGTCTGTGTGTAATGAGTCGATTTTTGAGTCGACTCAAAAATCGACTCATTACACGTGGTCTGAAGGATATGAGGGGGGATGAGGGGGGAGACCGGGGGGGGGAGTGGAGGGGGAGTGGGGGGGAGTGGGGGGGAGTGGGGGGGGAGTGGGGGGGAGTGGGGGGGAGTGGGGGGGAGTGGGGGGGAGTGGGGGGGAGTGGGGGGGAGTGGGGGGGGAGTGGGGGGGGGGGGGGGGGGGATATGGTATGTGGAGTGGCAAACGGGAAAATAGGGGAACAGGGCGAGTCAGAGTAATTTTGCAGGTGATGTGAGGAGGTCTAGGGAGAGGACCACAAGGGGCACAAAGATGATGCACCCTGCTGGGATTGGGAGAGCGTGAAGGGGGTAGGCGGCGCTGAGGGGAGGGGAAGGGGAGATGCGGGGGAGGATTACACAAGGCGGGGAGAAGTGGAATCCTGTGATGAGGCGCAAGCGAAAGAAAGGTTGATGGAAAGAAAGGATTACACAAGGCGGATTAAATGGGAAAGGGAAGGGGCAGAAGAAGAAGCGGGGGTCAACAGAGGAGAATTGACAGAGGATAAAGCACAAGGGACACAAGCAACCTACTGCCAACGCTGCATTGCTGTGTGACATGCATGCGCTCCCAGCACCATGCAGGCTATTGGAAAGCACAGGGAAATGGGGCACTCGTGGAAAGCACAGGGAAATGGGGCCCTCGTGGAAAGCACAGGCAACGCAACCTACTGTCAATGCCGCACTGCTGTGCCACGTGTGCCCCCAGCACCATGGACGCCACTGCTTCTGCTGCTGCCAGGCAAAACGCCTCACACGCCCGTGCTGCCCACCTCGCCATACCCATGCCCACCTGGACGGGCGGAGGAGGAAGACAGGAGGGAGAAAGAACAGAAGGAAGGACGGAGTGACATGAGGCAGGAAGGAAGAACGACGCCTCATACGCCTTCACAGCCCGCCACGCCATGCCCATGCCCACATGAACGGGCGGAGGAGGGAATGAGGAGGAGTGGCGGAACGAGAAGTGGGGGGGGGAGTTTTGAGGCGCCTCAAAACCAGGGAATGAGGAGGAGTGGCGGGACGAGAAGTGGGGGGGAAGGCGAGAAGGAAGGAAGCAAAGACAACCTCACCCGCCTATCACCCATTTCCCACCTGGAGGAGAGAAAAATACTTGCTTTCAACACCCAGGAAATTTGAGAAGCACCACACCCACAGTGCCCCTCAGACCAAACGCTCCCCATAGTCACCATGGCACCGTGGTAGGCGAAGTCTGACTCGTTCTGGGGCCATGCGTGGGTGAGTTTTGAGTCGACCCAGAGAGCAAGACTCACCTGTTTTTGAGGCGCCTCAAAATCAGACCACATGCTCCCCACGGTCGTCATGGCACCATGGGAGGAGAAGACTGTCTCTTTATGCGGCCATGCGTTGGTGATTTTCGAGTCGGCTCAGAATCACCCACACTCACCATTTCACCACGTGGGAGGCGAAGACAGGGTCGTTCTGGGGAACCCCCGCCATACCTTGCTTTTGAGTCCGCCCATAGCAAGACTCTCCATGGCACCGTGGGTGGCACCATGACACCATGGCTTAGACAGCCACAGACCAGAAACAGACCCACCATATCAGCAACAGTTGTATTTTGAGTCGACTCAAAATACAAACAGACCCACCATATCAGCAACAGCGACGACATGAGCGCCCCCTCCTGCTGCCTCTGATGCGCTTCTGTCCATCCTCGATATAAGCTTGTGGCCCAGAGCCAGCGAGCGGGAGAAGATGGCCGGCGGGAGGTGGAAGAAGAGGGCAACCACTGCCGCCCCGAAGCAGAAGCAGACAAGCAATGCCGGCACTGGGGTGGGGGGGCATGGGGGAAGGATAGGGGGAGGTGAGGGAAGGAGGACAGGGTATGAGGGGGCAGAAACGGGAAGAGGGAAAGAGTGAGAAGTGAGCGGGATGCACATGAGGCACGTGAGGCAGGTAGGTGTGAGACGCACGCACCCTCCAGAGATCAAAAGACTTCTATTACTTACATTCTGTGGGCTTAAGCCCTGCTGATGCCATTGCAGAGGCAGCACTGGCAGTAGAGGCAGCAGACACAGAGAGCCCCCTTCGCTTGTGGGCGGCAAGGGAGGCGGGCAGCGGGGCGAGGCGCATGTGGAAGAACGCGAGGAGCGCACTGTAGTTGATGCCGATGCCCACCACCGGCACGGCTGCCACCACCAGCGCCGCCACCCCGGCTGCGCGCACCGCCACCTGAGGGGGGAGGGTGAGGGGGGGAGGGGGGGGGGGGGGGGGGGGGTAAAGAGAAGATGCACGGGGAGTTGTGCGTAGAGGGGGGGTGATGGTGCGGTTGTGGAGGAATGCGGCAGATAGAAGGTTACCATAAAAGGACAGGTGCGTGAATGGAGGGAAGAAGGTGCGTCACCTGTGGATCAACCATGCTTCACCCACGTGAAGGAAAACCATGATGCTTTTGAGTCGGGTCAAAAGGAAACCATGATGCTTCCACTGAAGCATACGTCGCTGCGTGAGGAGTCTATTTTTGAGGCGCCTCAAAAAGCATACGTCGCTTTCACTCACCCAAGTGGAAACCATGTTGTATTCACCTGAGGAAAGACCTTTCACCTGAAGAGCCTCCTGGGTGGATCGCCTGGCAGCGGCTGCAATCCTGGCAGCAGTGGGGACCGACACCCACACAGCAGCCTGCGCAGCCAGGGCCATGCAGAACCCCCCCAGGAGAAACGAGAGCAGCGACACGAAGGCCAGCAGGGAGCGGTGCACGCCTGTGGCCTCCTGCTGCGGCGTGACTTGGTGGGAGAGGTGGATGAGCGCCACCAGCATGGTTGCTACGAGCACCGCCTTGGCTGCTGCTGCTGTGATGGACGCTCGCAGGGTAGATGCTCCCCTTTGGACCGCTGCAGTCACCTGTGGAAGGAGCAGGTGTGGGGAGGAGAAGGGAGGAGAGGTGGATGAGACTACTTTTGAGGCGCCTAAAAAATTGAGACTACTTTTCAGGCGCCTTAAAAACTGAGACTAATTTTGAGGCGCCTCAAAAGCGCTCCTCTTTGGACCGCTGCTGTGACCTGTGAAAGGAGCAGGTGTGGGGAGGAGAAGGGAGGAGAGGTGGATGAGCGCCACCAGCATGCCATGGCTGCTGCTGCTGTCATGGCTGCGCGGAGAGTAGCGGCTGCCCTTTGGACCGCTGATGTCCCCTTGGGAGTGCAAGAGGAGGGGCGAGGGTAAGGGGGTGGGTGGAGGTGGGTGGGTGGAGGTGGGTGGGTGGAGGTGGGTGGGTGGAGGTGGGTGGGTGGAGGTGGGTGGGTGGAGGTGGGTGGGTGGGGACACGGGAAGTGGGGAGGCAGCGAGGCGAGACGGAGGGGTGCACGCCTGTGGCTTCTTCCTGCGGTGTGACCTGGTGGGAGAAGTGGACGAGAGACGCCAGCACGGTCCCCCAACGCACCTGCCTTAGCGTGTTGTTGTTGTGTTCCCCCTGTCGTCCCTGGAATGCACCCAGGAGGAGGCTGGCAGAGCAGAGCAGAGAGCAGAGCAGAGAGCAGAGCAGAGCAGAGAGCAGAGCAGAGCAGAGCAGAGCAGAGAGCAGAGCAGAGCAGAGCAGTGAAGCAAAGAGCACGGCGGCAACTGCGATGGAGAGGAGGAAGACTGTCATCCGTATCCTCGTCGTGTTGCCCCGCGCAACCCCCCAGAACATGCTCCAACGCACCTGCCTTAGCGTGTTCCCTCCGTCATCTCTGGACCGCACCCAGGAGGCAAGCAGGGCCGCGAAGAGCACGGCGGCAGCGGCGAGGAGGAAGACGGGGATGAGCACGGGGGAGGTGAGGGATGCCAGGAGAAACGCCAGCAGGAACGGCGCTGCTGCCAGCAGCCGCGCCACCTTGATGCCGCGGAACAGGTCAGGGCTCTGGGGGAGACGGGAGGGGAGGGGGGGCGGGAGGGGGAGGTGGGGGAAAGGGGGGGGGAGGGGGGAGAAGAAGCACTGGGGATGAAGGATGGAGGGAGGCAATGGGGAGGGGAGATGGGGGAGAGGAGGAAGGGGCAGGGGAGAGGCAGTGGACATGTGGGATGATGGGAAGAGGCGCAAGGGGAAGATGCTGGTCGCGTGTCAATGAAAGGGGTTGGCTAACGCTTCTGGGTCGTCGAGTCAAAAGCAGACATGACTTGAGCAGTGCAAGCAACGGGTAGCACCGTAGGTCCGTCGCACTGGTTCGCACAGTCGTAACGACCATGTATGCGATGCAGGAGGAGAAAACTGGCAGTTTCTGAGTCGACTCAAAAATCACCTAACGACCATGTATGCAATGCACGAGGAGCAAACGGGTTCCGACGATATATCAAGGGCAGAGGAGAACGACGGGCGGAGAGGGAAGGAGGAAAGGAGAGGGGAGCAGTTGGCAGTTGAAAGGGCGGGGCAGAGAGAGCACTGATTTGGAAGGGCAGGGCAGGGCAAGGCAGGGCAAGGCAGGGCAAGGCAGGGCAGGGCAGGGCAGGGCAGGGCGAGCACTGACAAGGTCGGGCACAAGCACCACATGCTGCGATAGGCTGTCCTCAAACGCCGTCCGCGCCATGGAGTAACTCGATTAGAGGCGCTAAACGTGATGTAAGCTGTCCGCAATTGCGGGCCAATCAGCACTGCTCCACGGGGTTTGCGTGCTGGAAGGGGGTAGAAGGGGGAGGGGGAGAGGAGGGGGCTGGGGTTGGAGGGGGGGGGAGCAGGTGAGAACGAGGGCAAGGGATTTTAGAGGTTGCAGTCATCGTCCACCGAGTAGGCAGTCAGGCCGTGAAACCATGGCGAATGCTAATGTCTCCGAGTAGGACGGCTGTCGATAAGGAGAGATATCGAGCTCACCCAAAGAAACCGTGCGAGTTGCAGCAGGAAGGAAGACCATTTTAAGCCGTTTGCGAGAAAGGCTGGCTGCGACGCCCACACTAGCATCTGGGTTTCGCATTCGCGCTCCTTGCTCTTGCACTCGCAATTTCGCGTTCGCATTCTCGCATTCTCGCATTCTCGCATACCCATCTCCTACTCTCGCAAAGAAAGTTCCTTTTCGCCACCATCGATCTCACCGGCAAATACGGAGACGCGCAGCCGAGCAGTCGAGCAGACACGGAGCGGATCAAACCTATCTCGTCTGGCATCGCAACATTCGGACTGGACAACGCGCAGCCATGGCCGAAAACCTAAGAGCGTCGACGTGACGTGGCTGGGGAGCAGTGACTCCGTGCTTGCTTCGCAGCTGCTCAAAGCCGTTCGACGATCTATTCTTGGCTTGGTATGGACAGTTGTTTCGGGATTTCTGGTGGGAGTGAGGGCGCGGAACCGAAGGAACAAACAAGGCAAAAGCTCGAACTTTTTGAGAGTTTTGAATCGTTTTGAATCGGTTCTGTCTAATATAAGCACGGTTCAACGTGGTTCGGTTCGAGCAAAGCCCTGTTCGTTCCTTCAGTTCCGCGCCCTGAGCTGCTTGGCCTACGAAACTCGTCCCATTCGTAACTGAGCGCAATATTTCAGTTTCGAATGGGACAAGAGCGAGCGAAATATTGCACCGAAGATGACTCGCTACGCGAATTGATTGTAGCTGTTCACTGGCGCAAATGCATCACAGTTTCATATTGTTATGAAAGCATACAGTACATCAACAGTTTCAAAATGCTCCATGTGCTAGAATTTATCCCATACATGTCACGTTGATGTTGCACAACCACCCACCTGATCCCAACGTTTGTGCAACTTCCTCCACAAACAAACCACTTCACCTCCATACCAGATCATAGGCCCCAAAGACCTCCTGTCCTATGCATTGCCATGCCAACTGAGCAGCAGAAGCCCCGGAACCACGTGAAGTTTGCACGAAAGAATGGCCCCTCGCCGATTAGACCCAGGTGGCTAAACTCCCCCCCCCCCCCAGCTTCTGTCACCTGTAGCCTGCCTTACACAGCCAACCCCCTTAGGACAGTAACACCAACCTCTGGCGCAACTTATGTTCACCTCTTCTCATCCCTCTCAGCTCAAATCCCTAACCTCTCCTTCCTCCTCCCCCACTCCCCTCCCCTCCTGCTTATTTCTCTCCTTTCTCCTCCACCTCAACTTCTTCCACGCTCTCCTCACATACTGTATCTCTCCCATTCAGAGTCCTCCTGGCCCTCCACCACAGAATCATTCCAGTCCTCCCTCCACTCCTCCAAGCCCCTCGGCTTTTTCAATTTACCTCGACCTCTGGTTCTCCAAAGCGTCTTACCTTTGCCCTACAGTGCATATAGGAGAACCTGGTATTCTGCATGAAAACCCCTCCTCCAAAAATCCTCAACCTCACCTCATCTATCCATCTCTCCCCTCTCTCCTAACCACCAAAGCCCCTTGTCCTTGAATCCCATTCTCCTGTCTCTCCACTCTGCCAGCTCCCACATCACCTAGGGTTCTTCACCTTAGCCCCTGCAGTGCCAGCAGAAGAACCTGGTGTTCCATGTGGAAACTGCGCTCCCGCACATACGTGTGAAGCTGGTCCAAGCTCCCACAAGCGCGAAGTGAAAACTCCTCCCTCATCGCCAACTGCTTGTGCCTGAAACCACCCCACTCTCCTGCCTCTCCACTCCGCCTGCTCCCACAACCACCTAGGGTTCCTAACCTTAGCCCCGCAGTGCCTGCTGAAGAGCTGCTAGCCCCTGAACCCCACTCTCCTGCCTCTCCACCCCCTCCCACATCACCTAGGGTTCCTAACCTTGGCCCCGCAGTGCCTGCAGAAGAACCGGGTATTCCGCACATACATGTGGAAATGGTCCAAGCTCCCACAAGCATGATGTGAAAACCCTTCTCTCGCCGCCACCTGCTTGTCCCTAAACCCCACGCCGTGCCGCCCACAGAATCCAATCGCCTTGACCTCGGGCAGCTGCAGCAGGCCAGGCGGCAGATAGTCCAAGCCGCAGCCGTCCACCACGAGAATGTGCAGACGGGGGAGAGCGCCGCCCAACACCCGGCTGGTACTTCTAGCAGTGGTGGTGGCGTTGGCAAAGGTGGTGGTGATGGCAGTAGTGATGGCAGTAGTGGTGACAGTGGTAATGGGGGTGCTGAAATTTACATTGGTGGCAGCAGGGGTGGTCATAGGTGTGGTGCTGGCAGCAGCGCTGAACCCAAATTGATTGGGGTTAGGTTGAGCGAAGAGGTCAGGGTTTGGGTTCAGGGTGCATGGGATACTGGAAGCAACAATACCAGCAATGCTGCTGCTGGCCGCACGACCGCTAGATGTGTTGTTGTTACTGGTGATGTTGGTGCAGGCATCAGACGCTGCTACTCCTGCTGCTGCACTGCTACCACCCGTCCCAGGCCTGCTTCCCAGCCCAAAGGCTGTTCCAAACAGGAAGAAACTGCTGCCGGGGACCAGGCTGCTGATAGAGGGCCCAAGACGAACCCCTGCTGCTGGTGGTGGTGGTGGCGGCGGCGGTGGTGGTGGTGGTGGTGGTGGTGGCGGTGGTGGTGGTGGTGGGGGCGCTGCTGGTGCTGCTGGTGCTGCTGAGGTGGCCGCTGATGTGGCTGCTGAAGTGGGTGCTGCTGAAGTGGGTGCTGCTGCCGAAGCGACTGCTGGGGGAACGAATGAACACCGTGGCGTGACGGTCGAGGGTGGAGACACGGCTAGTGGGGTGAAAGAAAGCGGAGGATTGATAGGAGGCGGGTTGGCCGACGGCACAGGGTTGGAAGATGGAACCGGGTTGAAGGAGAGAGGAGAAGGACCAGGGGGAGCAGTGAGGCGCAGGGAGGAGTAGAGACCATTGGGAAAGGAGTTTTCGAAGTAGGCCAGCAGGGGAGGGCTGCCGGACAGCCAGCCCTCGAGGTAGTGCAGCTCGGAGAGGCGAGACAGGACCCTTTCATAGTGGTGCAGATGCCGTGCAGGCCGGAAGGATGGCGATGACGACGATGGTGATGGTGCATGGGAGGATGATGCGTGTGAGGGAAAGAATGATGATGATGGGGTGGTGGATGTGGGGGGAAAGTGCACGGGTGAGTCGTTGTCCCACGTCTCATCTTCATTCTCCAACCCGTTCGAGTCTCCATCATCGTCATCGCCCCCATCACTCTCCTCCTCCTCCTCCTCCCCCTCCTCCCCGTCCTCCTCCTCCTCGTCGCTCACATAGCTCTCGTCGTCCTCTTCGTCCGAAGAATCCCCCTCGAACTCATCATCGTCATCGACTGCTGCTTTCCCTACTCTCCTCCTCCCCACCCCACCCCCCTCCCCCCTCCCCCCTCCCTCCGCCCCCGCCCCTCTCACTCTCCTCCATCCCGCCCCAGCCCACCTCCTCCTCTTCCTCCCTCCCCCTCTCTCCCCCTCCGCCCCCTCCAACCCAATCCCAAGGTCGTCTAAAGCAGGGCAATCCGCTATAATCAGCTCCGTTAGTGTATCCCACTGCTTCAGCGCGTTGGGGGGGAGAGAGGCCAGTCGCCAGCAGTCATGGATCACCAGGCACTGTAGCACGGGCAGGTTCGCCATAGAAACGGGCAGCTCCTCCAGACGCGGGCAGAGCGACAGGCCGAAAACTTTCAGCGCGGGCAGCTGCCCAAGAGACTCGGGCAGATGACCGAGGGACGGGAGCTTGAACAGGAGGAGAGTTTCAAGCACGGGTAGCCGCCCAATGTCTTCGGGCAGGGAGGTGAGGGAAGCACAGTCGGAAATTTCAAGGAAACGGAGGGAGGAAAGAGTGGAAGGGAGTGGGAAGGCGTTGATGAGAGGGAGGGGTGCGTGATGGAACAACGACGAGTCTAAAGCCCTGGCAGCAGCAGCCCTGGGTGTTGTGCTGCCGGTGATTGTGCTGGTGGGTAACGCTGCTGCATCGAGGGAGGAAAGCACGTTGGCAGCAGCGGCTGCATCCCTAGCAGCAGCAGCAGCAGCAGCAGCAGCGTCGGCAGAGGCAGATGCATCTTCAAGAGACAGCTCATCCAGCGACCTATGCTGACGATGCCCACCCCTACGGACCCACTCCCCAGGAGAATCCAACAGACCAGATTCACCTGAGGCCCCCACCCTCTGACCGGCACCACCAGCAGAACCATCACCTGAACCCACAGCCGAAGCAGGCACACGGAAAGGCGGAAGCGACATTAAGTGCCTGGCGCCATTCACGCACAGCCGCTCCAGTCCCCCAAGATGCGCCCAGGTCCCAGGCACCTCTCTCAACCCATCACAACCCTCCAACTCCAACACTCGCAGGCCCCCCAACTGCCCAATGGACTCGGGCAGGCCCACCAAGCTCGGCAGCTGCTTCAGCTCCAGGCTCTCGAGCCGTACCAGACAGCCAATGTCCTCTGGCAGGCTGGTTAACCTCTCGCATCTGACCACCTCTAGGGTTACCAGCGCTGTGAGCTGCGCTGTACCCGCCGGCAGCAGCTGTAGCGCGCTACAGTCGTTCAGGCGGAGGCGGCAGAGGCGGGAGAGGTCGGCCAGGGACTCTGGGAGGGAGGTCAGGGCGGCGCATTGGGAGAGGTGTAGTTCCTCCAGGTTGGAAAGCCCGCCTAGGGAATCCGGGAGGCATGTCAGCCGCTCGGACTCCAGCTTCAGCACTCGGAGCGTGCCGACGCGGCCTAGGGTTTCGGGTAACATGCAGAGGTCGAAGGCGTTGATCTCGAGGTGCTGGAGCGAAGGCAGGTCGCCGATGGACGGTGGTAGGTGGTGGAAGCAGCGGCTGGAGATGCGGATAGTGCGGAGGGACGAGAGGAGGGAGAGGTTGCAGTGAGAGGAGGTGAAGCGGGAGAGGGTAGATACGGACGGTTGACCTAGTCGCTCGCCTTGTCCGAGTTCGAGTGCTTCTAGGCGGGTTAGGAGGTTGATGGAAGGGGGGAGGGCGGCGATGCGACGGTAGGAGAGGAGCCGGATGACCTGGAGCCGCGGGCAGCCGCGAAATAAATTGGTCAGACCGGCTTCGGTGAACCGCGTGCGCTGCTGGTACCCCACGTGGAGGAGATTAAGATTCGGACAGGTCACGCCTAATCCGCAGAGGAGCAGGTCATCCGCGTCATAGACCGTCCCGTCGGCGATTATAAGGTGGGTAAGAAGCGGGAATCGCGCGAGGGACTTAAGGAGCTTCGGCGTGGAAATTTCGTGTGACACGTGGACGTAGGTGCGCGAGAGGCAGGATAATTGGTACCAACGCTTGCAGACTAAGGCGTGGTCGAAGGAGCGGCGGGTAACATAGTGGAGAACGCGAGCTAAGACATCGTCAGGCAGGTCGTTAAGAGGAAAAGGCTGAGACGAGGAGAAAAGGCGCAGCGTGGAGGAAGGAAAGAAGGAGCTCCACATGGTGGAATGGACGTACCTCCTACTTAGGGTTTGAGAAAGCCTTCAAAGCATGGAGTCTGGGGAAGTGACTGGTGCTAATGCTTGCGACATAAGTCAGGAGCTTAAACTGGACGCTACTTGCGAACCGCACGGCAAGGTAACGTTGCTTCGACGAAAGCACTCACCATGGCTTACATGAGCTGCTAGGTGCTACAGAAATGGAGACAAGGGTGAGGCACATGGCAGCCATGGGACTGACTGTAGGGTGTGTTGTGATTCGGCAGCAGGCTGCATGGGGATAGTATGCGAACCCCTACAGTTTGGTAACCAGATCTCGCTGGAAAAGGAGAAAGTTGAGGTCTCCTGGAACGAAGCCCTGGCGCACCAAAGGCGCGGGAGCGAGGAGAGAAGTTTGGTCGGTCGCGTTGTACTGTATGTGCGCAGTCCTCGAGGTCAACGATGGATGCTCTTAGCGAAAAGTTTGCAACGAGGTGATTGTCAGAAACGTCGCGAAGATTCATTTCGGCGTAATCCGACGGCCTAGGTCGCAAAAGCGAACAAACATTGTTGGCAGGAAATTACAAGGAAATGCCAGTGCCGTGTGACTTGAGCCAAGGTTGCTTGCCGTGTGCCATTGCAGTTCTATATCGGCTGTTCATGGGAAGCGATGTGTTCCTCACGGTACTATGTGATACAGTGTGGTGCTCATTAAGTTTACATTTCACATGGCCTACATTCGCATCAACAACATTTGAAACTACCATAAGCCACGTGCTTACAAATAAAAGCCTTTCAGTAATGCTTTTGTTTTAAGATTGATGAGGAAGAACAGGCGTGGTTCCTCAGTCATCATCCACCATGTCGTTTACTTTCTCTAAGAAAGTGCGTATTTGAGCCGCTGAAAGAAGCATGACCAAGCGCAGATGTTGGAAGCCCTTCAGCTGATTTGGGGGAGACGGGTGGGGAGGGGGGGGGGGGGAAGGGGGGAGGGGGGGGTGGGGGGTTAAAAGGAGGAAGGGAGCAGGAGTAAATAGTTAAAGAGGGAGGCAGATAGTTGCACCTTTTGCAACTGACTTCTTACAGGCGTGTGTCTAAGACATGCTTACTGAACGAGCAGTACTTGATGTAGGTTGGGTGGCTTGCAATCTATGGACCATACTATACTGCAGACGCTAGTTTTGAGGCGCCTCAAAACTGGACTCCTATCACGCTTGCAATCTATGGACCATACTATACTGCAGACGCTAGCGTGGAATGTAGGATGAGGAATGAAGTGCGGGAGCACAGGAATGGCTAGCTGACCTGTCTGGAAGCCATGATGTCAGCATGGACTGGGAAGGAATACGACGACGTGGCGAGCTGCAGGGTCATGGCAGCAGCCAGAGTGTCGGGACAAAATCAGAGAGGCTGAGAAGAACCAACGAAGCAAGAGAGGCATCCAAGACATGGCATAGGTGGCAAGAGACGATCAAGGAAGAGAAGGATGTAACAACGGTATGGAGGCATTGAGCAAAGAGAAGCATGCGGGCGGGTGGGGAATACAAGAAGCGAGAGGGGGAGATGGGGATCAGGTGACCGACCTTCTTGAGCAGCTCATCCTCTGGCTTGGGGAAGAACAGCTCCGAAGGGCCTCCTTCTGAGCCCTGTGCTGCTCCCTTGTGCTGCTTCCTGGACGCCTGCACAGGGAAGAGGCATTGGATGACGTTATACCAACAGACTAGCATGTGGGATGGTGACATGGCCAAATGTCCACATGGAAGCGTGAACTCGTACATCCACATCAACGGACTTGCATGGTGTTGCATCTGCATCTGCATGAGAAACTCGTGGTCAGGGTAACACCATTGCATGGCTATCAAACGATGTGAATGGCAGCTGGAAAATGAGGTGAATGCGTTCACTTCTTCCCAAGAAATAGAGGATAAATGAAACAGCCACTACCTTGCCACCAGTCTGTCGGTACATGCGCGTCAGAATCAGAAATTTTTCCACTGGCGCTCCCTTCTCCAGCTGCCAACAGGGATTTTGGGGGGGGGGGGGAGGGGGGGGGGGGGGGAGGGAAGGAGGAGAGGGGTGAGGGTGATGAGCGGGATGGGAGGAGGTAATAGGATACAGGATGGAAAATCTGTCACTCGACAACACTGAGGCACCACTTCCCATCCCCCATGCCACATCCCATAGATGCTACCCACTGCCCTCCCTCTAACCTCCCCTCTGCCCTCCCCCCCCCCCTCTTCCCCCCTCCCCAAGCCTCCCCAATGGCCACCTCAGGTCCTTGACTCCCCCCGTTCCTCGCCAATGGTTGCGGCATGCTACTAAACGGTGGGGCACAAGCTGAAATGGCGAGATAGCAGCTCTTTCCCACACCACCAACCATGCGCACCCAACCCCACTGCAGGGCACCCTACTGACCCCTTTGAACAGCAGGTTTAAACGGCCACCAGTGGTAAAACCACCACGCCCACCATTGGTTGAAGTGTGCTTCTGAACAGGTGCGGCACCAGTTGAAACGGCAGGTTGGCCACTCGTTCGCACAGCACCACGCCCACGCGCCCTCTCTGCAGCACACCCCACAGCTCGTCCCACTGCGCCTTGTTGTCACACCCTTCGTGCAGGAACCGGACAAAATCCGCCGTCCAGCCCTTGGACTGCAGGGAGTGGTGAGGTTGTGGTGGGTGGGCCGAGGAGAAGTTATTTCTAAATTCTTAGCATGAGTGGATGGCATGCAAGTGACCCTTGAGTCGACTTGATAGGGCAAAACTGATAAGTGCCATTGTATAGCACAAACACGTGGATTCCAGCACGGCTAGTTCCACCATATCACTATGAAGGCCGCCTGACATGCACCCATATCACCTCATCGCCTCACCTTGCAGATCAACGGCAAACAAGCAGTGAGCCCAAGCACACTCCCCTCATCCCCTGCTTTCACCACCGTTGCCACGCTCCCACCACCAGCAGTAGCACCTCCAGCATCCCCCTCCCCTGCAGCAGCACCCCCTCCTGGTGGTCCAGCGGTGATGGCGTCTACAAACGCCGGCAGGTCCCACCGCTTGCCGTCCAGGAACGTTCTCAGCAGCGCCTTCACTCCATGGTAATCCGACGGCTGGGAGTCAAAGAAGTCGAAATCGACCATCAGGATCTGGTGAGATTGGGAGGGGTTGAAAGATGTGAGAGATGGGTGGAGGAATGGAGAGGGAGAAAGGCAAGGAAGGTCGGTATTTTATTGCATACCGAGTTGACGACTGTTGCGAAAAGAACTCGCCAACCCTCATCTTTCAGTGTACAAGAAAAGCCTCAACCCCCCACTCGGCAAAAAAATCCGAAGCCTGTTGTTGGTAGGTTCGAAGTTAGACACGAGTCCGGACATCCCTTAGTACCTCCTCTTCGCCCTTCTCCGTGATAGGAGTCTAGTTTTGAGGCGCCTCAAAACTAAATAATGAAGCCTGTTGTTGGTAGGTTCGAAGTTTAGACACGAGGCCGGACATCCCTTAGTACCTCCTCGTCGCCCTTCTCCGCGTCGTCACCGTCGCTCCCTTCATCGTCTTCATCCTCCTCTTCTTCTTCTTCCTCCTCATCCTCGTCTTCATCCTCCTCGTTATCATCCATATCATCCCCCTCTCCGTTGTCCTCCTCCTCCTCCTCTTCTTCTACTTCCCCATTGCCGGCAATGCCGCTTTTCCCTCCCTTGCGCGTCGGTTTCAGCACCGACTTCCTATCTGAAGTGGGCAAGTCTCCCCTGACCCTGCCTTCATCGTTGCTCCCCCCATCAGCATTCCCTATGGGACTCAGTCCAAGAAGTTCCAACTGCTGGTCTGGAGAAAGACGATCGAGTAGCTGCCGGACTCGCCGCTGCGAATCACGGCGAGATCTAACTACGGCGAAGGGGTTGTTGAACGGCGGTAGGCCGAAAAAGGACGAAGTGGCGATGCTCCGAACCATAGTCGGATGGCAAACTAAGACAGCAGACTTTGAAGATACTCATTCTGGTGACAACAAGAATACAAAACTAAATGATTAATATACTGTGTTGCTAAAAGATATGGGGGTGTAGCTCACATGGTAGAGCGATCGCTTCGCATGCGATAGGTAAGGGGATCGATACCCCTCACCTCCACAGAAACATCTTTTTCACTTTCTTCATCATGGTGCCCCCTTCTCTTGGACGTTTATTTGCTTTCATCATGTGCGGACTGATGGCAGCAACTACTTTCAGGAATGAAACTGAACACCTGATTTGTACCAATGCTCTCGAACAGGACACACCGGTATTATTGCCTGTGGCCGTGCTCTTTCCTCTCACCATCCCTCCCTGTGCAACTGTATGCCATGGGTGACTTGGCCATATGTTGCACTGGTACGCGTCAGTGGTGTGGTTATGTCCATTTATAGCTTCATCTCTGAGCACCTGCAGGGCCATGGGGTGCCACGGCTTGGCAGTGGATACATACATATTTATGCCTAGCAATATACTACAGAACCCCCCTACTCCATCTATCCCTCTCAGGGGTTATGTCTATGCCTATCTGCATCTCTAAGCACCCGCAGGGCCATGGGGCGCCACTGCTTGGCAGTGGACACGGACAGACCCATCCCAGTCGCCAGGCCCTTCAGCAGCATCATGGTGCGCACTATAAAGAAGATATCGGACGGGAAAGACTGCGATCGGAGAGAGGACCATGCACCAGGGGAAGCAGCAGAAACAAGCATCAGTGCAGTTGGTTTGAGATCTGGCACAACAGAAAAATAAAGGACACTCCTGCAAACTCAACTTCCAGAGCACCACAGGAAAATATTGGACTTCAATTGCGTGTCGCTGCGACAAACATGGCTCTAATATACCCCCCATAAGTCAAAACCGTACCTTCATTGCATTGCTTTTCAGCGAGCTCTCCGCTCCAAAGGGATTGGCGCTGGTAACACCGTTACCGCTCCCCGTGTCAAACATGATCATTGCCATGCGGCGGAAGCTGTTGGGGTCCTCCCCTGCTGTCTTGGCCGTCTCTATGCCCATGGCCCTGTGGGGTTGGACGAGTGCGGCAGAGGGAATGGGGACAGGAGCACATTAACAAGCATAGATGGTAGCAGGGGTATCCATGCTGCTTCCCGTGTCGAACACGATCATTGCCATGCACTGAAAGCTGTTGGGGTGCTGTCTTGGCCGTCTCTATCCCCATGGCCCTGTGGGGTTGGACGAGTGCGGCAGAGGGAGTGGGGACAGGAGCACATTAACAAGCATAGATGGTAGCAGGGGTATCCATGCTGCTTCCCGTGTCGAACACGATCATTGCCATGCGCTGAAAGCTGTTGGGGTGCTGTCTTGGCCGTCTCTATCCCCATGGCCCTGTGGGGTTAGAGGAGCGTGGCGAAGGGGATAGGAGCACACGATCATGCTGCTGATGCTGTCTTCAACAAGGCAAGGAATCATGCTGCTGCCTGTGTCAGAAATGCTCTTGCCATGCAGAGGAAGCTGCTGGGATCCTGCCCTGCTGCCTTGGCCGTCTCAATTCTCATGGTCCTTAGAGAAAGGGCAGCAGTGGGAGCATGGATGGAAGAGGGGGAGAGAGGGTGCACACAGCACTGCTTCCCCTCTCGAACATGATCATCGCCATGTGCTGGAAACTGTTGCGGTCGTGCTCTTCCCTGTTGAGATGACTTTCGCAGGCTGCATGGGGGATGCAAGTGGGTGTGAGAACACGGGATCGTTACTATGGTGTATTTCAACACGAGAATCCCCACCCACACACCAGCCGATGCCCACAGCAGGCGTGTCCACCACCAAGCGAGCCAGGTTCAGCCTGAATGGCTCAGGCAGTTGCTTGGTCTGCCTGTAGTCTAGCAGCGCCACTCTGCTGCCCTCACTGCCCTCACACACCAGGTGCTGCTCTGCTCAATTGGGTAGGGATGGGTTGGGATGGGTTGGGATGGGTCCTCACCTGAAGCACGAGCTCACAGCAGGCATGTCCTGATCAGCAATCGCGACCACCAAGCGAGCCAGGTTCGGCCTCATAGCCTCTGGCAGCTTCTTCGTCTGCCCATAGTCCAGCAGCGCCACCCTGCCCCCGTCACACACCAAGATGGTGTCTTACCCGACGCACATGCAGCACTCACCTGAAGCACATGCCCACAGCGCCCATGTCTTGGTCTGCAATCGCCACCACCAAGCGAGCCAGGTTCAGCCTCATTGCCTCGGGCAGCTGCTTCGTCTGCCCGTAGTCCAGCAGAGCCACCCGGCCCCCGTCACACACCAGGATGTTGCCCGGGTGGGGGTCGGCTTGGAAGTGGCCGTGGCACAGCATCATGCGACCATAGGCGGATGATAGGGCGGAGAAGATGTGACTGGGAAGGGAGGGGAGTAGTTGGAAGTAAGGATGGTCGAGGGAGAGGGGGGGAGAGAAATGAGCGTTCATAAGAGAGTGGCCGTGGCACGGCAGCATGCGACAGTAGGCGGATGATAGAGCGGAGAATATGCGGCTGGGGAGGGGAAACGGGGAATGGTGGGTCAGGTGGATAGGGGGATGTGGGCAGGCGAGAGATGGAAAGACGCGACTGGAGGTGGGTACCCGAGGCTTTGGGCGTTGGATAAGGATTCAGACAGGTGGACCGGATACATGGGAGAGCAGGGATCCAAGAATTGGAAAGAGGAAAGATGAAACATCATGCAATGCCAGAGTGCCGTCACAAGTGTGGGCCCCACCCCACCTCTTGGCCTGTCTGGCCAGCATGCCATTGGGGCTGATCCCTCTCCTTCTCATCTCCTCCGGGAGCCTCAGGATGGGCGTGCCGTCAATGAAGTCCATCACCAGAAGTCCTCTGGCGGCAGCAGGAGGGGGGGAAGAGAAGAGCCGGGTAGGGAATGGGACAGGCGGCATGGAGGGAGAGGGGCGTCAGGATGGGCGTGCCCTCAACGAAGTCCATCACCAGAAGTCTTCTGTGCAGGAGAAGGAGGGGGGGGAGAAAAAAGTGAGGGACGAGGCGCATGTATTGTGGGCGTGGCTGAAAAGCACCAAGTGAAAGGTGAGATTTGACAGCAGGGTGTGATGTGACAGCTGCTCACCTAGTGACAAGGCCAGGTATGGCTGCTGGAACGATGACAGGTGACGCACTTGTGTCCAACTCCGCTCCATCCCCACCCCCATGCCTATCCCCATGTCTCAAATCCCCGCTCTTCCCAGTGTTCCCATGCCTGCCTCTTCCCCTGCCCCTGTGCCTTTCCCTATGCCCCCTCTGCCGGGGCCCGTGCCCATTTTGCCCATCACGCGCTGCCTCTCTTAGGACAGGCTGAGCCAGCGCGTGTCTGATTCGCTCCATGGCTGTTGCCTCGTGCTCAAAGTCAAACTCGTACCGAATCTGACCAGGTACGAAGGGAGCGAGGAGGGGCCGAGTGGGGAGAGGGCGGGTCCGAGTTAGAGGAAACAGAGGTGGTGGTAAGGGGCACTGAGCACAAGAAGCAGGCAAAGCGGGTGTCTAATTTGCCCCATGCATGTTGCCTCATGCTCAAAGTCAAAGCCATAGCGAATCTGAGCCGTTCAGGGGGAAGGGCAGGGAATTTTGAGAAAAATGAGGGGCAGGGATAGGGGAGAGGCAGGGGAGGCAGGTGGGTAGATAGGGAGAGAGAAATATAAGTGACAGACGATGCGTAGGTGGGGAAGGCAGCAAAGGCAGCTCAATGCGGACATCTGACTCGCTCCTGGGCTGCTGCCTCGCAGTCAAAGTCGAACTTGGAACGGATCTGAAGCACGGGAGAGGAGAGAGGAGGGAGGGGGGAGGAATCGGAATGGCTGGCAGCAGACCAGAGGAATGCAGGCTAAAAGGAGTTGAGTGACAAGGTGGCAACGAGACTGAACCACACAGCGCCTGTTCTCATGGGTGCAACACAGCAAGCAGGCTTTTGAGCCGACTAAAACACTCTAAGGGGAATTGGGTTAAAAGGTGTGAACAACGATGAACCACACACCACAGCAAGGCAGCATGGGTGCAACACAGCACAGCATAGCACAGCACAGCACCGCACCGCACCACACCACACCGCATGTACCTGCTGCTCGAGCTCAGAGATGGGCCCCAGCAGGTCGACCTTGAGCTCTGCCTTCTGCAGGAAGGCGCCAAAGAGCCGCAGATTCGCCAGGTCCATCAGCATCAGGCGCTCTGCACCCGCCCTCTGCACCTGGTATGGGGGGGGAGCGGAGGGCACAACGGGTGTGCACAAAGCGTGGGCATGAGGCTATAACACCGAGACGCTTGGACACCATGATTCTCCAAGGCGTGGCTCGTGATGCATGCATGGGCCATCGCAGCTGAACTGGTGAAGCAAGCATCCCTTCATCATGTACCCCAGGTGACTTTTGAGTTGACTCAAAAGTCGCACCATGGTCATCATGTACCCTACGATGCAAGGACGCTCTGTTTGGCCTACCTTGATTGCAACGCTGCGGCCATCCTTCAGCTTGCCCCTGTGCACCTGTTGTCCCCCAAGGCATGTTCACACATGGACACACATGCAAACATGCACGCACGCACACATGCACGCACGCACACGCACATGCACGCACATATACACAGAGGACGAGTGCATGGGGGAAGGAACAACAGAAATTTGTAATCAGGAGCTGAATGGTCTAGGAGCTGAAGTGCGAGCAGAGTTGACAAGGAGCATGCAGAAGGCAAGGCATGCTGCAACAACCACTTCGTTACCACCCACCCACACACAACCCGTTCCATCAACACACAACCCGTTCCATCAACACACAACCCGTTCCATCAACATACCATGCCGTTTCGCACAATGCCATGCCATAGCCTCACATGCCGCACTATATAATGTAACCCTAACCACACCAAAACCACACTTGAGATCAATCGTTTCCCACTATACGTCCACCCCCCTCCCCAGTCCCCTTTCCGTGTTTCGCCTATCTCTTCCCCCTTCTCCCCTCACCCCTGAATCAACCCCCCATGCTGACCTGGGCAATGGACGCAGACCCAACCGGTTCCTCCTCAAACTCGGCAAACACGTCTTCTAGCCGTATCCGTACCACGTCAGCGCTCGCCACGTCACTCCCAGCCACGTCAGCGCGTGCCAGCTCAGCCTCAATGTTGTGTCTGACGAGAGGGAAGGGGTCAGCAGGCGCACTGTCGTGGAGGGGGGCAAGGCGACGTACCCATGCAGGGGGGGACATGTCTGGCTTGGCTAGGAACTGACCCGCCTGAGGGGAGAGAGGGGGATGGAGGAGAAGAGGGAGGCTCAAGGAAAGAGGGCAGAACAAAACATTCCACCCATGCAGGTTGGGACCTGTCTGGCTTGGCTGGGAACTGACCTGCCTGTAGGGGGGAACAGGACGGTGAGGAGGAGGAGAGAGGGGAGGAAAGAGGAGAGGCGGGAGGGGTTTGGGCTGAGGGTGGGAGATGACGTTGCAACCATGCAGGGAGGAACAAGTCTGGCTTGGCTAGGAACTGACCCGCCTGTGCGGTGTACAGGAGCACGGTACCTTCGATAAGCATAACGTATGTTAAGCCGTCTCAGAAGTACGTCGGGACACAATGATTGAGAGTACCTTGAGGAAGAGCCCCTGCATCTCCATGCACAGCGAGTGGAGTATCTCCGCTCCCCGCTGATGCTGCTGTAATTTTAGTAAAGTGAGCGTGGCTGCTGTGACCGTACCTTAAGAAAGAACCCCTGCATCTCCGTGCACAGCGAGTGCAGTATCTCCGCCCCCCGCTCGTGCTGCTCCTCCCAGGCCGCCTTGCGTTGTTCCTCGCTCAACCTGCCCAGGCGCACGCGCGCCTGGCATAGCTGATGGCGGATACAGAGGATAAACGAGGGAAGTTGGGGGAGGCCGCGATAGAGTGTGGAAACAGTGCGTCGTAAGGTTGAAGCAGAATCCGGGCAAAAGTCAGGCGTGAGGAAGTGAGAGCCATGGATTTGAGCGGTGAACTGAATCAGGTAATAAGGGAGGTTGCAAGTAAGGTGCGACGTGGTCGCAGCGTTATGTGCACTGGGTTAATGGATGGCTGCAAGCCTGGGCAAGTGGATTCGTGGGGCCATGGGGTCACCTTGAAGTTGCCGTAAGAACTGACGGCTCGCCGCTATAATTACCTTATAACTGCCATATAGATGTACGGCTCGTCTCCAAAAGTCAAAGATGCGATGGAGCGCTTGCTGCTGCTCCCGCCACCCCTCCACCTTCCTTCTGCTCCCGTGACTAGAGCTACCGCTGCTTGTTCCCCGCGCCTTCGCATTCTCCGTCCTGACATGCGAAGGCCATCGCGCACCGGACAGCCCGCTCCGAAATTGTGTATCCGCCTGCACAATCCGATCCTGGAGCCATCCTGCTAGCTCGGTGCGCAGCGAATCGGGACTCCAACCTGAGAGGGAAGCATCGCTGCGGCCGTTCGAAGCGACTTGAGATTGTTTCATCGTCGAAGCAGGTGGGCTACGATGACGGAAGCGAGGCTAGTGGGAAGTGGATGACTCACTGGTTCGTGGAAGGCAGTCTTCAATAAAATCGTTATCGCATCGGCGTGACCTTGGGAGCAAAGTAATATTTAATTTATTAAACTCTCTCATACCAGCATTGCGTGCAAGGAAATTAGAAATACCAGAAACCGTGCAAGTCCAGGTTTGGAAAAGACTCATCGCAAACCTTGTGCTCACGGGTCAGCAGGACCGCCATGGATTGTTTCTTGATGAATCAGCCAGACATTTTCCTTGGTTCTGGTTATTCCACCTTGCCTGATCAGGTATGCTTACAATGACGGCAAGATCGCACAAGGTTTGCGACAGATCGAAAATAATCGCATGCCTTGAAATCCACCCGTGTACGACGATATGGGTTGTGGATGAGAGGTTCAGCTGCTCCGCGAAGTCTGGACGAAGTGCTGTAAGCATTTTGACGAAAATCGCAAGCGCACTTGCAACCCGAATTTTTACCCCGATATCCTTGTTACACCATGTTATTTTCAGCAGTCGCAATAAAAGCGGAACTGTGCTGCATTGTTACAGAACCACCAGAAATTTCAAATTTCCACCCCGCCAATGGGACCAGCTCGCGCCAACTCCCCCTTCCTGACAAACAGGTCAGAAGGAACAATCAACCGCGCTGCGGCCATCTTTGAGTTGAGAGAGCACCAGTCAACCCCGAGCGCAGAACTACCCTCAGTCGCCCGCCAATACCGCTGACAGCCCTGACGACTCAACTGCTTCCAAGTACCACCCAACAACAGCTACCACCACTATCTGCTTCCTAAATCTCTAACTAATTTCTCTGCCCACATTAGTAGTGCTGCTTCCATTGACTCCACTCGCCGCGGTAGACATCTGTCCCACAGACGGCTTCTTATCTTGCCGCCTGAGCATGGGCGTGAAAAGCCTCTGGTCGCTTCTCGAGCCGGCGAGACGAACCATTCCGCTAGAAGATCTCGAGTAAGCCCATACCGCCCAGGGCTCGATCGTTTCTCATGCTTGTTCTCCGCTCCGCAATCATCTCGTAGCCGTCGATCCATAACTGCATTCATCTCGTAGCTGTCGACCTACATCCGCGTTCATCTAATCGCCGTCTATCGATATCCGCCTTCTTTCATCACGTAACCATCGATCGCGAGAATCCCTGCGCGCTTCTACTTACAGCAGTGCGCACTTCTCAACATTACAGTGTTGAGAAATTCCAGGTGTAATGAGTCGATTTTTGAGTCGACTCATTACACACGGAAATTCCAGTCCTGAGCCATGGCTGAACATAACCGAGCCTTGATTATTCCATCGGTGCGCGCAGGAACAAGACCATCTGCGTGGATCTCTCCTATTGGATCGTTCAATTCTCCGCTAGCTGCCAAAACGGCCCATCGCAGGCCGGCGGCCAGACCAATCAGAAGCCACACCTTCGCGGAATATTCCACCGCCTGCGCGCTCTGAAAGCACTCAACTGCCACGTCATATTTGTTACAGGTAGACTCGCTAGCGCAGATTGCTCCGCGCTTCCCGTTTCCCCCCGCCGTTCCGCCGATTTGTTTTAATTCGCTCCCGTCCCCACCGAATCCTGACCGTCCCTCGGCATTTTCTCACCTTGCAATCTCGTGTCCGATCTACCGTCCGATGCGTCAGCTGTGTCCTTGATCTCGTGCCCCGTGTACCATCGTTCGTCCCTCACTCTCCCCCTCCTCTCCCCCCCTCTCTCTCCCCTCTCCCCCCTCTCTCTCCCCTCTCCCCCCCTCTCTCTCCCCTCTCCCCCCCTCTCTCTCCCCTCTCCCCCCCTCTCTCTCCCCTCTCCCCCCCTCTCTCTCCCCTCTCCCCCCTCTCTCTCCCCTCTCCCCCCTCTCTCTCCCCTCTCCCCCCCTCTCTCTCCCCTCTCCCCCCTCTCTCTCCCCTCTCCCCCTCCTCTCCCTCCCCTCTCCCCCCCTCTCTCTCCCCTCTCCCCCCCTCTCTCTCCCCTCTCCCCCCTCTCTCTCCCCTCCCCCCCTCCTCTCCCTCCCCTCTCCCCCCCTCTCTCTCCCCTCTCATCCCCTCTCTCTCCCCTCTCCCCCCCTCTCCCCTCCCTGAACCTCGCCCTCTTCCACGTCAGATGGCGACGTGCCAGCTGTCAAGCGCGCGACGTACCAGCAGAGGCGGGCAGACGATGCCGCCACGTCACACCCTCACTGGCGCCGAGCAGGTCGTGGCAGAGGGGCAGTGGCAGCAACAGCAGCAGCGGCAGCAGCGGCAGCAGCGGCGGCAGCGGCGGCTGCAGCTACTACTGACGCTGACGCACCCTCTAGTAGCAGGGTATAGCGATTCTCCTGCTTTCGCTTCAGCCGTTCGCTCTCCAGTTCACACCGTCCGTCCGTCATGCTGCATCCGTCTCGCCGACCCACCTGATTTGCACCATTACTCTTCGTCACCCCCCACACGACCACCTCCCTTCCTCTTCCCACTTTCACCTTCTCTTCTTCCTTCCCTCGGCTTTCCCTTCTTCTCTCTTCCCTCTCTCCTCCCCTCCTCACTTCCCCCCTCTTTCCGCTCTTCCCCCCTCTTTCCGCCCTTCCCCCCCCTACCCCTCCCCCCAGCCCCCCCGCGCTCCTGAGGGCGCGCTGAAGAGGCGGAGGGGGACAGAGTTTGCGCGCATGGTGAACGATGCGAAGGCGCTGGGGGCCGCATGGGGCGTGCCGTGCATCGACAGGTGAGGGGGGTTGCATGGGATGTGGTTCTTGCACTGGACATGACATGGCTAGCATGAGGCATATCACTTGACGCAGCATGGGCGCTGGGGGCCGCATGGGGCGTGCCGTGCATCGACAGGTGAGGGGGGTGTGGCGCATGCAATGCAAATGACATGGATGGAATGAGGCATATGACCTGAGGGCGCGCTGGTGAGGCGGAGGGGTGCAGAGTTTGGGCGCATGGTGGCGGAGGCAAAGGCGCTGGGCGCTGCCTGGGAAGTGCCGTGCATGGACAGGTGAGGGGGACGAGCTTCAAGCAATGCAAATATCACGGAACGCAGGGGGCGTCACCATTCTGGCATTCAGATTTATTCCCGCCATTGCATAAAGGCGTACCTGTTCTTTTCCTTGCATCGCGCTCCTCTCCTCATCACTCTCCTCATCACTCTCCTCATCACTCTCCTCATCACTCTCCTCATCACTCTCCTCATCACTCTCCTCATCACTCTCCTCATCACTCTCCTCATCACTCTCCTCATCACTCTCCTCATCACTCTCCTCATCACTCTCCTCATCACTCTCCTCATCACTCTCCTCATCACTCTCCTCCTCTCTTTCCTGCTTCCCTTCTCCCATCCACTCCCATCACCAGCCCGGAAGAAGCAGAGGCGCAGTGCGCGCTGCTCAACGCATCTGGCGTCTGTGTGAGCGCTTGCCCCTTCTCGCACCTTGCCCTCTCTGTCACTCCCTCCTTCCCCCTCGTCTTGCTCTTCCCTCCCTTCCTCTCATTCCCCTTACGTTTCTTCCCAGTTCTCCTGCGCTTGTTCTCTTATTTTGAGTGAACCGAATGACAAATGACAAAAAGGGAAACCATCAAAGTCCCAGGGATAAGTTGTCATGGAAGAGTAGCAGCAGCGTAGGAAGGTCGCGTTAGCAAAAAACTGACAGTTAGAAAAAACTTGTACCCTCAGAAAACAGGTGAACTCGAAAAAGTTTCTCAACCGGCCCTTGAATTGAATCAACAAGCAAACATGTTTCGGTGGTGGGGATCAGACCCACAACACCTCCATCAGTGCATGAGCTGGTAATGAAAAGAAACCTCCGAGCGAGGGGTCTTAAAAAGACACCCAAGCCTCGAGATCTACTCTGGGGAAATCCTACCCGGGCCCACAACTAGATAAGAAGTAAGCCAACAAAGCACTGCGGAAAAAACCTAGGTGCCCTGTCGTCCTTCGGGTTTGTCCTCGGGAGCCTTGGAACCTGCAGGTGGTAACCTCGCGCGAACCAAAAGTTGTTGCACGTTACGTGCACACTTCCAAGCAACCAAAATTCTTCCTGTATTAAATCCGCGGATAAGGAGACGAATTTTGAGGCGCCTCAAAAGTCGTTTGTTCTCTTATTTTGAGTGAACCGCATGACAAATGACAAAAAGGGAAACAATCCTCCTCTATTCCTCTCCGAGCTCAGTCTTTCCCCCCCCTCCGAGCTCAGTTTTCCCCCCTCTCCGAGCTCAGTCCCCCCCCCCCCCCCCAACCTCAGTCCACAATCGCACCCCCACCACACTCACCACACTCACCACCCTCACTTCCACTCCACCATCGGCCACTGCATCAGGATGTGATGTGCTCGGGTGACTCGGACGCCTTTCTCTTTGGAGCCAAGGCCGTGGTCCGTGACATATGCCTGCACAAAGGTGCGTATGGTATGGGGAGAGTGAGTTGGTTGGGTGTGGTGTGCGCTGATGTGGAACGGGGTGGCAGGGCATGGGTGCAGCAGCCAAGGCCGTGGTTCGTGACCTCTGCCTGCACAAAGGCGAGTCGTGGGGGAGTGTGGCAGGGATGGAAGGGCATGGCTTTGAGGCGCCTCAAAACAGGGATGGAAGGGCATGGCTGCAATGCAAGCACCTTATCCCACTGTAAGCACCTTCGTCTCGCATTATAACCACCCCGCCCTCTCTCTCTCTCCTGCTTTCACTGCTGTCCCTGCTATGCTCCCTTCTCTACCAGGCGCCAACTGGGCAGTGCTCTACACAGCAGCGGACATCCAAGCATCCCTCAGCCTTGGCCGAAACTCACTTGTGCGGTCCCAGACGTGCCTTGCCATGCCATGCCATGTCGTGCCATTCCAAGCACATCTATTCTGTGCCACCGCGATATGCTCTGCCGTGTCCCATCACTCAAACGTCTGCTCAGCTGCTATCTTTTCTCACTGCTTGCTCTGTCCTCTCATTCCCCTTGATCCTTCTCTCCCCATCCTGCCCCCTATCCTTCCCATGGTTCAGATAGCCATGGGCCTATTCCTGGGATCCGACTACTCGCAAGGTGTCTCTGCTGCCCCCACACTCCGTGCCAGGGTTAGTGCTCTCCTGTTCTGCTTTTTTTACCAGCGCAGCCATAGCAACCCATCCCTCTCACCCTATTCAATCCAATCCGATCCCTGTGTTTACCTCATTCTCGTCCCACCTTTCCCCATGGATTCGCTATCTTTGGCCTCATCTCCCCCAGCCCCATCCACCAGCAAGGGTGCAGTGCAGAGGGTGGCAGCGCTGGGTGATGAACACGTGCTAGCAACCATAAGGGAGAGAAGCATCGCTCCCCATACCTCTCCATGTGATCGCCTTAGTGGACAAACCCCGCCCTCACCCCCTTTCTCCCCGCCCACCAGCAAGGCGCAGTGCAGAGGGTGGCAGCTCTGGGTGAAGAAGGCGTGCTAGAGGCTGTCAGGGAGAGGGGCTTGGCTGCCATTGCTGCACCTAGAGCACGCAAAAGAAGGGGAACAGGTGCAGCGGCAAAAGTGACAAAAGGACAGCAGAGGAGGGGGGTGGGGGGCGGGGAACGGGGAGGCAGGGGAGGCGTAACAGGATTGACTGAGAGCGATGCAGGGGGGTATGCTGGGGCTAGCACAGGGATTGCCAGTGGTGCAGACAAGAATCCAACAGCAGGAGATAGAGGGAGTGAGCTAGGGGCGAGAGAGGGGGAGGAGGGGGAGGAGGAAGAGCAGGCAAGGAAGGATACTGTGAGGGTGATTGAGGCGTTTCTGAGGCCACCGTGCCATGATGCTGCGTCGGATGTCGTCAGAAGGTGAGACTTCCTCGTACACATGGTTGCGTTGCCAAGCCACCATCTCATTTTTCTTCTCCGACTGCCTGTATTCCCCCCTGAGTTACCTTCCATTTGTCCCTACGTTTCCTCATTCCCGCGCCCCCCCCACCCCCCTTCTCTTCCCCATGGTTCATGTCCCAGTGCATTGCAGAGGCACTGTAGCCCATCGCACGTTGACATCGTTGCATTCTGTGACAAGCATATGGCATGGCCTGCTGACGTCACAGGTGGGTGTGCCATGCGGATTTGACTGTCTACCTACCATGTATAGTCAAGTGCAGCTGTTACTTCCCCTTCTGGAGCTTCTTACCCCCTTAATCTCCTTCCTCCTCTCCTTTTCCGTCTTCACCCGTTTCCGCATGTTCTCTTCATGCTCAGCTCGGTACATTGGCTCCAAGCTAGCAGAGAGAGACCTCAGGCGTCTGCTGCTAGTGCAGCAGGCAGCACAGATCTGCATCACACCAGGGAAGGAAGCTGCCAGGAAAGCAGAGGACGTTGGGGGGGAGGTGGATGGAGTGAAGTACAGGGTGGGTGGCATAGTGAAGGAACGGTGGGTGGCCGGGCACAAAATGTTTGAGGTCTCTTGGAGCGGGCAGCCTGAAGTTGAAAACTCCGTGGTTCGGGCAGAACTTATGATGAGGTGAGTGTGTTGGCTTACCATTGTGCGGACTTAGCCTCTAGGTGGTCTGTGCAGCGACGAGTCTATCTTGTCACCGAGTCTTCTTCCCTGTGTTGTTGCGAATCCTCCCCTCCTCCTTGCACTGACAGGGTTCATCCTGGCATGGTGGCAGCATTTGAAGCAGAGAAGGAGGCGGGCAAGAAGAAAAGCAGAGGAAGACAGCAAAAGCAGACAAGGGAGAAGGGGGGGGGCAAGGAGAAAGAAACGAAGGAGAACAGTGGGTTCACAGCAATGCTGGGAGAGGCAGGCAGTGATAATATATATGGAGATACAGAGTGGGAGAACGAGAGGGAGTACCAGCAGACTGAATGTGTGGCAGGGCAACCAGTCTGTGCCTCAGTCAGAGTGGAGTCACGCACATTGCGCTTTTCCATAAAGCATGGCAGCAGCAGCGGCAGTCGCGGTGATAGAAATGGTGCAGATGCGGGTGGGTGTGTTGATTTGGACAGTGACAGTGACGGTGAGCTGGCCCACGGATTGGAGGCCAGCCAACTGAATGATCCGCTGGGTTTCCCCTCTGGAGTCATGGAGAAGGAAGCTGACGAGGCTGTTCGATCTTCTGTACAGAATCATGAGATTCAAGCAAGGGGAGCAGTGCGTCAAACAAAGAAGGCAGTTGAGAATGCGGGGGATGCGGAAGATTCGTACGGGAGGAAAAGGCAGGAAGTGGGAATACTGGCGAGGTGCCAGAAAGCAGATGTGAAGCACATGGAGAGCAGAAGCAGTGGAGCAGGGAAAGGTAGTGAGAACGGGCTGCTGTGGATTTGGCAGCAGCAGCAGTACATACCTCAGCAGGAGCAGCAGAAGGGCAAGAGGAGCAGGGTGCAGAATCGCATTGCAGCAGAAAATTCTCAGCAGAGGAGAGGGGGACCATTCGTTGACTTGACAAACACGGCCATCCTGGAATTTAACGAGCAAGGTCGAAGTGCAGCAGCTGAGTCGGACGGGATACGCAACAACGGAAAGGCTGCTAGTGATTGCGTTGATTCGATTCACCTGGGTAATGGTGACAGCCCTGGTAGGATGCATGGTGGAGGACAAGCAGGAGGAGGCAAGCCCATGAGAAAATATGTTAAAAGTGGACGGAATAGATGGGCCTCCACAGGCGAGCATGAGGTGGTGGACCTGGACACTCCAGAGTCTGTCACTGTGAAGGTGTTAGGGAGGGGAAATGCCTTGCTCCGAGAGGCGGGAGGCTGTCCACTGGCTTGCACGCTTAACTTTGCGCCAGCCAATTGTGAGAGAAAAATAAGCTGCGGTTTGGTGAACCTGATTGACTTGGAGGAGAACGATGACTAGACTAGGTTGCCATGATCTCTTATTTGGTGTACCTTAGTCCATCTTGTAAATAAAATTTCCTTCAATCACTAGCATCTTTCACATCTGAACCCTAATCTAAAACCGTCGTTTTTCTAGTTCCAGTGGTCGAGGGGAATAGATTCCGCCAGCCAAATAGCACGAGAGGGTAGTGACAGTGCCTAGTTTCGCACCAACGTTGCCAGCATCGTGAATTGAGATGGGACATCTTGCTCTACGTGTTGCACTCGACGGCTCCGCCCCCTTCAGCAGTATTCAAGATGCAGTGGACGCCGTCCCACCAGGCAAAGGCCAACCAACGACCATACATATTGATCCAGGAACGTACTTTGAACAGGTCCGCAAGCCACAAGCAACACATTCTGATTCACAATGTTACCGAATTGCTGCACACCGCAAGCGTCAAGCGTGACCTAGTGAGTCGCTAAGCTCTACAATGTTTTGCTGTTGCGTGTGACCTGTCGCGTCAGATTCTGGTGCCATCGTCCAAGCACTGCATTTCTTTCGTCGGAACTGGACCTCCATGGTCAACTATCGTCTGTTTTGACGCATTCAACGGAAAGGCTCGACCTCCACACGCACAGTGCGCTTCAGACGATCGTACCAACCCTGTATACAACACGTACAACTGTGCAACAGTTCAGGTAAGCGATTATGAGGTAAAAGTATTCTGGCAGTGTTGATTTCAGTCTATGGTAAGCTAAACGTTACCCATTTCCGCATGTTCCAGGTAGAGGCTTCGGGCGTGGTTATGGTGAACATTGTCATCGTCAACCAATCAAGGCCTGACTGTGGAGGCCAATCAGGGCAAAACCAGGCAGTGGCGTTGCGCACAACGGGAGACAAGGTTCAGCTCCATGGGTGCTGGATACGAGGCTGGCAAGCGACCCTTTACACCCATCAAGGGCGGCAGGTGGGCACCTCTTCCCCTCAACTTGGTAAAATGAGTTGTTGCTGAGTATATTAAATATTTGAAACAGTATGGACACGGACTAAAAACGACACTTGAAAAAATGAAACGGCGGCTGAGCTTGTGAGCAGAGGCGCCAAAGACAGCAGCAGTGGACGTGCATTAGAAGGCGTAGGGGTCATCCACGTTGATGGGAGCCTGCCAGTCAGCGTTGTATGCAGTCGTAACCTGTGGAAGTTGGGCCACGATTACATCGGCTGAAACATCAGCAGAAGAGGCATGCTGGGAGAGTGGTAGCGAACAAACCTTAGTAAAGTCTAGCACTCCGTTAGACTTGTAGTCAGCTTCCTGGAGTTTGAGACGCCGTCAAGAAAGCAAAACGATTGAAAGAAGCAGAAGATATAGTTGAGGTGTATATTACCATGTGCTTCAGCTTCTTCTTCTTGGAAAGCGAAGGTGTAGCTTTGCTGACGAAATCCAGCTGGACCAAACCAAAGCATCCGAGGGCACAAAGGGCTCGTCAAGAGTCTTCTTTCACAAAAGGTAAAGCATTCTGAGAGGGAGTAACAGCTCTACCTGTTTGGGTGTAGGAGCTGTCGTGTCCAAAGCGAGGTCCTGCTGTTGCGTGGCTACTGCTGGCTGGAGCCTCAACTTCTTTCCCGAACGCTTTTTCTGTCAAGTCACGGTTTGTAAGGAGATGCTCATCCTGAGAACGTCATAGCAGGATGCAGGACGGACAACCTACCTGTGACTTCAGTGTCTTCGGTGCAGAAAGATTCTGTGTTTCAGCTGCTCCATTGGTCACAGGAATGGTTTCCTCCAGCTTCTGTGCACAGCCAGGTTTTTGGATAAGCGTAAGTCATGCACATGATAGACAAGGCCCATGCCTTCAGCTCATTCCCCTCTTACCCTTTCCAGATGCGCGGCTTGACTTTTGCCTGATTCCGCCTCCTTAGCGTCCATGGGTTCCTTGGCTTCACCTGACTTAGCCTGCACGGAGTTGGAGAAAAGGTTTGAGACCTAGCGCTGATGACACATTTCACAACATTTGAAAGCCTTACCGTTTCCTCTGTCAGGGTGTCACGATGTGACTTATGAGAGGACTCTTGCTCTAGCTTCCTCTTCCGCAAAGAACTGTCAAATCCCATCCGTTGAGTCTTCAGTGCATTCTCATGATCCAACTTCAAAGCCTTAAGGATGCTGTCATGCTCCAGATCTTTCTTTTTGACGTAGTTCTCGTGCTCCATTTGAGCCTTTCGAAGACTGTCCTCGTGCTCCATGTTGAGCTTGTTCAGCATGTTCTCGTGTTCCATCTTCAGTTTGCTGATATGACCCTCCGCCTCGACTCGTGTTGTTGCACATTCCTCTTCCAATCGCATCTCACTTTGTCGCAGCTGTCACAGGTGCGAAATGTTGGTTAGCTCGTTGTGGGAAGTTATTTTGGCATATAAAATCGCCCTCTTTATTTGTCTCACCTCCTCAATTTGTTGCTCATAACCCTCCTTGAGCTGAACTTCACGAACCCTGCACTCCTCCTCAAGCCGCAAGCATTTCTTGTCAGCTTTCTCCAGCTTTTCCTGTGCCTGAAGCAAGTAAAGTACATAAGAAAGTTGTTTTGCAAACTCCATCAAGGCTGTCTAGCTATCTTACCTCTGCCAAGCACCTCTCCAGCTCGACATGCAAGTTGCGCAGCATGCCTTCATGGTTTTCCTGCTGCTGCTTGCACTTCTTCTCCATTCCTCGAAGCCTTGCTTGTAGCTGGAAATGAGACATGGCCACATAAGATCACAAGAAACCGTAGCATGCAAACAAAAGCCTTACCTCTGCAAGCCGCAGCTCATTGATTTCCTTCAGCTTGTCCATGTCAACCCTGTGTACTTCCTGGAGCTCTTTGTACTCTCGATCCATGGATGTCAACTTCTCTTTGGCCTGCAGCCACGTGTATTTTAGTTGACTCGGAAGCTCGCCAAAAAAAACCCTTTCATTGGCATGTAAGTGTACTGACCTTATTGAATTCACGTGTCATGTTTTCTAGCTGGATGTCGATGGCTTCCTCACGTTCTGTCTTTGCCAGCTGAATCCTTCCTTCCAGCTCTGCCGTCAATGATGCAATGGCCTGACTTGAAAACATTTTTAGACGATTTTATGTTGATGTTTCATGTAAAGCATAAGAATACTTGCGTACCTCTGCATGTTGTTGCTCCAGTAATGCTTTTGCGGTCTCTACCTCTTCGCTGTGCTGGAGCTTTAGCCGTGTAACCAAATCCTCTGTAGCTTGAAGCTTTGATTCAACCTGGAAAAGAGAGTATTAGATGCCTGTTTCCAGTTCGTTTCATGCACAGCAACCTCACCTTCTCGATAGCAGCCACACACTCCTCCTCTTTAAGCCGCAATTTGTTTTCGGTCTCTTCCACAAACGAGGCGAATGATGCATGGTGAGTCTCTTCAAGCTCCAATACCTAGAAAGACTTTTGTTACCTGATTTGCCTTAATATCCCAGACTGTCCCAGAAAAAAGCGGCAATTTTACCTGCGTTTTGTTCTTCTCAAGGAGGGTTTTGATCCTGGCCCCATACTTCTCCTTCTCTTCTGCCAATTGGCTTTGAAGGTTCTTCTTGGCATTCTCAAGTGCATCTTGAGCCTGTGACATGACAATGAATGTTATTGCACCTTGTGTCAACCACGTCATACGCCAACAAAACTTGTATGTATGTGCGCACCTTTTTCCTCTCTTCATCCACACTCCTTGTTGCCTCTGCCTCAAACTCTTTCCTCATCTCTGCCATAGCGAGATTATTGCGCCTTGAAATCTCTTGGAGATGCTTCTGTAATTCCAGCTGCTTTGACTGCATCTGCCTTTGGTAGTCTCTCTTCAAGTCCTTCGCTTGCTTCTCTGTTGACAACAGCTTCTCCTGACACTGGAAGACACATGCTCTTGTAAGTTCCCTGCAATCGATATGCAGACAGACACAGAAATTGCTTTACTTACCTCCTTATAGTCGTTCTCCAGGGTCTCAAGCTGTTTTTTCATTTGGCTCAATGCAGCTTCATTCAGATCCAGTTTCTCTTTCAAGGTTTCGTTACTGGAGACCAGCTGTGCTTCAGCTTCTGTCTTCGCTGCAACAGCTGCGGAGAGCTTTTCATTTTCTGTCGTCTTAATAAATATTTTTTCTTCTAGAGACTCCTTGGTGCATTTAAGCTCCGTGGTGCAAGACTGCAACTCGGCTTGCAATCCTTCCTGCAGACGAACTTGGCTTGTGAATTTTGAATTCAAGAAAATTTGGGATGAAAGATGTCAGGTGGTTACCTTCTCTTGTGTTGTTGACCTTTGCTTCTCCTCCAATGCTTCCAGCTTATTTTGGAGCTCCTCTTTCTCGCTGCCAGCTTCCTTTGCCCTGGCTTCCAAGTCCTGCAATGTTGTCAGGAGCTGATTGATCTTTTCCTTGGACTGGTCGTGCTCGGACTCGAGCTGGGCCATCGTGTTTTTCCTGTTTTCTTCTGCCTCTGTTTTCAAACAAACGTACTTGAGTCAGTGCAAGCCATGGTTAAGGAGACCATTCCAACAGAAATTCGTTACCTGATAATTGTTGTTCCATCTGCTGAACCCGGGTACGCAGCTCGTCACACTCCTTCCGTGCTTCATGCAGTTTCTGTCGAGTTTCTTCCTTTCTGACCCGCTCTTCTTCAAGCCTTGCATTTGAAGTGGCTAGCTGGCTCAGAATGGCATCTGCATTTCGCGTTGACAGTGCATTCACACTGTCAAGTGCCGCCAACTCAGCTGACAGTCTGTCGACATGACCCTTGAGGTCTTTCACTTCTTCATTCCTGTGCTCCAAAGTTGTCTGCAATAACTTCATGTTGGCCTCGTGTCGCGAAATGTCCTTAGCCTGCAACAAATAACAATGGTAAGTCTTTGAGGTCATCAGACACGGAAAAAGATTCCGACTCAAATTCTCGTACCAAGGAAGAGTTGGAAATCTCGAGCTGCTTCATGTCTTCCTTATAGTTTTCCACCTCCACTTGACTTCGCATGAGCGCTGATGCAAGCTCTTCACACTCTTTTTCTTTGACATGATATGCTGCCTCTGACGATTGTGCTTGTTTCAACAACTTCTCTGTAATAATCGCAAGTAGGGTTGTTAAACGTCTGTCAAGAAGTCAAAGGCTAACGGTGAGTCTCACCTCTTTCAGAGCTGTACTTTAGGGCTTCCCGCTTCTTGAGTTGAAGAGAGGACTTCAATTCCACTTCCACCCTTTTTAGCCGCATGCACTCCTTACGACCTGCATCGACGTCTTTGTGAGTACGACGTTATCAAGCACGGAAATTGGCGATAGGAAAACACATACTCTCGGATGAGTTAGCGTTCGCCAATGCCTTTTCGTTTTGCACTTGGACGAGCACGGTCTTAAGCTCTTCTATCAAGAAATCCTGCTTCCCAAATTTCTCTTGAAGAAGTCGACGAACTCCTTCCTCTGTAAGAAAAGCCAATGTAAGGACAATTTATCGGTGTAAATCAAGCTTGTTAAGTAACATTGGTAAGAATCGTTACCTTGCCCTAACTGTCTCTCGATCTGCTTGTACACGTCACAGACTTGTTCATACTTCGTGAAACTCTGAGTGTAGGTCCCTTGTGCTTCAGTGCTGTCTGCACTTATCACTCTCCGCTTCTTCAAGTTAGCTCTTGGTGATGCGGGAATCAGATCCTGAGAAGCGATTAAACACTTTCAGTGAAAGCTTTCTAGTAAATTCAAGCCTTCAGATTGTCGACAAACCTGAGAGCGGTATTCGACGATCTCGTCTAGAGCCATCCTGTTCAGTGGATGGTCCGCCAACAGCTGGTTGCTTGGAAATGACGGTATTCCCTTGGATCTGGTGGTTTTATGACAGGACTTGGGGGTTCGCAAATGTGCTGTCGCGTCGCGTCTGTTGCGGATTGGAAAAAAACCCTGTTCTCGCTTTCGATAACAGCTCAATACCATTTTCGACGAGCAACTATGATGCATACAGTCTAAACTAATTTCGTACTTATAAAAACTTGCATTCCCTTTTCCTTCCATTTTGTTGCAGTATTTCTCCAGGACTGTTATCGAAGGAAGCGTGGATATCATTTTTGGAGGGCCAAATGTGAATGCGTTTTTCCATAAGTGTTCAATCCTATCGAAGGGTCGAGGCACATTTACAACACACTATCGTGATCTGACCACTTCCCCTCACGATGCTGGTGCTTTTGTATTTCAGTGTTGCGCTTTCACCGGTGAGTTAACTTCCACTTCGTCAAAACCCCTCTTGACTTCACTCCAGTAGCATATAATCTCCGGCTTAATCACCCTCTCGTATATTGTTTTGCAAACCTAGGCACATCAAGCACAAATGGCCCTTGTTACCTCGGCCGTCCCTGGCGTCAGGATGCACGAGTCATCCTAGCACACTGCTATATTGGTCAGTGTGTGCCACAGCGTGGCTGGGACCGTTGGGATGGTTCCACTGACATTAGCAGACCAACGTTTTGGGAGTTCGATTGCGTGGGGCCTGGTTCAATCGTAAGTATCTTCAACGTTCCTTTCAACTACTTACAGTAAGTAGCCAGTTTAGTGCTTTGTTTTACCGTAAGCGTTTCTGTTTGTGGTGGTGGCTATCCCATTGTGGCAGAAGGCCCATTCCTCCATCAACCAAACGTCAGGCCAAGATAGACCAGTGATGATGACGAGCCCCTCCGCAAAGTCACCGCGATTCATTGGCCGAGAGCCAGCGCCAGCTGAAGTTGCCCCATTTCTAGACTTGCCATCTTTCTTTGCACTGAGCCGAACGGATTGTTCAGGGAGTGCCTTTCCTGGGCCAGCCCCGCCCTGCTCTGCCAATGAAGACGGCCCACTCGGAACTCCTCTACCTCCTCTCCAAGGTAAATCCGGTAACTGAGCTTCTGGGTTGAATTGAAATGAACCAAGCTAATTTTGCTTTCGGTAGCAGGATAAGCCTGCTTACTGATTTAACACGCTCTCACTTTTGTTAAGTTGCTTGTTCCTCCCTGTGTGATCGACGACCTCCAGAGGCTTCACCACCTTCTCAAGGCACTAGTCCGTCCCCTGCTGCTCCCACAAGGCTATTCCTTGTGGTTCCAGCAGCGGCAGAGGATGGGAACTCAGCCCGTTACTGTACCCATGGTACAGTGAAACGGTTCAGAGGAGTGCAGGAGGCGATTGATGCAGTGGAGCCTGGAGGGAAGCACACAACCGTGATTGCAGTCTTTCCAGGCACCTACTTTGAGCAGGTGTGTAGTAAAAGGGGAAATTTCTTCGAATGCTTTGAGCAATATCTTGCAGTGTAATTTCTCAGATGCAATCTTGACCAACTCTTCGTCCCCTACTTAATCTACCAGGTGCGAATCCCCTCCAATAAGACGCGCATACTGCTGCGGCCTGCATCCGTCGAAGAAGGGAGCACCGGTGTTGGGGAGGTCCGGATAGTCTTTAATGCACATACTGGAAAAGCTAAGCACGACAGCAGCAGCAGCAGTGGCAGTGCTGGCGGAAAAATTGCAGGAGGAGAAACCTGCAGTGGCACTATCGCCACCACAGCCAGTGCTGCAGCGAGCTACACGACCTACACTTCTGCCACCTTTGCGGTAATAGCAGACTCCAAGGGGGACAGGTGTCAGTCCCCCCGAGGAAGGACGCGGCAACTCATATGTCTCCTTTCGCCCGAGTCCTTCTAGATGGATTTCACCTCTCCACCGATACAGTCTCTCCTTCCTGCTGCCTTCCCCTTCTCCCCAATCAGGTTGAGGCGGACCATTTCACGGCAGAGGGAATAGTGTTTGAGAACACAGCAGGGCCTCGTTGCGGGGGGGGCTCAGGGCAGCACCAGGCAGTGGCCGTGCGGGTGACGGCAGAGAGATCCGCGTTCCACAGGTGCTGCTTCCTGGGGTGGCAGGACACTTTGTATCTGCATCGGGGGAGCACCTGGTTCAAGGATTGTCGAGTGGAGGGGTCCGTGGATTTTATCTTTGGAGGGCCCAAGGTGAGGGGGATCAGGAGTGTCATGTCTAGGGGCCCCATGGCTACTAGTGCCCAGCAATCCCCTTCATGGTCTCAGATTTCCCTTCGTTCACTCCTTCGCCAGTCTTGAGCCACTTCCCCTGCTTATGCTGCCTCCTCCTGCTTCCTTGCTCCATTTGCTGTCTCTGTCCCCTCTGCTGCTTGTGCTCAGGCACGGGGTTACTGGAAGGGATGTGAGGTGGTGGTGAGGGGCAAAGGGTGGGTGACAGCTCACCGCAGGGACCTCGCCCAGTGGCCTGACGACACCGATGGTGCCTTCGTCTTTGATGCATGCTCCATCCAAGGTACTGCTTACCTAGCCTCACTTTCGTCCCCTTATGGTACCAAACACAATCCCATGGCCTGGACTGACTGACTGTGCCGTCAAGATTCCAGGCCTCAGGAGCAGGCATGAGTACCCACCTGATGCAGGTCTTCTCCCAACGCTGTCTCCCACACTGCCTTGCCCCTGTGTGTTTGCCAGCATCAGATCCCTCAGTGCCTCCCAGCTGTGCCCTGCTGGGGCGGCCATGGGGTCCAGATGCTCGTGTGCTGCTGCATGGGTGTAGCATTGGAGCCGTGGTCAAGGCGGAGGGGTGGGGCGCATGGAACTCAGCCACTGATGTTTCCCGCCCTCGATTCCTTGAGTGGGAGTGCACTGGACCCGGTGCTTCTTTGGCTCATGTAAGCGACCGCTCTACTCTACACATGTGTCATTGACAGTCTTGCACATCTCTTCCCATCATTGTACCGCACTCAAGCACCATACTCATGCCCCCTCCTCCTCCCCCCCCCCAGAGGGTCATAGGACGGCAGGCCACCCTACAGGAGGTGAATCAGCTGGTACCTGAGAGTACTTTCTTCTATGACTTGCCAGGTTTCCCTGCCCTTACACCTTGAGAGCCATCTACAGCTGCTCTGCACTTGTTTTGTTTTGCTCATGCATGATGGATGGCAGAGCTTGTGATTACATTTGGGCATTCTGGTCTTATACAATTTGATACATGGAAGTACAGAATTCGGCAGCACCAATAGCTAGCGTGCGACTTATGTACAACCAGCAATGGCTATGGTAATAGGGCAACCAGCCAACCAATCTAAGCAATTACCTGCTCCCTTTGGCAGCAGACACGAGTAGACACATTACCCATACAGGGGAGCACCATGCTAGTGCTGCCCACCAGCACCAGCACCAACTCACCCACAGTACAGCCTTCTTACTCTCTCCTGAATCGCCCTCCTCTCGTCCTTGGACACATCTGAAAAGGCATGCGAGGGAAGCTGCTCCAAGCGCTGCTGGTGGCTGCCTGCAAGGTCGCAAGTGGCCCCTCGTATGGCCTCCCACCGCGGGCCGCACGGCCGCTTGGTGGTGACCATCTCATACGCCGTCCGCAGCTGAAGGGAGACACGGATGTAAAGTGGGGAGAAGGGGGCAGGGAATTGGAAAGGGGCAGAGGACGGTGGGAGTGCGGTGGGGAGCCCTGGCTGGCTTTGCTGAGACATGTTTGGCTGGTAGCAAGCATGAGAAAGTAAGGATGAGAGAATGGGATGCGAGGAATGGAGGGGTGGCGACCGCAACGGGAAGCATAGGGCAGTAGCATGCCGACTCACGTCCATGTCTCGGAACCAGAAGAGGAAAGCGATGGCGGCAGCAGGCGCGCGGCCGAGGCCAGCAGTGCAGTGCACGAGCACGGTGCGGCCCCCCGATACGTGGCGCTCTATCACCGCCACCATGCCCGGCAGCTGATGCCGCAGCGAATGCGGGTCGAAGTCCACCGCCTGGAGGGAAATGCGCAGCGCATGGTCAGGAGGGTATGAGAGGGAGAGAAGAACGAGGGGAAAGAGAGAGGGGGGACGAGTGTTGGAGGAATGTGAGGATGGCAAGAGTAGATGGAAATAGTGACGAAAGCAAGTGAGGAGAGGGGGAGGATAGAGGCGACATAAAGGCCTATGACAGCAAGCCGCATGAGCTAGTCGATCTCGAGCGCCAGCCACACAGGTGTTCGCGAAGGGGCGGGCACGCAAAATGTTACCGGTCGGCGGTAGTGCCTGAGTCCGAGCTGGTGGCACTGGCTTGTGACGCCATGGATGTCGACGCCCCAGTACGCGATGTCGTGGTCCTGCTGCAGGTTCAGCACCACCGCCACCGCCTCCTCGCGCTGCAGCCGCACTATGTCGTCTGGGCCCTGCGGCTGCGACCCCACCAGTAGGTGCTGCGCTATGCGCGTGTAGTACATGCCTGCAGAAAAATAATACATTTCAGGAACTGTGAGCGTGTAAGAGATGCCTGCACGGACGGGTGTCTGTGAAAGTGTGCGTGGGCGAGGGTTAAGGTACTGTAGGGTATTGTAAGTAGAGCCAATCCATACTCTTCTAGTCGATATGTAAAAAAAAGAAAAGAATGGATACGCTATGCACGTGTGAGTGCAACGGATTAGTAGGGACGAATAACAGTGTAAACCGGACAGCGATACTTTGTAAGTGAGAACTCACCAAGGTGATGGTGGTATTCGTAAGGGTTGGCCATGGCTCGCTTCATCCGCATGTTGTACTCCGACGACGAGATTAAGATGCCGGCATTGTCCGAGTCTGACGTGTCCCCACCGTCACTCAGCATGCCAGTAGCAGTCTCTCCGACGCCCAGGCGACTCTCAAAACACGGACTCTGCGACAGGCTTAAGCTCCCTTCTAGGGCCGCCACGACAGTGGAGCTCTCAGCGCGGACCCCGGATGCTGGGGGAGCAGCAGAAGCAGAGATTTGGAGGCCATGACGCCTGGTGCGATGGCTTGGAGCAGACGGACCTGCCTTAGAAAGCGCCGTTAAATTTGCGGTGAAACCTGAGGTGGTCCGACTGAGCGCAATGCATGGAGACGGGAACATTGCCGTTGCGGGAGGATGTCGGGAGAAACGGGTTGGTAAGACTGGCTGGTGGTGCTCCTTGAACGAATGACAAGATTTGACAGGCTGTGGTAATCAATCTTAATCTGTCGCACTATGATAACGTCCTCAGTTTACTGATCATGAAGACGAAGCGGAGACCCCAAACTCAAGTAGGGAGCACGTTGGTCGCGGTGGAAGCAACGGCAGTTCCAGAGGATGCTCACTGCACAGCCTGGCCTCTCTCTCCCTCCCTCCTCTCCGTACCAAGCCCTAACGTACTCTCTTCCAGTCAAGCACTATGGGTGTAAACGGGAGGCGAGGCGAGGGGAGGCGACGGAGTAGTGAGGCAACCCACAGCAACGCTGCGACATCCAACGTGCGTGGAAAGGGCTGCTCCTTTTATTATGTGATGTTCACTACAGCCCTTTCTAGCAGTGGTGGCGCTGCTGTGTTGTGCTGTGTCGAGGTTAGCTTGCTGGAGGAGGGGCGTCTGGTCTCGTGGCCATGCAGTGGAGCAATTCCCGGAGTCGAAAGCACAAGCAATGAATTGCACGGCTGAGAATTGCCTGGATGAGGTTTGCATGGCCGAGATTGCTTCCCGATGGAACCGCGAGAACTGCTGATCAACGGCAGCCACACATGATGGGCCATGATGACGGCTTGGGAAGAGGTACAACAGACCGCAGAGAGTTCGCGAAGGGACCTGCGACAAGCGAAACATGCTATGCTGGCATATTCGACCTCTGCGGTCCCTATGAGCCGCCGCCACAACGGATCTAATGAGTCACCTCCACGCGGAACTCACGCCGCACCAGCGAAAATCAAGCTTTGCCACCTCAAGAATAACCAAAGCTGGCGTCATCGTCTTGATTCTTGCGAAACCTCCATTTTAACCGTAAAATGCGTGTCGGCGATGGTGGTCTCGAAAATTCGTTTTGTGGAGGATTACACACAACACGGAAGATACACTTGACTCCTTACTTTAACGAAGCGGTCTAATAGAGGGTCTACTTCTGCAGATTGCGTTGGGTGGGATCCTCTGTGGCAGGAGAAGTTGAAGATAGATCACTATCGCCATGCTTCCATGATCTGCGGCAATTATGAAGATCGACGGTGCTAACGGCCCACACGCTCTTTCAGCTCGGCACCACGGTCTATGGCGTCCGTCGCGCCACCACTCTAACCATGCCAGCGGTGCCGCGAGGCTCTCAACGCACTCTCATCAGAGAACTCGGCTGACGACAGAGCTGGACAGTCTTAGCTCGTCGCCATGGAGTCCGTGGCGACGATCGCCGTGCGTGGGACGCGCGAGAGCGATAATTGCTATTTTTGCAGCTCTTGCTGCGCTGGTCCTGGTCTCTCATTCTCGCGTGATGCCGTGGTTAATTGGCCGAGAGGTGAGCTCGCTCCGTAGACAGGTCGTGCTTCGTACGACGTGTTAGATACTGCTGGTACTGGCCACAGCTCATGCTCCTTTGTTTTCGTCTTACCGCTCGTCATTGCGGTTACAATGTTTCCCCATGCGGCCTGTCGCCCCGCATTGTTAATTGTTTCCTACGTGTATGTTGTGTCCCCCACGTGTCCACCCACGTGTCCACCCACGTGTCCAGGCGTCCCATGTTAGAAGAGCATCAGCAACTCCGCCATCCACATCCAGCCTGCCTGTGAACCCTCCACCGCTTGCTAATGGGGGCAGCAGAACCTCTTCCACTCGCTCCCACTCCTCACAATCCCCCTTCTCCACCTCCTCCTCCTCTACCTCCTCCATTAATTCCTCCTCTCTCTCCCTCAACCCCCGTTCTCCACCCCCCTCCACCAACACTGCAGTCACTCTACCACCCTCTCCTCTCTCCCCTCTCATCCCCCCCCACCTCCCCCCTGCCTCTGGCTGCAGCTGCTACCGCCTGCGCAACGTGTACTGCTGCAAGCAGGCCCTCTGCGTCTGCCACTCTGTTTGCTTCAACGGCTCCGCCCTCCTCTCAGCCCCCACCCCTCAGGCCACCTCAGCCAAACCCGTGGTCAACCCCAAAGACCCTCCACTCCCCTGCCTTCCTCCTAAGTACACCCTGAACCAGATGCAACCTTCCCCGGATAGTCCCTCTGACAGTGCGAGCAGCAGGAGAAGAGAGACTACAGATGTGCTGTCGCCCATTCCCTGCACTCGCAAGGCAGAGTTCGCTGCTTTTCTCAACATGGCCCTTATGGAGGCGCCCATTAGGGGAGGTCTGCATGCTGCTAGTAAAGACACGTGGCAGGAGTGGGTTGGCCAGGAGGGAGGTGGCGAGGGCAAGGGAGGGTTGGTGGATTGGCGGGATGGCGGCACTTTGCTGATTCCTCTAGACGACCCCACCACCAACGTGGCTCATTTCATAGGTGCGTGTGCTACTGAATTCCTGTTGACCCAATCAACAATGTTGCACATTTTACTGGCAGGACTGATGGAATGAATTCTACCACAATATCCTTGCCACTTCTCTCGTCTCACAGGCTATTGCCTCTGCTGTCTGTTGCTGCACTCATCAATGCTGCTTCTTGTCAGTGGGCTCTCAATTTGTTCTCTTCCTGTTGCACATGTGTATGCGCATGTGAACATGGATGTGCATGGGCGTGTGTGTGTGTGTGTGTGTGTGTGTATGTGTGTGTGTGTGTGTGTGTGTGTGCGTGTGTGTGTGTACTTGTGTTTGTGTAAGTGAGGGGGAGAGATTGGGGCGAAGGGTGGGGGGAATGGATGGGGGGAGGGTCAGGGGAGTGAATGATGTGTTTTGAGTGGCAGGGAAGGCTGCTCAGATACTGCTAGTCAACAACGCATCGCTGCCTACTGCCCTTCCTCTCATCACACGATTCTTGCTGCCCCGCACTCCTGCCGCTGCCGCCAGGTGCCTGCTGTGACCCCTCACTTGTGCCTTGCATTCATTGGTTTCCGTCTCCGCATGTTTTGGGTTGTTGCACCGCCTGTTCTGGCTGTTCTGGCATTTTCTATCCTTATCATTTCATACACCACTTCCACACCATTCACATCATTCTCATCTGTTCCGCATCCTGCACTCATATACTCCTCTCCGCCTCCTCTGCCCCCCCGTGTCCCTCTGCCTTTCCCATCTCTGGTTCCCTCTCTACTAGGATGCGGCAGCACGGGCAGCACGGTTGGATCCCCTCGGTGCTGCACATGCTGCTCCGCATCGCACTAGAGCCTCTCCTCAACCGCACCAGTGACCTGAAACACATCTCCTCACTCCCTCTCAGCCCTGGATCCCTAGCTGCTGCTATCTCGCCAGAAACATTGGCGGGTGCCGCCAGTGCGGATGGCAGCAGCGGTGGCAGCATCGGTGGCAGCGGTGGCAGCAGTGGTGGTGCGGAGTTGCTTGCAGGGGCGGTGGAGTTTGAGTCTGCGTTCAGCAGGGCGTCTCATGAGCATCCCATGTGCTTCCATCGCCTTGTGCTGCCCGGCTATCTCAAGGTGCCACAGCTCGCTCCTTCTTATGAGCTTGTACCTTCTTGCCACAGCCCTGCGTTCTTATCACCTTCCTCTGCCATCCGTTTTTTGGTTTATATGCCTACCTTGCTTTCGCCCACTGTTGCCCGAACTTTTTACTCCCTTCTTTTTTCACAATTGCTCTTCTGCATTTTTTTTTTGTGAACTCTTCTAAACACTGAAATCACCCCCTTTTCGATCCCTCTACAGGCCATCACCTTCCCAGGCGGCATGGAGGAAGCGGACATGTTCAAGCAGCGGCTCATGGAGGCTTTCCCCCACTCCGACCCCGATGCCTTTCACACCCTCGCCACTCCCAGTGACACATCTGCTAGTATCACATTGCCAGGCAATACTTCTGCTGGGAGCAGTTCGGCTGAGACCACCGTCCGTCTCCTGTACATCACGCGCAATGCATCGCTCACACGTGGCCGCCGGGTGATGAATGCTGAAAGCTCCCGTGCTCTGCTCCAGCTCTTTCACCGGCTCAAGTTTCAGGTATGTGCCCTCATTGCCTTCGAATCCGTCTTATATGAGCCTCTTGCTCAACCTTTTTATGGCACTCCGTGTAGCGTCACCCTCTCCTGTCTACCCATTCCTCCTGATTCCTGCTCCCTCAACGTCTATTTCCCATTTCCCCCCAACCCTCCACCCCCTGTTCTTGCCCACTGACCAGGTGGCTCAAGTGGAGTTCACGCCGCTCCCCTTCACCCACCAGCTGGCCCTTGTGCAATCAGCAGACATCATCGTGTCCCTGCACGGCGCAGGCCTCACCAACCCCGCCTCGTTCGCCCGCTCAGACTCCGTTCTCCTGGAAATCTCCCCGTATGGAGTGTTCTACAATCTCTACTATTTCATGGCAGTGAATGCCGGGGTGACCTACATGCTGCACCAGTGCGCAGCTGGGCCTGCTCCCTTGCCTCCTAGGGATGCGGAATTTCGAGGCGTCGGCCCATTTGCCTGCGATCATGACCCTGCATGCAAGCAGTACCGGACTCATGACCGGCCGGTGAATCTGGGAAAGCAAGACATTGAGGAGTTGGGAAATCTTCTGGCAGTGGCTCAAAAATTGGTGCTGGATGTGAGGAGGAAGGGGAAGCGAGAGGGAGGGAGAAGGCTGCGGCGGATGTATGGGAAGCTGTGTGTGTCAAGGAAGCGGAATAAGGATTGTAGGATGAATTTATTGAGATCCCCAATTGCTGATCCAACTTATGAATGTGTTGTGTCAATGGAATGTCCTTACGTTTCCGAGTGAAATTATATTTCTGGATCCCAATCAAAGCATACTGGTGGGAATACAGCAGGGTAATTTGAGCATGGAAGCTTTGACGATGTCATTAATCAGTGGCGTTACAAGTGTGGTCACATTGCATGCGATATGTACAGATAAATAGAGCAGAACTTCAGAACTGACATGGAAGGAAGGGAACCTGCAACAACCTGCACACATATCAACAGGAGAAGGCGGTTCAGTGATCGTTCGCGATGACTAGAAGGGACAACGTAACGTCGGGTATGGCTGGGGAGGGATCAGTTACTGGCTTGGTGGCTCGAGAGAGCCGATTAAGCATAGTGGAATCAGCTTCGATCATAGGGGAAAATATCCTCACTTCCCTCCACCAACAAGCTCGCAAGAGCAACAGGAACACATACGAAATAACAGAGATGGTAGGAAGACGAGGCAGAGGCTCGTAAGCGAACAGTGACAAATAAAAGCGTAACGGTCTCATCGGATAAATCCCTTGAGGGTCCACATAAGCAGGCAGCAAGCCTTGCATTCGGACTCTTCCTATCATACAAGAATTTCGTCATCTGAGGCACGAGTCCGAAATAAAGAGAATGAAATGAAGCTTAAAGAGATTCGTCGCTGCATCAGGGTTAAAAAGCTCTTTGAGTTATCTCAACAGTATAATTCTGCGTTGGATATGTTCAGACGCATCATGTGCAGCGGCGACACAAAAGAGTATCGACTCCGTCAGAACTACGAACAGGGGGAAGAGAGTGAGATAACTGAGAATTGCGAGTAAGAGGAGCGCGTGATGGAACGGGATCAGGTACTGGCTTGGTGGCCCTTTGAAGGGCCATAGTAGCACAGTTGAATCAGCTTCGATCATGGGGGAAAATGTCATCAATTCCCGTTCCCAACAGCCACCACAAACCCCACTCAGGGAAGGTGCAGAAATACGTCATGGCAGACTTCAGTCCGTCAGTGACTTACCTCACGAATCGCAGCGCGGACGATCAATCCACCCCGCATGCTACGCGGAGAGCTTCACCTGGCTGTCCACAATGCATGTGAAGTCCGATACCAACCTTGCAAACGGGTAGGCATCCTCCTGGTCTACATCGTCCCGATCTCAGAAGTACGATACCTACTCGTAATGACTGAAGTGCCTAAGTTAAGGCACTGACACCACTATATACCAGGCTTGGGTGGGGGGAGGAGAGGGGCGAGAGAGGGGCGAGGGAGAGATGGCAGAGGGAAAATTACTGCCGCGGACTGTCCGCAAATCTTTTCATACTTTCGTGGACAGCCCCTACTTTCATGGACACCACATCAACCTTTCGCTTCTCCCGTGGACTCCGTCCCTACTTTCATGGACATCCGCCTTACTTCCATTGACAAGGTCGAAATCGCAGGAAATAGGCGAAAACTCAACTGTACAAAAAATGACGGGCGCTGAAAAAAAAAAACAGCGGCTTAGCGTGCGTCGCAAAGAGTCGCGCACTACAGTGCCCCAAACCTAATCCAAAACAGAATCAGAATCATATTTCAAAGAAGCATTTTTATTTAGAGCCTTGTTAAAAAACATAATATATTTAGGAAGTTATGCAGGGAAATTTTCCAAAAACATTTATCATGAGAACGAAACCTTTCCTTTTGCGAATATGATGTAAACAACAACAGCAGCACTAGTCTGAACTGGTAGACAAATTTACAGAGCGTACCGATTTTTCCTTCTGAAGTACAGTTACGTAGAAACGCGTGGGTACTGCCTGCCGAATCACACATCACAGGACTTTTTGTGCCAAACGCACCAAACGAAAACCTGGCGTGAAAGTCATGTTCCCAATTTCGGGGAGACTCTGTTTCGGATTAGGTTTGGGGCACTGTAGTGCGCGACTCTTTGCGACGCATGCTGAGCTGCTGTTTTTTTTTCAGCGCCCGTCATGTTTTGTACAGTTGAGTTTTCGCCTATTTCCTGCGATTTTGACCTTGTCCATGGAAGTAAGGCGGATGTCCATGAAAGTAGGGACGGAGTCCACGGGAGAAGCGAAATGTTGATGTGGTGTCCATGAAAGTAGGGGTTGTCCACGAAAGTATGAAAAGATTTGCGGACAGTCCGCGGCAGTAATTTTCCCGATGGCAGAAGCACAGAAATGACTGATTTGTGGCGGTAGTTTTGGGCTTTGCCAAAGCGCCCATCCGCTTTTGCAGCAACCCATAGTTTGTGGAATTGTTGTACATACGCAGAAACATTTGGAACTTCAACCAAATCCTTATCCTCATCAGAGTTGAGTGAGCTTTCTAGGAGGCTAATTTGGGATTGCCCCTGGTTGAGGCGCGGCGTGGTTACCGGACAAACTTTCAGCGAAAATATCAATTTGCGAACGGTCGTCTGGTTCGGTTCCTGAGTCGTGAGCCGTAACCAGCCCTCTGTCTCGTCAGCTTCAGAGGCAGAGACCAAGGCAAGGGATTAATGGCATACAAGTAGAACTACTACGATCTCTATTTTCCACTGTCCGCTGGTTTCTTCCTCTCACGCCTTTCACCTGCCTGACTCTGAGTCGATCAATCCACATGCAGTCCAAGGACGATTCCCTGCCGTCGGATCTCCTCCTGCCGTCATCGCTAACATTCAAGCGTGTGCAGCTGGAGGAGAAGTATCCGCGCGGGTCGCAGGTGCGCGGCGGGCGGCACTGGAAGCACCTGAAGCAGATTCTGCAGCCGCACAACCTGCACGACCTACCTCCTGATGAAGCCAACTGTGAGTGACCTAGAATGATTGCATCACAACCCCGGGATTGCCGAGTTTGGATACAGACGTCGCAACGCACTGGAAGCAATGAAGGCACCTGAAGCAGATCCTACAGCCGCACAACCTGCTCGACCTGCCGCCCGACGAGGCCAACTGTGAGTGGCCCATAATAATCGCATCGCAGCCTTGGGATTGTCGCGCTCCCGCTCCTATGGTGGCCTTTCCGAAGGACTCTTCCCACATAATCGTCAGGGCCTATGAAAAAATGTTCCGCCGCACCCGCAAACCTCCCACCCCTTCCTCCCCCCTCCCCCAAACTCCCGCACGCGCGCAGACGTGACGATCGAGGCCCCTCCCTCCATGTACCCCGCTAAGAAGTTCTGCGATATAACGGGGCTGGAGGCGCCGTACACGGACCCGCACACCAAGCTGCGCTACGCCAACCCGTCCGTCTTCGCCATCGCGCGCTCGCTCCCGCACCCGCACGCACAGGCGTTCCTCGCGCTCAGAGGCGCGCAGACCATCGTCAAGTGACTGCCTCGCCTTAGATTTCTGCATTCTGGCAGTTCCACAGCCTGCCGTCAGCTTCCGCCGTTAGTCTGAGTCATTCACCGTCACGCACACCGTCAGCCGCCGTCACTCAAACAGCTGGCAGCTACAGTCTCGATCCTCCCTTCCCATGGCGCTGTCGTTGCAGCACCACCGTCCCTTGACGTCGCCGCTAGAGACACCACCGCCGATACAAGCACTGTCACACTTTGCACGGCGCTTCTCTCTGTCCTCGACACTGTACGGAACAGAAGTCCAGCACTCTCTATCACCAAGCAGGTTCAGCCCAGCACGCCACTCGCCCCGCAGTCCTTCCGTAGAGCAGGCCTCCCGCGGGTGTGCGTTGCTTGGCGCTCCTCTGCTCCTAGACAGGCAGACTCGTGGGCCCAATCCTCGCCGACAGCTGTGCCACACCCCACGGCCTTACTGCCGCTCCACTGCTGCGCGCCGCCTTGCAAGGAGCAGCTTGGTTGCTCGGGCTGCTGCTGCCGCAAGTAGAGAAGGGGAGGGCGCAGGTGGTGTGATTCTAGAGAATGTGACAGATTCGGGTGTGGAAGGGGAGGAGGTTGGGGGAAGAAGGATGGGGATGGGTTCTGACAAGGGCAGGGTTGGGAGTGGAGGGGGGTTGGGGATGGGGTCTGACCTTGCCAGGACGGGGAGAGAAGGGAAGGAGGGTGAGGGGAGAAGGGTGGGGATGGAGGTTGACGATGCGCGGATTGTATGGGAGCTGGAGCAAGAGACCAAAGAGCTGCTGGAGTGGCCAATCGTGTGCCGCCAGGTGGCACGGTTCGCAGACACTGTAATGGGGTACAGGATAGCAGAGGAGGGGGGGTTGGTGGTGGGGCGGACGTGGGAGGAGAGCCAGCGGCTGCTGCAGCAGACGGGAGCGGCGCTGCTGCTGCCGCGCCGGCTGGACTTCAATGGCGCGGTGGACGTGGGGGGTATACTGGCTCGCCTTGAACGGGCTGCTACTGCTGGTGCTGGTGCTGGTGCCGGTGCTGATAGCGCTGTTGTTGCTGCAGGTGGCGGTGATGGGGGTTCAGAGGCAGCGAGTGACAGCGATTCTGATGCGGATGCCAGTGATGGCGATGGTGAATCCGCTAATGCAGGTGGGAGCAGTGCCAGTGCTGCAACTGCAGGCACCCCACTGCTGACCATCACCCCCTCGGAGCTCCTGTCTCTGGCGTCTCTCCTGCAGTCAGGCGCGGATCTAGGTGCGTGCATCGGCCTGTCTCCTGACAAAACTGGTACTCTCTACCCCTCCTCCTCCCACCCAGAGCAAGGCACGGTTCCAACATCCAATACCCTCCCCCGCACCTCCCCATCCCCCTCATCCCCCCCTTCCTCCCCCTCATCCTCCTCGTCCTCAGTTCCCTCCCCCTCCCCCTCTCCCCTCGCCCCTCTCACCTCCCTCCTTTCCTCTGCCTCCACGTGTCCCTCTCTCCTCCTCCGCATCCGCACCGCCATCAACCCGCGCCTCAAGTCCCTTGCTGACTCAGCAAGCGCTGAGCTGGCAGCCATCCGCGCCGCCAGGCGGGACAACCGGCGCCAGCTGGACGAATCACTGCAGAGAGCAGCACGGCGTGTGGTGGCAGGGGGAGGGATGGATGAGGCTCAGGTGAGTAGGAGGAGAGGGAGAGGGTGCGTGGCGGTGAGAGCTGGGAAGAAAAGTAGCGTGTTACCAGGGGGTGTTACATTAGACGTTAGTAACACCGGAGCTACACTGTTTGTTGAGCCTGCAGAGGTTATCGAGTTGAACAATAGAGAGGCGGAACTGAGTGGGGAGGAGGCGGAGGAGGAGAGGAGGGTGCTGAGGGAAATGGCGCAGCAGGTGGCGGATTGTGCGCCGTTGATTCGAGATCTGACCGACAGGATTGTTGCGCTGGACCTGGCATGTGCCCGTGCCAGGCATGCCCTATGGATGGGCGCTTCCCCCCCTGTCCTCCTGCCGCCCACACACCCTCTCCCCGTTGAGGATATCCTTTTAGGGATAAATACCCTCAGGGGCAACAGTACAGGGGTAATTACCCTTGGGAATATCATTCCAGGGGGTGCTGCTGATGGGGAATCGGCTCCAGGGAGAGGAGCTTATAGAGGAGCGCACACTGTTGAGATCCGGGGTATCCAGCACCCAGTGCTGCTGGAGATGCACCTGGATGCCCTGGCAGCGACAGAGAGCAGGAAGAGTGGGTCTGTAGGTACAGCAGGCGTTAAGGCAGCAGCAGGAGCAGCAGGAGCAGCAGGAGCAGCAGGAGCAAGAGGCGAGGATGCAGCAGCACTGGCAGCCCCGCCTGTGCCCATAGACCTGCTCGTCCCAGCTGGCATCCGCGTGGTGGTCATCTCAGGCCCCAATGCGGGCGGCAAGACTGCCGCCCTCAAGACTCTTGGGATTGCCACGCTCATGGCTAAAGCCGGGCTCTTTCTGCCCCTGACAGGGGAGCAGGGCGGGGAGGGAGGAATGGATGGGATGCAGGGAAGAGGAGCAGAGGGGGGGAGGGAGGAGGGGGCAGAGGAAGAACGGGCACACCAGAGAGGAGGGAGCAGGGGGAAGGGATCAATGGGTGCGAGCGGAGAGAGCGGTGCGAATGGGTGTGTGGCGGTGCTACCGTGGTTTGATCGGGTGGTGGCTGACATCGGGGACGAGCAGTCGCTGGAGCAGAGCTTGTCTACCTTCAGCGCCCACATGCGCCGCGTCTCCCACATCCTCCTCGCTGCTTCCCCGCCCTCCTCCGCTTCTGACACTTTCCCCTCTTCTTCCTCTTCATCCCCCCCCCCCTCTTTATTGTCTTCCTCCTCCTCCTCCTCCTCCTCCTCCTCCTCCTCCTCCTCCTCCTCCTCCTCCTCCTCCTCCTCCTCCTCCTCCTCCTCCTCCTCCTCCTCCTCCTCCTCCTCCTCCTCCTCCTCCTCCTCCTCCTCCTCCTCCTCCTCCTCCTCCTCCTCCTCCTCTTCCTCCTCAGAGTCTTCCACCTCTTCTGCCTCCTCTTCCTCATCTTCCTCTCTCGTGCTCCTAGACGAGGTGGGCAGTGGCACGGACCCCTCTGAGGGTGCTGCGCTCGCTGCTGCCCTCTTGAAGCACCTGGCAGGCTGTGAAGGGCTCACACTCACCACCACGCACTACGCCGACCTTAAGAAGCTCAAGGTATGAATCTCAACCCTCTCACCTTCCTCCTCCGCCTCATCTTCCTCTCTCGTGCTCCTAGACGAGGTGGGTAGTGGCACGGACCTCCAGAGGGTGCTGCGCGTGCGGCTGCTATTCGGAAGCTCTGGCTGGGTGTGATGGGCTCGATCTGGCCACCACTCACTATGCTGACCTCAAGAAATTTAAGGTAAAGAGAACAACTCTGACTTGCCCCTGCTTGTCCCTAGATCCTCATGCCCTTTAATGCGACCTGGGTTTTTTTTTTTTTTTTTTTTTTTGGTTTCTTGCTTTGCGCAATTGCTGGGAGTGATGGTTACTGCTTCTCATGTTGTCCTCCCTTTCGTCCTCCCCTCCCCATCCTATCAGTCCGCTGATCCACGGTTTGAGAACGCCAGTGTGGCGTTCGACCGAGTCTCCCTGCGCCCATCCTTCAACATCCTCTGGGGTCGCCCCGGCACCTCCCATGCCCTCTCCCTCGCTGCCTCCCGCGGCCTGCCCCCCTCCCTCGTCGCCAGAGCCGCCAGGCTGGCTCGTGAGGCAAGTATGGAGGAGGAGCGGGAGGAAAGAGGGGAGGGAGGGGAGGGAGGGGAGAGAGAGCAAGGGGGAGAGAGTGAGGAGGAGGAGTATGCTGCCATGGGAGGGGGGAGGGGAGCGGGTGAGGAGGTGGGAATACTGGCGTCCCTGCGGCAGCAATGGCAGCAGAATGTGGAGGCTGCAAGAGAGGCAGCAGAGGCCAGGCAAGCCGCAGAGAGGCTTCTCAACGATCTCCGAGCCCACCATACCACCAAGGACCAGAAAGACAGGCAGAAAGACCAGTCTTTGGCGTTTCGAGAATTGCAGTGGAAGCGGCGGCACCAGAGAGATATACAGGAGGAGGTGTTAGCAGTGAGAGAGGAGATCTCTCGAGTTGTTGCCGCTTTCCAGGAGGTTTCCCTTGCTGGTGTGCCGGAGCGAACAGCGACGGACCGGGCCTGTGCTGACGTGGCACAAGCGGCAGCTCTGAGCGCGCTCTTTCCCGAACCTGATTCTGCCGCAGGCTCGGGTGCTCTGGCTGGTGGTTCAGCAGGAGGTTCGGCAGATCTAGGAGGGGCCGATTGGGTCCCTGCTCTGGGGGAGGCTGTGTATGTGAGGAGGTTCGGCAGCAGTATGCGTGGCACGGTGGTGGCAATGGGTGGTGGTCCGGGAGAAGGCTCGGGAGAAGGTGGTTCAGGTTTGGCGACAGCGGCTCGGTTAGTGACTGTCCAGCTAGGGAATCTGAGACTGCAGGTGCAGAGAGGAGACCTGCTTCCTGCGGATGCTGATAATAATGATGGTGGTGATGGTGGGTCACAGACCAGGGCGGATGGAGAGCCAGCAGGGAGGAGAGGGGTCCCAGGAGGAATGTTTGGTGCCTGTTGGGAGCAAGATGATGGCAACATCGATGGTATCAGTAACACGAATGGTAACAGCGCCTCGAAGCGAGGGGGTCGATTCCCATCCCCATCTTCCTTCTCCTCCTCTTCCTCGTCTTCTTCTCTGCCAGCAGTGAGGGAAGCAGCGGTGCAGACAGCACGCAACACAGTGGACGTGAGAGGCCGGAGTGTGGAGGATGCGCTAGCGGAGGTGGACTTGGCAGTGCAGTCGAGGCCGCCCGGTGCCGTGCTGTTCATTGTGCACGGGCTCGGGACCGGCGTGCTCCGGGCAGCTGTCCTGAAATATCTCTCGGGCAGCCCGCTGGTTTCGCGGCACGAGCCGGAGAGTAGGCTGAATATCGGGTGTACTATCGCCTATATCGGCTGATAGGGTTACATTGTCAAAGCTTTTGTACAATGCTGGGGGTGATAGCAAGAGTATCTGTGCAATTAACTACTGTATGGAGCTCTTGGTCTGGAGCTATGGACATGGAGAGGCAGAGATGCCAGCACAAACTGGAATAGATAGTGGAAGCATACATACAGGAGGTGCAGTCACGTCCAGGCATCCTCATACGGTAAAAGCTGTAGAATTGCGGCAATGGCTTCAACACCTTCCCATAAACCGGCTGGAGACTAGATGCAGGTTCTTCACATGGCCAGGGAAGGAGGTCATCCCTGTAACATGTGACCTACCGGCACTTGTCATTGCCTGGCTGAAACCCCCGTGCCCATCCACCACATCCCGATTCCAGACTAATGACCCACTACACACCACCAACCGTAGCATCAACCGCACAACTAGCAGCAAGGAATGCACCGCACAGCACCCATGCCTAAAGCACAAGAGCAGCAAGCACTCCACTCCACTCCTCCCCATTTAGCGCGAGAGCGGCTGCACCACGAGGGGGGATCGCACGCTGTGCCCCTGGTTATCCGCCCACACTATATACCCGTACTTGAAGTCGTTGCTGGGTGTATCCACGGTGAACGTCATCGTGTAACTCTCTTTCTGCCCGGCACCAACCGTGAGGCTCTTAGGCGCCACAGTCACCTTCACCCCCGCCGGCGCCTTCCCAGATACGCTGTATGTGGACTGGGACCCTCCCACGTTGGTGACGGTGCGAGTCACCTGAATGGAGCCCTGCAGGCGCGGCAGAGTGATGGTGGGGAGGTTCAGATTGCGCACCGCCAGAGGGGAGAGCGCCACCCCCGGGAACTCCCTCTTCGCCCGGGTCAGGTCTTGCCCGGCCAGGAAATTCTGGTAGTCTTTGTCGCGGGCGTCGTAGGTGAGGCCGGGGTCCAGCATGGCCGGGGGAAACACATGGCCTGCCCCCATCTCCCAGGGGGTCGCCTCCCCGCCGCTGGAGCTCTTGATGGGGCTGCTGGCAGTGTCAGTCACCCGCGCCGTTGTCATCATTGCTGACATCACCTGCGCGGGGCTCCAGTTGGGGTATTTCTGGATGATTAGAGCAGCTAGCCCTGCCAAATGCGGGGTGGCCATGGAGGTACCCGACAGGCGGGCAAGGGCCCCGGTCTCGCCGATTTTCTTCCCGGGGGCGGCGGCTAGGAGATCCACGCCCGGGCCGATGATGTCAGGCTTGAGGATGGCATTGCCAGGCTGGGGGGCCTGCGCCGTGGCCGAGGGCGGCAGGAGGGGGCCGCGGGACGAGAAGTCGGCAACCACAGGGGCGGAGGAGGAGGAGGTGGCGAAGGTGATGCCGCCGTCGGCAGTGAACGTGAGGCTGCTGCCGTCACCAGAGCTGAAGTTGCCGCCAGGCATGGCGCTGCCATCGCCAGGCAGAGTACCGTTGTTCCCTGTGCTGTTGCCACTGCCAGTGCCGTTGCAGCTGACAGTGCTGTTGGTGCTGGCAGCACCGGCAATGGCGTTGAGGGGAAGCGACTGAGTGCTGGCTGCTGCTGCTGCCGAAGCCAGAGACGCTCCTCGAGCGATGGTGCTGGCGCCCACAGTCAGGAAGAAGGGGGCGAAATTCGCCACTGTGCGGTAAGCAGCCCCCTGCGAGCGGCCAGGGGCGCCGGCATTACCAGCAGCAAAGGCAACGAACACCCCGGCAGCGTTGGCCCTCATGAAAGCCAGGTCGTTGAAATAGTTGTCGTTGGGATCCAAGCCCCCCAGGGACAGCGACAGCACGTCCACGCCGTCTGCCACGCCCTGATTGACGGCTGCGATGATGTCTGACTCGTCCGCGTACATGTTCCCGCTGCTGCGGTCTGTCCAGAACACCTTGTACGCCGCGATCCGCGCTGCCGGCGCCATGCCGCTCACCTGCCCGCCGCCCTGCAGCCCCACCGGGTTCCCCGCCGCCGCGCCCGCGCACCACGTGCCATGCCCGTCCGCGTCTCGCGGCGTGAGCCAATCGTTGGTCAGCGTGGGCTTGCCACTGGCCCGCTGAAACCCGCCGTAGAACGCCTTGGCGCCGATCAGCTTGTTGTTGCACCGGAACGTGCTTGACTGCTCGCATTTACCCTTCCACCCTGAGGGGAGGTTCGAACTAAACCCCTTGTCGGAGAAGGAGGGGTGTTCGGGCCAGATGCCAGTGTCGATGACTCCCACCACCGTGCCGTCGCCCGCCTTGCTCTGTCCGCCCACGGCGGGCCACACCTTCCCGGGGAGCCCCAGGAACTTGGGCGAGTCGCTGGTTTGCCGCTGGAACACACGGCTGCGGCGCACGGACGCCACGGCGGGGTTGCGCTGCAGCCGCCACGCCTGGCGCGCGGTGAGGCGCGCGGCGAAGCCGTTGGACGTGTGCTTGTAGCTGTACAGCAGGTCGCCGTCGCCCACGCCCGCCTCAGATGCCACCTGCGCCTGCTGCCGCTGCAGCAGCGACGCGAACGCTGCCACCTGGGGGCGGTCCATGCTCAGACGCAGCCGGTGACGCGGGCAGCCACCGCTGCCGCTTCCGCCGCCGCGTGCGCTGGCAGCCGCAGAGCCTTGAGGCGCCGCATCTGCTGGCGCTGGCGCTGGCGCAGTTGCGTTGGGGAACGGATGGTCGCCGTTGGTGTCGTCCAAGTCGACGGACTCGGGCTCTGAATCGGATTCGCCACCTTCTGCGGCGGAATCGTCGGCGCTGAGAAGCATCTCTGGCACGCGGTCGTCATCGTTCTCCTCCTCGTCGCTGCCGTCGTCCCACGTGGCAGTGGCGGGGTACCCCGCGATTCCGCCGCGGTACTCCGAGAGGGGAGGCGCCGTGCTCAGGCGCACGATGTACACGGCGGAACCGGCGGCGTCCGCCGCCTGGGATTTACCCTCGCTGCCTCTAGCAGGCGCCGCAAAATTCCAGGAATGGTCACCATTGCGCCACTGGCGTGGTGCGCCATGGGATGGCTGCGCTGCTAGCAGAAGCGCGCCGAGGATCAGCAGCACCGCGATTGTGGGGCCGTGCCTCATGGTGCGACTCAACTGATCTCGACTGGGTATTGGTCGCAGTACCTTCTATTAGTAGCGGCTTGTTGCAGTCTTAACAAAATGCCCTGCCAAATAAAAAATAATCGCCGTTGTCTCGAGGTGGATCCAAGTCGTGGTGAATCGCCGTTGCTGGTTTGTGAGCTGAGCTGATGTTTAGGCAATGAGCGTGTTCCTGCGTTATGTACAACCCACTTCCAGATGTGCTGCCCCACATTTGGAAGGTGGCGTGGCATGTGTCGCACCACGATGGACCTGCCGGGATGCTCAGAAATGCGGCGCGGGTCCGAGGGGCAACAGGTTGAGGGGGGCGTACACGGGACGGGACGCGGTGGAGTGAGGGCTTTTACGGACTAGTCCATTGGTGGCGAATTCCGAATGCACACTGGTAACTACGAAGCCAAAACCTTCCGTCCGCCACGGAAAGCGAAAGTCACGGAAGTCAACCGTCGGCCCACAACCTTGCTGGCGAAAATCTCCAGGCTCGAACGAAACTCGCGATTAAGCTGGTTACTGATTGATTATATGTATCCTAGACCAAACCTATCTAATTACATTATAACAAACCGTAACAAAGACAGCTATGCTTCACACACAAACCATGCAAAGCTATCCAGCATTAGCGCGTTATTACAGAAAATAACAAAATTTGGTTATATGAGCTGGCCAAACGACAGCAACGCATCACGAAACAATGTAGCGAACTCGTCAGCTGCTCCTGCTGCCCCCTTCACTTTGCCACTTGCTGTGCCGGCGCTCGTGTTCACCTGGAGCTCCACTAAAAACATGCCACCTGGTGCAGCGTCTGCCTTTTGCGCGTAAAAGAAGAAACGGAAAGCAGGCCGTTGGCCACCTGATGCCATGCACTGGATGTTCTTATGCACCATGTGCCTTAACAGGGGGGCTGGCGCTGTCAGTGCAGTGATGAACGTTTCAGGCAGGTTCTCTTCCTGCACATGGGCATGGAATGAAGGGGGGAAGAGTTGGGGGGCAGGAATAAGGAGCGGGAGGGAGAATTACCCACAACAAAGTCGGTAAGGCGACAGTTTAAGCAAGAAACGAGCCCAGTTGCACGCACAGAGAAGTGTGCAGGGAGGAGATTCGTGCGCCAATCGAGCCATACAAGCCACTCAGCATCGGTGCTACTACTCACTGGAGGACAGGACAGAGGAAAAGGGGAGGAGAAAGGAACAAGTGGGGGGACTGATGGGGAGGAGGTCTCACCAGAGTGGCGGCAACTGGCAGCTGGCTCCATGTGCGCTGGAAGCTCGGTGCATCCAAAGTAGCCTTGGCGCTCAGCACCAGTGATGGGCGCACAGTGGCATGGCCCCCTGACAGCATGTCCTCCAATCCCACTCCGCCACCTATCCCTGGGGTTGGACCTGCAAGGCCGAGCAGGCTGTCTAGAGAGCCAAACCCGCCTCCTCCGGCAGTTAATGCAGGGGCTGGAGCAGCAGCAGCTGCAGCACTGGCTGCTGCTGCTGGCACGGCTGCTGCTGTTGCTGCAGTGCTTGGAGTCCCTGACTGGCTGGGTTGGGTGCTGGCTAGCTCCGCAAAGGGGTCCGAAGGAGCAGCAGCAGCAGAAGTGCTGGGTGCTGCTGCAGCAGGAGGTGGGGTAGCCGCAGCAGCAGCAGGATTTGCCGGGCCATCGGATAGCAGGTCGAACGGCAGCAGAGGAGCCTCTGCTGCTGCACCAGCAGCAGCAGCACTGTGACCATTGGGCACAGCAGCGCTGGAAACGAGAGGTGACGAGCCATGCGTGTCTGCATGCTCCCGATCAGAGGCATTGAGGAGAGATGAGGCGGATTCGGGGTGTGAGGCGCGGGCAGAGGGAGCAGCGGCAGAGGCAGAAGCGGTGGCCGCAGCTGCAGCAGCAGCAGCGGAAGCTACGGAGGTGTATTCGGCGTCCAGCAGGCTGCGCTGGTCCTTGTCCAGAAACAGGTATGCCGGCTGGATGGTGGGTGGTTGGGGGGTGCCAGGGGTGTGGCAAGGGGAAAGGATGTGGGTGGGCACAGAGGGAGAACGGAGTACAGCTATCGAGGTAGTGAAGGCACGAATGTGGATTCAGCGTCGAGTGGAGCTGGTCCTTGTCTAGAAACAGGTGTGCTGGCTGAATGGGGTGTTTTGATGTGACCATGTGAAGGAGATAGCAGCACTCCATATGTGCTGGATGACAGACGGAACCCATCGAGTTTCAAGAGTGGCCCGCTTCATCTCCTTTGCAGGGCGGAGTCACCTTGCGGTAGACGACTGAGAGCGCGTTGAACTCGTTGAAGATGCGGTCGCGGGTCTCACTTCCCTGGGAGTCCACAACGACACATGATGCACCCCGTCCCATCCAATAACACCACACCGTGCACACCCTAAGGGAGGGCCAGCAGCACGCACTCACCTTGCGGTAGACGACGGAGAGCGAGTTGAACTCGTCGAAGATGCGGTCGCGCGTCTCACTCCCCTGGGAGTCCACAAAAACCGACACAGGCTGCTTCTCTGGGTTGATCACTCGCTCCGCCACTCCCGCCCCCGCACGCAGCAGCCGGTAGTACAGCAGCGCGCGGTCATGCACATCCTGGATTTTGGAAGGGAAAAACAACCAGGAGGTGGCATTTATGAGGCAAACACACACCCACGTCCATGAACAGCAGATGGTAGTGCAGCAGCGCTCGGTCGTGCACGTCCTGCATGGTGTTCATGCAGATTGGGCAGCAAGGGCAGAAGGGGAGGTGCACAGACTGGCTGCTCCTCTGGGTTGATCACCAGCTCTGCTCCTCATCTACCCATGCCAGATGAGGCGGTGAAGAAACAGAATAGCATGCTGGATCAAGTGTGAGAACAGCTCGCGTGCCAGCTGCAACTTCGCCATCCCATGCGGCAGCACAGCTCCCACCATCTCCCCTGCTGTGCCTGCACTCATCCTACCCGCCCTAAACCCTGCCCCGTCTGCTATAACCCTATCCCACGAGCCCCAACCCTATTCCACATGCCCCAACCGTCTCCCACCTGCTGCGACTCCGCCAGCCCATGTGCGAGCACGGCTCCCAACATCTTCTGGCACTCGGGAGGGCGCTTGAAGAACAGCTTCGCCACTGCTGACAGCAGTTCCAGACGCACCTGGGAGCGTGGTTGCATTTTGAGGGTAGAATAAGGGGGGAGGGGGAGGGGGTAAAGGTGAGAGGTAAAGGGCAGGTGGATATAGTGAGGCACTTGAAGAACAGCTTCGCACAGCTGACAGCAGCTCCAGGCGCACCTGAGGGGGTGAGTGAGGGTGAGGGGGAGAGACGGGGGAAGGTGGGTGGAGAACGAAGAGAGGAAGTGTGGCTGACTATCAGGGCGCTTGAAGAACAGCTTCGCCACGGCTGACAGCAGCTCCAGACGCACCTGAAAGCGTGGAGTGTGGGAGAGGAGAGGAGGTGTGGGGTGGTTGAGGGGGGAGTAAAATCCTTGAGAGCAAGAATGCTGCTGTGTTCTTGGAGACGGCTTTGAATTCAGCAGCATTCCTGTTCCAGATCATACCTCAGAAGACGAATGCTCGATGCAACTCAGCTTTATGGTCCATCCTTACATGCTGTTTCGGGAGGCATTCCAATGTTATTTCTTTATCCTTACACCATGCCCAAGCCTCACGCCCCTCTCACCTCAGCACTGGGCTCCTCCTCCCACGAGTTGACAAAGCCCTCCAGCGAATACGGAGCGTCCGCCATGTGCTGGCCGTACTCCCCCAGCATCCACACCAGCGCCGCCTTGGCACGTGGGTCCGTCACGGAGCGAGAGCTCACTGACCCCACCACGGCAATGCAGTCCTGCGACCACTGCGGGTACTTGCGCAGCAGGTCACGCACCAAAACCTGGAAGAAATTAGGGCGTTGGGGGGGAGGGAGGTAGAGAATGAGGTTCAGGGTATGCCAGCTTGGCACGTGGGTCCGTCACGGAGCGAGAGCTCACTCATCCTGCTACTGCCATGCAGTCCTGCGACCACTGCGGGTACTTGCGTAACAGGTCACCCACCAGGACCTGTTGTGTGTGTGTAGGATTGGGCGGGGGGCCGCCGGGAGCGGGGGGCGGGGGGAGGGGGGAAGGGGAGGTTGGGATGAGGGAGGAGAGGAGGGGGCAAGTGTTGCCTTGGCACGGGGGTCGGTCATAGAGCAAGAGCTCACAGACCTCAACTCGGCTATGCAGTGCTGCGACCACTGGAGGTACTTGCGCAGATGGTCACGGACTAGGACGACCTGACCACCCACGTACACCCCTACTGCCTGCCGACCCAGCCATACCCCCACTTCCACCCACCAGTGCCTCAACCACCCAGCTGGCTGCCGCTCTTCAAGCCCACCAGCATCTCAGCCGTGACACAATCGGTGTCCATCTCCAGGAATTGTGGTCCACGATGCTCCGATGTGCCATCTCATGCCCTTTTTGCGAGCAAACGCTCAGCCTATCTCCGTACACCTAGACCTATGCCAGCACCACTATCACCCACCAGCGTCTCAGCCGTGACGTAGTCGGTGTCCATCTCGAGGAACTGCAGCAGGCGGTCCACGATGCCGTTCACATCGTAGCTCTGCAGGGCGATCTGCCCCACCGCCCGTATGGCCTCCCTAGCGATTGTCACATCCACGTCCGCTGCGTACTCTGTCAGCTCCGTTACTACGTAGAGCAGGGAGGGAGGGGGAGGGTGGGGGGGTGGGGGGACGGGAGGGTAAGGCGTGTGATGTGGGGCCTCACAGCAATGCCGTTCACGTCGTAGCTCGGCAGCGCGATCTGCCCCACCGCCCGTATGGCATTCCTAGCGATTTAAAGTCACATCCACGTCCGCCGCACACTCTGTCGCCTCCGTTAATGCACAGGACAGGGGAGGGAGGGAAGGGGAGTGGGGTGAGAGGACAGAGAGAGGGGGGGGGGGAGCAATTGTCACTTCCACGTCTGCTGCATACTCTTTCAGCTCCGTTACTGCACGGGTGGGGGGCGAAAACCAGGTGTATTTTGAGTTGACGCAAGATATTTTGAGGCGTATTTTGAGTCGACTCTAAATACACTCTTTCAGCTCCGTTAGTGCACGGGTGGGGGGGCAAGAGAAGGCAGGCGAAGGAAGGGGAAGACGAGTCCGAAGCGTCTCACAGCAGAGTCATTCTCCCATTTCCCTCACAACTGCTGCTCTCCCAGTCTGCGCCTGACCAGTTCTGATAGTACCCTCCCTGAAAAGCAACCTCATCCTCCCTTCAACACGTCTACCACCTCCTACATGGGTCTCATAGATCCCCCACCCCAACCCCCACCAACCCCACCTCCCTAATCGCCCGTTTCCCCCCCCCCCCCCTTCTCTCCCTTACCAATTTCGTAGGTGTTGCTGTCGTTGGCGATGGCTGTCAGCATCTGCAGCTTGAGTCGCTTCACATATGGTGGGTCCCGCACCTTGCAGTACAGGTGCTTGTAGTCGCCCACAAACACAGAGGGATTGCGTTGGACCAGCAGGGAGAGGTGGCAGAGAACGGCATACGACTGCTCTGTGCTGCACGTTCCCACTAGGGTCAGCAGTGGGGTCTTGATCCGTTCGTACACCTGGTAGCGAGGTGGTTTATAAGGGGGACAGAGGAAGGGCAAGGAAGGTGCTTGTAGTCGCCAACGAAGACAGAGGGGCTGCGCTGGACCAGCAGGGAGAGGTGGCAGAGCACCGCGTACGACTGCACCATGCTGCACGTGCCCACTAGCGTGAGAAGAGGGGTCTTGATGCGTTCGTATGCCTGGAAACGAGGTGGTGCATGTGGGGGACATTTTTGAGGCGCCTCAAAAATACATGCGTGAGGAGTCTATTTTTGAGGCGCCTCAAAAATACATGCGTGAATTGTCTATTTTGAGGCGCCTCAAAAGTACATTTTTGAGTCGACTCAAAAGTCACCAACGAGGTGGTGCATGTGGGGGACAGGACAGGGGCAAGGAACCGAAGTGCTCGTATTGTAATCGCCTGACTACAAAGAGAGACCGGTGTGCGAGACGAGCAGGGAGAGGCGACAGATCACACAGGGCAAGGCACAGGCAGAGAGAAGGCCGAGAGAAAGACACACACCCACAGCCACACCCACACCCACAGCCACACCCACACCCACCTGGTGGTGCACGTCAGGCATGGCGAGCGTGAGGTGCAGGAAGCGGTGGTGCCATAAGCTGATGAGGGGGTGATTTACAGGCCTCCAACCACACCGAGCCAGGCACAGAGAGCCAGACACAAACACCCGCCCACCCACCCACCTGCTGGTGCACGTCGGGCATGGAAAGGGTCAGTTGCAGGGAGAGCTAGGTTGTGGCGAGCACCACAACAGCGCCATAGACTAATGAGGGGGCGTTGAGAGGCGCCTCAAACCATAGAGATCTAGGCACAAAGAGCAAGACACCCATTCCGAGCCAACCACACCCACCTGGTGGTGCACGTCAGGCATGGCGAGCGTGAGGTGCAGGAAGAGCTTGGCGGTAGCAAGGACCACGGCGCTGTTGGCGTGCTGCAGGCGGTCCTCCAGCAGGTTCATGAGGTCAAACACCTCGTCTGCATTCGCTGGCGTGTAGCGAGACGCGAGATCCAGCACTGTGCACTGCGCCCACTCACTCATCTCCTTCATGCTGATTCAAATGGGGGGGAGGTGGGGGGAGGGGAGGGGAGGGGATGGGAGGGGAGGGGAGGGGAGAGGATGGGAGAGGATGTCCGAAGAGCTGACACTGGGTCCAGCACCGTGCACTGCGCCCACTCACTCATCTCCTTTTTGCAGCTTAAGAGGGGGGGGAGGAGCACCCGAGAGGTCTGGTTATCGTGCAAATGGTGGCTGCATCTTAACCAATCACAGGAGGTCAGGTTATCCGACATGAAATAGCATGTGCTAGTATGTGTGTGGTGATTGGGGGGGGGGGAAGGAGTGTGGGTGTGTGTGCCGGGGGTTGTGGGGGTGTGTGCATGCGCCAGTACCGGTTGAGCAGGGAGAAGACGAGGGCGCGGCTGTGCAGCATGTCGCGGTCCTTCAAGGCCTCAGGGTCCCCATCCTCTGCCAGGGACTCCCCCGCCAGCACCTCCTGCAGCGCGCTCACACAGTTCGCCACCACCTGGGGGGACGGGAGAGGGGGAGGAGGCCAGTGAGTAGACACTATGCCTGTGCTGCCAGCTGCCAGCATCTCCTGCAGTGCGCTCACACAGTTCGCAAACACCTGCGGGGGGGGGAGAATGGGATGAGATTACAGGAGGAAGTAGGAGGCGGAGGCAGCAGAGGGGATACAGGAGGAAGTAGGGGGAGGCAGCAGAGGGGAGGGCCTGAGGAATGGAGCTTCCCCTGCCAGCACCTCCTGCAGGCAGCGCGCTCACACAGTTCGCCACCACCTGGGGAGAAGAAGCGGGTGGGGGGGGAAAGGTGGTAGAGCTTCAGCACGCCCATCACCCAGCCCTCCCATCCCTCCCAGCACGCCCATCACCGCCACCTCTTCTCGAGACAACTCACGCCTCCCCTCTTTCTTGCGCGCTCTCTCTCACCTGAGCGTCAGTCAGGTTCGTCAGTCAGCTTTCTCTTGAGCATCCCAATGTACCCGTGCTCGCGGCACACCCCCGGCGCCAGGTGGTAGAGCTTCAGCACGCCCATCCCTTCCATCCTCGAGTCCCTTGCATCCCTCCCAGCACCCCCAGAACCGCTACCGCTTCTCAGACCTCACTCTCCAACTCCATACTTGCTTTCCGTCACTCGCCTCTCTCAGCCTCACCTGGGCATCGGGTTCGTCGGCGAGTTTCCTCTTGAGCATGCCGATGTACCCATGCTCGCGGCACACCCCCGGCGCCAGGTGGTAGAGCTTGAGCACGCCCATCACCGCCACCGCGCGCACGTACGCACTCACGTCGCCCAGCCCTCTTTCCAGCGGCCCCACGAGGTACTCCACTAGGCCTCTCACTCGCAGGGAACAGAGACTGCGCAGAGCTAGGCCTCTGATCATAGGGTCGTCGTCCTGTGATGCCGGAGGGGGTGCGGGGGGGTTGGGAGGGGGAAGAAACAAGGGGAGACAGAGTGTTCTGAGACGCCTCAAAGGCACCCACTCACGTCGCCCAATCAGCGCTCTAGCAGGCCCACCAGGTACTCCACAAGGCCCCGCACTCTGAGCGAGCAGAGACTACGCAGAGCCAAGCCTCTGATCATGGGGTCGTCGTCCTGTGAGGCAACGAGGCGGACAGGGGGAGAAAGGAGGAGTGTATGCACGTACGCACTCACGTCGCCCAGCCCTTGCTCCACCGGCCCCACCAGGTACTCCACCAGGCCCTGTATCATGAGGCAGGGAGAGGGGTATTCCGAGAAAAGCAAGCTCGGGCTTAGTAGCACTGTAGCAGCATAGCTAGCACTGCACATTCCCATCCGCTGTCTGCTGTTGCCTGCACCTGGCAGTCGCGCAGCAGGAAGTTGATGGTGAGCAGCGCGAGCTCGGGCTTGGTGGCGGCATAGAGGGTAGCACATCCCCTTGAGGACCGGGTCACATGCACCTCCCCTTGAGAACCGGGTCACATGCACCTCCCCTTGAGAACCGGGTCACATGCACCTCCCCTTGAGAACCGGGTCACATGCACCTCCCCTTGAGAACCGGGTTACATGCACCTCCCCTTGAGAACTGGGTCACATGCACCTCCCCTTGAGGACCGGGTCACATGCACCTCCCCTTGAGGACCGGGTCACATGCACCTCCCCTTGAGGACCGGGTCACATGCACCTCCCCTCGAGGACCAGGTCACATGCACTTCGGCATCGGCTCAAACCGCACCTGGCAGTCGCGCTGCAGGAAGTTGATGGTGAGCAGCGCGAGCTCGGGCTTGGTGGCGGCGTAGGTGGCGACGTAGAGGTAGCACATCTTCTTGAGCACCAGGTCCGATGCTGCGCTGCACATGACCATCTCGCTGAAGATGATAAAGGGTGTGGATAAAAAACACAGCGCGTATATCAGGCTTAGTGTCGACATACAAGTAGCACACCTTCTTGAGCACCAGGTCCGATGCCGCAGTTTTTTTGTGCCTTGGATGCCGCACAGCACATCAGAATCTAGCTGTGTGGTGGGGTGAGAGGAGGGCGTAATAAGAAGGGAAAAGCGTGTGTTTGGGAGAGCATAGGGCAATCAGGAGAGTAGAAGGCTTGGTGGCGGCATAGCTGGTGACGACGTAGAGGTAGCACATCTTCCTTAGCACCACGTCCGACGCCGCACAGCACATCACCATCCCGCTGAGGGGGGAGGTGATAAGAGGGTGTGATGAGGCGGGCAAAAGGGAGCATAAGGTGTGAGCAGCAGAGCACAAGGGCTCGTGGTCGTGTAGGTGCCGACGTAATGGTAGGACATAAGCACCAGGTCGGATGCCGCACTGCACGTGACCATCCCGCTGGGAGGGGAGGAGGCAAGGGGCGTGATGAGGAAAAACAGGGTATCGCCACGCCACACCATGGGAGGACAAAGTGCAGTGAGGAGAGCATGGGGTTCGTGGGAAAAAGCTGGTGCTCTTACATATTGTTTGTTTTACATATTGTTTGTTTTACATATTGCTTGTTTTACATATTGTTTGTTTTACATAAATATTTCCAGCCAAGTGCAGTACTACGGAGAGTGATCAACGTATTCCGGGGTGGAAAACGAGGGTTATCACGTCACGTGGAAGGAACACAATGATCAAGACGTACCTGAAGACGGAGGAGACGTCAATCCCAATGGTCATCTGCGAGATGACCTTCTTGAACAGCTCTCGCCGCATCTCCGCCGCTCCCGGCGCCCTGGTGGGGAGGATTGGGGGGCGGGGGGGGGGGGGGGTTGACTGAATGAGGAGATAGTGGGAGAGGAGAGAGGCGAGGAAGAGGAGAGTGTCCTGGTGCCTCAAAACATTATCGCTTCTAGCAGCTCTCGCCGCATCTCCGCTGCTCCTGGCGCCTTGGTGGGGGGATGGGGGGAGAACGAGGAGAGTTGGTAACATGACATGACTCCTGGTGCCTCAAAAAGAAGACCTTGCTGAACAGTTTTCACCGCATCTCCGCCGCTCATGGCGTGCTGGTGGGGGGATGTGGGGGGGCACGGAATGAGGAGATGGTGGGGAATCTCTGCTGCTGCTGGCGGTTTGAGGCGCCTCAAAACTGGATGTGGGGGGGCACGGAATGAGGAGATGGTGGGGCATCTCTGCGGAGGATGCGGGGAGAAGGAGGAAAGCTGGCAACATGGCATGAGTCCCTGAGCATGCGTCCTGGCGTGTCAGAGCATGACCTTTCTGGTCAGATATCGTCGCAACTCCGCCGATCCCGGAGCCCTGCAGGGGGGACGGAGGAGATGGTGAGAAAGAACAAGCGAGAAATGAGACTGAATCACACGCCAAGGAGCTGGGAACGGCGTCCGTTTTCCCCTGTTTCGCCGCATGCGTCCACTCACAACACCCAAATGCCTGTTGCCAGCCGAACAACCTCAAGAAACGGCTCAATAAAATTGCGAAATCTGAAGACGATAAGGACGAAACACGCGCGTGGCAGTACCCCCTTCAGATACACGCGTGACATCACTCACTGCTTCCCGCCCGTTGATCCCTCAGACTGAACTAACCGCAACCGTCCGACAGATAACCACACTAATCGAAACCGTCTGAAGGCTTGTCACATGGTCGCAGCCGTCCAAAAGACGGCAGTATCGTCCTGACCGTCGAACGCGACTAACCTGCTTCCCGCCAGTTGACCCAGCTGCGTCTTCACGTCCGCCATCTCCCCGCGCCGATTATCCGCGTTCATCGTGCTGGTCGCTCTGTCGCCGCGCAGAAACTGAAGGGATAAATTAATCTCAGATATCAATTTGGAGTCTCTAGTGCTACAAATCTGGTTTCGGTGTACCTGTATATTCACTCCTTACTCCCAACACATTTTCATAGGGGAAAGTATATTGGCGCTCAGTATTAGGGGCCTCGAAGATATGTACAGTCAGTGGCACGATATAAACAATCAGAATTAGCGAGTTCTCAACATGTCTCATCAGTCAGATTTCACCGTTAGTCAGAAACTACGGAAAAAAAAATATAGGAATGGTCAGTAGAAGTAACCCCCGCCTGTCTCGGAACGTTTTCCCGCCCGCGCCAGCCCAATTTCGTCATCATTGTGGCTGGCGCAATATTTTTCCCGAGCTCCAGGCGCAGTTCGAGCGAAAAGACACAAAATGCCCAAATCAAGATTCATCGAAAATTTGATAGTTGAGAATCATGAAAACACGATTTTGTTTCGAAGTACATACTTTCGTCACAAAGGGTAGCGCGTCCCGCGATGATTAAAAATGGCAGCTTTGTCTCTACCGCATTTACGGCCAAAAAAAAAAAAAAAAAAACAAGCCATAGACTTATTTGTTAACGTAGAAACGAATGATTACTAGAGGTGGAAACCTAGAACAAATACTAGTTGGTTGTACTCACTAGAAGCATACCTCAGTCTAGCCTATAACTTCTACATAGATAATATGTATAAGTTGACACACCCCCTAGGCTAGACAAGGGGTGAAACTAAACAAGAAGCAAACAGCTCAGGGCGGCACTACTAGTCCAACCACTGAGGCAGGGGTCTGGAGACCAGTCAGCAAGAATACAACCAAAACTGAAGCAAGCCAGGGTGGCACTACTAGTCCAGCCACTGGAGGTAAGGCCACAAGGCCAGTCTGACAAGCATATATAATAGAGAGTACACAATCAGGATCCTAACAGGGGAGCAGCTATAGGAACAAGACCAAGCTGTACACAGTGCCGCTGATGATCTTTAGGCGCAAGCGCCTTAGTAAAGATATCAGCTGTGTTGGCACCTGAGGCCAAGTGAACTACGCGGGCCTGGCGGCGCTGCTGTAGCTCGCGCAGGAGGAAGTACCGCAGCTGGATATGCTTCGCTCTGCCCTCAAGCCGAGGCTCCTGACACAGGAGTATCATGGCCCTGTTGTCAGCGTACAGGACCGGGGCAGAGCTAGGCCGCTCACCTAAGTCTGTGAGCAAGAAGGTCAGCCAGCGGAGCTCCTGTGCCGCCATGGCACCAGCGTAGATCTCAGCCTCACAGCTAGACTGAGCCACAGACGACGAGCGAGTGGATCTCCAAGAGATAGCACCCGAACCAAGGCTGAAACAGTAGCCCTGCGACGACCTGAGCGTCTCAGCGTCGTCTGCCCAAGAAGCGTCTGTGTGCCCAGTAAGGACCACTGGCCTGCGTCCTCCTAGCACTAACCCCATGCCTGATGTACTAGCAAGATAACGCAAAACCCTCTTAGCGGCAGACCAGTGCTGAGGTCGGTGTCTGCCTGTAGCCACAAAGCGAGCCAGGATGCTGAGAGGGTATGCGAGATCTGGGCGAGTGCAAGTCATCAGGTACATGAGGCAACCCACCAGCTCTGCGTAGGGGCCACTGGGCTCTACTGGCTCCTCAGGAACGGGAGCAGAGAGCCCATGGTCTACGGGTAGAGGTGTGGGCTGTGCGGAGGAGAACTGAAGACCGAACCTCTGAAGGACCTGACGCACCAAGTGTGACTGGGTCAGAGTGATGGTGCGTGCTGCTCTGTCCCTAGAGATCTGCAGGCCAAGATAGCGACGCAGCTCTCCAAGGTCAGTGCAGGTGTGTCTCTTCAGCAGCTCAGCCTTCACAGAGGCCAGTGCGTCCCTGTCAGGAGTAGCGAAGACCAGGTCGTCTACGTAGACAAGGATGTAGAACGGAGTCTGGCCGGAACGCACAAACAGTGAAGGGTCAGCAGAGGACGGAAAGAACTGCAGGTCTGCTAACGTGGCACGTAGCGTGTCGTGCCACTCGCGGGGAGCCTGACGCAGGCCGTAGACCGGGCGCCTGAGAAGCCACTGGGTCCCAGGAGGGAAGGTACCAGTGAAGCCCTGTGGTCGGCGCAGGTAGACCTGCTCGTGTAGGCTGCCCTGAAGAAAGGCAGTAGAGAAGTCGAGGGAGTGAAGCTCGTAGTCACGCTGTGCTGCTACGTGTAGCAGCGCCCGAAGAGTGGTCATCTTCGGGGTCGGGGCGAAGGTCTGGAAGAAGTCAACCCCCTCGCGCTGACTGAAACCTCTGGCCACGTAGCGCGCCTTGAAGACAGGCGGCTCTCCAGGGGGGCGCTTCACCTTGAAGAGCCACCGACCATCGACTACGTTCACCCCAGGCGGGGGAACTGCGTCGACGTAAGTGCCGGTGGATCTCCAAGATGCCATCTCCTGCTCCATGGCAGCTATCCACTGAGAGGCCCAAGGTCCCGAGGTGGCCTCAGCGTAGGTGCGAGGGGTCGGGATGTCGAAGGCGTCTGGGTCACCCTCAGGGACTAACAGCATGGAGCAGAGATGGGGAGCAGCCTCGGAAAGGAAAGCCAGCTCGTACTGCCTGTCCTCTAGGACGTCACTGCCAAGGGCAGGAGCACCCCCGACGGACAGAGGACGGGCAGGGTCAGAGACCAGAGCGGTAGCGTAGTCAAGGCGGCGGGTAGAAGCGAAGTCAGCGACAGCAGCGACAAGCGCGTCAAGGCGCGAGACAGGAACAGCAGGGTCGGTAACAAGAGAGGCAAGGACCCGAGGGACAAGGGGACGAGCAGCACGGAGGTAGTCAGAGAACGGAGGAGGTGCAACAGCAAGGGACGAGGGAGGAGGGGACGGGAGGAGGGGAGGACGAGACGAGTGGGAACGGAGCAACATAGGGTGGGTGGGCAGGACAGGAGAGACGGGACGAGCACGGGAGGGACGGCGAGCCCAAACGTGAGACGGAGGGGTAGGGTCAGGGGACAGCGGAGGAGACACAGGAGGGGAACGAGGAGGAAGACGGGCCGGAGACGAGTCTGGTGGCGGGAACACAGGACCGTAGACAGGGAGGTCAGGAGGCGGTGGGGGAGACACCAGCGCGCGGTCCGGGGAGGGAAGGCCGAGCAGGCGGAGAGCGGAAACCGGCGGCGACGGCTGCTGCGGCGGCGACGACGGCTGGGCCGGAACTCTCGGACCAGCAGAGGCAGAACGACCGTCGGCAGAACACTCAACAGCAGCACCCCCAGAACCAACACCCCCAGAGCGAGAACCCCCTCCAACACCAGCGGCACCCCCAGAAGCCGCAAGACGAACACCCTCCTCCACACCAGCACCCCCAGGGGCCGAGAGCAGCGGCGGCAGTGGCGGCAACGGCTGCGGCGGCGGCGACAGCGGCGACGGCTGCGGCAGCGACAGCGGCGGCGGCGGCGACGAAAGCGGCGACGGCTGCGGCGGCGACGGCGACGGCGGCGGCAGCGGGGTCGGCGACTGCGACAGTGGGGGCGGAGGCACCGGGGAAGGGGGACGCGGCAAGGACGGACCGGGGGTACCACCAGAGTCAGCAGACTCCTCAACGGGGACAACCGACGGGAGGGGAGTGACGTGGGAGACACCAGACGGGGCAGGACGAGGCGGGAGAGGGGCAGGGGCTACCGGGGGAGAGGGAGCAAGGAAAAGGGGGGGGGCAACTGGGAGACCTCGGTGAGGGAAGCGGCGGTAGAAGGAGACGGACTCATCAAAGGTGACGTCACGAGAGTGGAGGAAGCGGTGAGACGGCGGGTGGTAGAAAAGCCAGTCAGACGAGTCCAGGGGGAAACCGAGGAAGACACAGGGGACAGTGCGGGCAGTGAGCTTGTCCGTGCCAGAGGCACGAACGTGAGCAAGGCAGCCCCAGACGTGGAACGCAGACGCGTCACCGGGGGACCCGGTCCAAAGGAGGGTCGGCGAAACCTGCGGCCGCTGGGAGCGTGGCCACAGGTTAAGCTGGTGAGCCGCGTAGCGAACAGCGAACGGCCACAGAAAATGGGGGGCATCGGCATGGATCATGGAGGTACGGGCGACCTCCATGACCAAGCCGATGCGGCGCTCAGCAACCCCATTCTGCTGTGGCGAGTCCGGCAACGTGTGCGACTGGGTGATGCCCTCCGCACGACAGAACTGTCCAAGCCGACCAGAGGCGAACTCGCCGCCACGGTCGGAGTGGAGACACAACACGGGGAGACCGCGGTGGAGACGCGCAGCCACAACCCACGGGAGAAGAACGTCGGGCACGTCGGCCTTCCGCTCCAGGGGAAACACCGTGGTGTAGCGCGTGTAGTCGTCGACAAGCACAAGGAAGTAGCGCTCACCGCGCGGTCCGGGGACGGGGGCAGGGCCCCAAACGTCCAAGTGCAGGGTCTGAAGGGGGGCAGTAGCAGGACGCAGCGAGGAGGAGTGAGGAGCACGGCGGAGCCGACCCTCGACGCAAGGCGTGCACGGTGGCGCAGTCGAGGGAGGAAGGGCAGGGAGCGACGCGGGGAGACCTAAGACAAGACCGTGCTGGGACATGTGACGCAGACGCGGGAGAGCAGGGTGACCTAAACGGTGGTGCCAGAGAAGGGAGGGGTGAGTGAGGGACCGACACGAGCAAGCTGCAGCGACCTGGGAGGACGCACCAACCGGGGGGGAAGCGGTGTGTAGGGTAAACAGACCGGACACCGGGTCCCGGGGGAACGTCGCAAGGGGGGAACCTGAGACAGCCTCAGAACAGACAGCGAACCGCTCGTGCCCGGGGAACGTGGTGGTGACGCCGAGGTCCTGGAGACAGCCGACACCAACCAGGTTCCTGGAGAACGAGGGAACGTGGAGGCCAGTAAGGGAGCCCGAGGGAACTGCCGGACAGGGAAGGGACGTAGAACTGCGCGCGACGACCGGACCCGCAGAGGGGTCAGCGAGAGAGACAACAGCAGGTGCAGCAAGCGGCGTGAGCGTGGAACGGTCGCGGAAGAAGCAGGCAGAAGCACCAGAGTCGAGAGTGAAGGACAGCGACGCAGTGGCGGGGGCCGGGGACGGAGCCGGTGCA